GGATTGTTGTTCTGTTTTGCGGAGTTGGAGGCGGCTGGCGTGGATGGGTTGGTGGGTGGAGAGAGTACAGAGTACAGAGTAGAGCGGCAGCTTTTCGGACGGCGGGCAGCTTTTGTGCTGTTTGTATTCTATTCTATTCTGTTGGCTTGGGTTGGGATTGGCGTTGGCTGGTGTTGGTTGTGCTACGGTATCCTGTTGGGGGTGGGGAGGGGGGAGGGTTGCTTGCGGAAGATTTTGATTGATTGATTTGATTTGATTGATTGATTGATTAGTTGATAGATTGATAGATAGATTAATAGATAGATAATGAAATGGAATGGAATGTTACACTGCATGATGGATCTGGATCTGGATTGGAGGTACGGAGTCTACTGACCTGACCTCGGGGAAAAGGCCTGTTTGTGGGTATGTGTACAGAGAGGGGTAGAAGACGGAACGGAGAGGTATGTAGGCAACGAACGGTCTGCTTTTCTCTGGATTAGATGGACAGAGACGACAGACGATAACAAGAACAACAAGAACAACAGTCAATAACGATAACGACAGTGGACAATAGGAATAAGAACAGTTACCCTCATGGCAGACTCCTCCGAATCCCTTACCTATGCCAAGTTACCTCGCAACACGGTCAACCGCTATGGGAAACCGCGTGGTTAGTTTTTCAAGTCCTCTTCTATCGAGCGTTCGTCGTGCGGGCATAGCATACCTGATTATAAACAAGCCAGCCAGCCAGCCAGCAAGCAAGCAAGACTGACTGACTGACACATCCCAGGTAGGTACGACGCCGAGATGATCAACACCATCGTCAACACCAGCCAAGTCCTGCACGTCTCCTTCCCCGTGCCAGACGACCCCTTCCCAGCCATGCTGCCTATGCTCGGCTTCGTAGGCTCCTACGCCGATGCGTCGCTCACGCTCTCTGATCCCCTGGATCTCTACCTCCACGGCTACATCTCCTCGCGGCTGATGCGTCTGGGCAAGAGCGCTTCCGTCTCCCAAAAAGAAAAAGGCAAAGGGCAAGAGGAAGAAAAAAAGGAAGAGGGAGAAGGAGCGGGAGAGGGAGAAGGAGAAGAGCACGAGCCCAGCCTCCCCCTAACCATCGCCGCCACCCACCTCGACGGCCTCGTCCTAGCCCTGACGCCCAACCACCACAGCTACAACTACCGCAGCGCCGTCATCCACGGACACGCCGTCGCCGTCGCCGACCCGGCCGAGAAGCTCTGGGCCATGGAGCACATCACCAACGGCGTCGTCCCGGAGCGGTGGGCGCACGCCCGCGTCCCGCCCACGCGGACCGAGATGACGAGCACGCAGATCCTGCGCGTGCGCATCGTCGACGCGAGCGCGAAGGTGCGGGCTGGCCCGCCGGGCGACGATCGCAGGGATATGCGGGATGGGGAGCTGAGAGCGAGGACGTGGATCGGGGTCGTGCCGACGTGGATGTGCTATGGGGAGCCGGTGGCGAGTCCGGAGAATAGGTGTGGAGAGGTATGTTTGCCCTGCTCTTTCTCCTTTTCTCCTTCTCCTTCTTCTTCTTGTTCTCCTTATCTCTTCTTCTCCTTATTTCTTTTTTCCTTCTTCCTTCCGGGTGCAGGGAGAAAAGAGAGAGAGGAACCTTGAGAGAGGGATGGCTGGTGTCGGGTGTGATTCTGACGAGAAGGAGCAGGTTCCGGAGCATATCTCGAGCTTTGTGAGGAGGGAGAATGAGGCTGGTGAGAGGAACGCGCTGGCTGCTGCTAAGGGGGATTAAGCGATTAAGCGAGGATTGGAGGTATTGGTTGATGAAACATGAGAAGAAGAAGAAGAAGAAGAAGAAGAAGAAGGAGCAGGAGCTAGACCCCATCATTTGCGCGAGATGGAGAGACGAGAGAGAAAATGAATCAAGTTTGAGGACCGACCAACCAACCCCCTTCAGCAAGGGCTCGGTTATCAATGATCTTCACACCCCCGTGGGAGACCGGTTTTCGGGACGACTGACTGACAGACAAACAGTATGGGGAGTTTTAGTGAGCGATGACCCTATGTAAAATTCCCGTTCCACAGCAATGCTTTTCAGAGGCCTCGTTGGTATCATGAATCGTAAAAACATGGTCAGTACGACACACAGCTCACCTCATCTTCCACGTCTGCTTGCCGTCCTTCTTCTCGTCCCCAAACCTCCAGGTCATGCCCACATTCAACGCACGCGAGTTATCCTCTGGTACAGCGTACTCGAGCTCGCCCGAAATCTCCTCTCCAGCCGTGTGGCCGACAGGCTTCTCCTTCGTGTTGTCGATCAGCATGACACCTTGCTTCCAGTGGGTCTCCTTTCCCCCAGGTCCCGTGGTGAACGCAATCCCCTTCTTGCCAGCCTTGGTCCACTCCTCGGCCCTGGCGTCTTCCGGGACCGGATCCTCGCGCGAAGGCATGAAGAAGGAGTCGAACCAGATGATGAAGCCATCGAGAGCGTCGATGTCTTCGCTAAGCTTGGAGTGCCACTGGCGCTTGAAGACCAGGTCCTGGACGGTGGTGGTGTGCAGACTGAGTTGCAAGAATGGGAAGGGATCGGCGCAGATGGTCCGAGCTGGCATGTGGAGGACTTGGGCATCGTCGTGGATACCGGCTTGCATCGCCTTCATATCGAAGCCGTAGACATCGCGCCAGAACGCAATGTGATCGCTGATGTACTCGGGATCAGCGACGGGCGCAACCCACATGTTCATATGGCTTGGAATCATGAGTCCATCCGGAGCCAGGTAGCGGTCGCGGGCGTAGATGACACTGTCGAGCATAGCCTCGTACAGCAAGCAGTAGCCCATCCATTCGCTAACGATGATGTCGACCTTGGCAACAGGAAGAGTGACTTCCTCGATCTTTCCTCGGAGGCAGGTGATCTTGTCGGCAAAACCGTTGTTGAAGATGTTCTCCCGGGCTTTGTCAATGATGGCTGAGTTGTCGACGGCAATGACTCGGGCGGCGCCGGCTTTAGCACAGAACATGCTCAGAATCCCGGTGCCGCAGCCTACATCGAGGACTGTCTTGCCAGCAAACAGGGATTTGTGGTTGTAGATGAAGTCTCGGTAGGCGTCAGTCCGGACCGTATCCTTCAACATGGTTTCATGGATATCTATCTTTGTCAGCGGGATGTTTCTTGGGGTTGAAACCGCGATACTGACCATTGTAAGAATAGGAGCTGAAGTAGTGGCTGTCATCATCTCTCTTCTCTTTGGCAGCTGAAGACCCCGAGGGACCACTCGCATTCCATCGTTCGTCCAATGTTTGCGAAACCGTCGAGCGGTAGTTGTCAAACTGCAGCTGCATTCGACGCAGATCCTCCTCTAATTCGACGACACGAGCAGCTAGAGGTCCAGAGTCACTGGGTATAGCTTTACCCTTGCCTGACTGTGCGCTCTGCTCGTGCTCCGTGACCTCGGGGAGGTCGTCCAGACTGAACAACAGAGCATCGTCTTCCAGCACCGGTTTCAGGAACTTTTCATCCTCGAAGTCGGCCTTGGAGATATCTGGAGAGACTCTCTGGCCACAGCGGACCTGGGACCGGATGTAGTTGACGAGTTTGATATTGCCGTAGAAGTCCAGGCCGAGTCTCTGTCTGACCTCAAGGAAATCAAAGCTGTGCTTGTCTTTGCAGTGTTTCAGCATGGCATGGATATCGGTGAAAACGTCCTCGTCCAACAATGAGACGAAATTGAGCTCCTCGTGATCCGGCTCGGCATCCTCCCATCCCTCGTCGTTCTTGGGGTCGAGGATGTCAGAGGTTTCCGAATTTCCGCTTCCTGAGGATGCTGCGTATTCCTCTTTTCCCGTTCCATTCTGCTCGGCTTCTAGAGCTGGAGTTGCGCCCGGCATGGTGGAGAGGTGGAGAGATGGAGAGATGGATGGATGGATGGATGGATGGGAGTCGCAAGGTAGGAAAGAGCTGGGCGTGGAAGATTTCTGCTTTGGGGTTGTTTGTGTGGTTGGGGGTGGGGGTGGGCGGAGTGGAGCGGATGGAGAGAATCAATACGGCCACCCCTGGGAACGACAAGTAAATACTCAAGTCCGTACACTCCGTAGATGCTGTACCGGTACCGGTATCTCCACATCTCGTACGGATATATGCCACATCGCATCGCTTTGTTCTCTCAGGATGGATTTGATGGTGACTTATCTGCAACAGCATAATAGCTGGATTTTGGAAATATTCCCTCCCTACGATTCAAGCATGAATGAATGCATGTCCTGACTAGCTACGATGCTCCCAAGAATGCATCGGTTGTTGGATAGATCAGATGTGATCTGCTTGCCGAGCAAGGGCAGTTGCGTCCTGCTTCACAATCGAGGTCCGGGAACAACTGACAAACAACATAAGTACGTAACAAAAAGGCCATGGCCATGTAATGTCCAACCCAACACACCGACAGCCAACCTTTGTCAGCCTGTTAGAATTTCACATTGTTTACCTACTCACCTACTCTCCTACTCTCCTACTCACCTACTCACCTACTCACCTACCGACCCTCTCCCCACATGTTCGGACCTAGTTCTGGCGCCCGGAAGCTCGCTGAATGAACATCAGCCAGAGTTGACGCGCATCGCATCGCATTGTAAACAACCGGTCTCCTGACAGACAACAAACACGCCACGACCAGCATGTCGTTCCTCTTTGGACGTCGTCCCCGGACCAACACAGTCGATTTGTCTAAGCTGGCAAAGGATCAAATATCAAAGCTCGATGGACCAGCCGGAGCTGCAAAGGTACACAGCCCTTCCTCTCCTTCCCCTCCCCCTCCCCCTTCGTGCTTGGAGATCGGGATCCGGATGCTGATCCAGGCGCAGGCAGAGGAGTTGGCAAAGACGCTGGGGCAGATGAAGTTTGTTCTGCAAGGCAATCAAGGTATGGATTATTATATACTGCTAGTCTTCCGGCTTAGGAGCTAACAGCATCTTCAGAGACCGAACCGATTCCGGAGCAAAGCTATGCCCTTGTGACGGGTATGATCCAAGAAGACCTCCTATACCTGCTCGCAGTCAACCTCTGCCGATTGCCCTTCGAGTCGCGAAAAGATACGCAGGTCATATTCTCCCACGTCCTGCGATTCCGTCCTCCGACTGCCTCCTCGAAGAGCGAGCCTCTGGCACTGAGCTACGTGATCAACAACCGGCCCGAGGTTCTGGTCGAGCTATGCAATGGGTATGACCACAAAGAGAGCGCGACTCCGGCAGGGACCGTCTTGAGAGAGGTCCTAAAGAGCGATGCGGCTGCGGCGATTATACTGTACGATGACCAATCTGAAGGAAACGCCGGTCCGAATAAGGGATTGAGTGGCATAAATCCAGAATTGAGGCAGAGTGGGAATGGCGTTTTCTGGAAGTTCTTCAAGTGGATTGACCAAGGCTCCTTTGAGGTCGGCGCGGACGCTTTTACAACTTTCAGAGTAAGCCTTTCCTTACCACTGTATCGGAGAAATGTGGCTGACATTCCTGTTAGGAAATCCTGACCAAACACAAGCAACTCGTGGCCCAGTACTTGTCCACGAATTTCGACCTGTTCTTTGATAAGTACAATAATGTTCTTGTCAAGTCAGAAAGCTATGTAACCAAGCGCCAATCGATAAAGCTACTAGGCGAGATCCTTTTGGATCGTGCCAATTACGCTGTCATGACCGCTTACGTTGACCGAGGAGAGCACTTGAAGATTTGCATGAACCTCCTGAGAGACGAGAGAAAGATGGTGCAATACGAAGGATTCCACGTATTCAAGGTCTTCGTCGCCAACCCTCACAAGTCGATTGCAGTGCAGAAGATCTTACTCATCAACCGAGAGAAGCTTCTTACCTTTTTGAAGGAGTTCCTGCAAGATCGAACCGAGGATGAGCAGTTCATTGACGAGAGAGAGTTTTTGATCAAGCAGATCAAGAACATGCCACCAACACCTATCGAACCGTCGCAGAAGCCGGCGTTATTAGGCTCTCAAGGACGCTGAGGAGAATCCACTAGAGAGTGGAGCAACCCAGCTGTGACTCCGGTTTAGGAGAATACCAAGGACTTGTCGTGGGTCACATGCATCAAGGTCGGGTTAGACGCTTGAAAATGAATCTTAGCTGCTTTGGACTGAAGGACAAGGCTGGATATTTGCACTGGAGTCTGGGCATTGGTTGGGGTTCCTCGGGCGTTAGGTGCATACCATTTCATCAATGGGGGATGACCATGATCAGTAGTTGCTGCGGGAGCGGGAGGCTTGTTGTTGTTGTTGTTGTTGCGTAGCATGGCGCCTAGAAGGCCGAATGTAGAGCTGAGTGGGCAACGAGTATGCTGATAGCCTGGTTCCTTGCTATGAGACCAGAGACTCCCGATTTGAGGAGAGCGTCAGAATCTACCCTAGCCTATCGGGAAGCAAGTTTACGGCATCGAGAGAAAGATGAGCTTTGAGCCTCCATGACTTCCTTATCATTCATTGTGGTTTCATTTGCTATTCCTGATGAATGGGTTAATGCAAAGGAGCGAAGTAGCAAAGAAGCGATTTACTCCGTTGTCCTATCTTACAAAGAAACCCATGCATACAATAGGTACATACATGCCACACGTACCGCTCCGCGTATGTTGATCTCTAGATTCCTATCACATCTGCAAGGCTGACATTCTTATGCGCTAAACCATATCCAGGGGTCACAACATCAACGCGCTTCAGTGCCCGAAGCTTTGACGCGACCCCGACCTGAGAAAACTCTCCGGAGGGATTGCGAGGATCGAAAATAAATCTGTGGAACACGACCGACAGCATTCATTTCGACACAGACCTCTCACTGCATTCCACGTCAAAAAGGCTCCAAGATGCAGCAGCCACAGTACCGCCCCTTCCCCAGCCAGGCGCCGCAGCGATCTCCTGCACCCGCTGGCCAGTCGAGGAGAGGAATCGGTATGTGCCTCCGCCTTCCCTATTGTACTGACTTGTTGTAATGTGTGTAAATCCCGATTGGGATTGCGATCAAGGCGCCCCGGCCCGAGGAAAAGTGAATCTCGGTCTCAGCTTAACTCTAACTTTCTTCGTTGCCTGTCCCTTCCTTCCCTTTCTCTTGGTTGCGCGTCGAACCCTCGCAACGGACTCGACTCGACCTTGCTAATAACACTCTCAGCTCCCATGGTAGCAGGCCCACACCAGCACCAGTTGACGCCGCAGCAGATGGAGGTCCAGAAGCAGATGCAGCAGCAGGCGCTCGATCGCGCAAAGCTGAGAGCGAAGAAGCCGATCGATAGGAACCTCCCCGAGGGCGTCGAGGACTGCGTTATTGGGGATGGGGTGCAGCGGTACCGAGAGTTACGGGATCTGGAGAGGAGGCTGGATGCGACAATGACGAGGAAGAGGTTGGACATCCGGGATGAGGTGGATCGGAACGTCAAGGTATGGGCAGGATCTGCGGTGTTGTATCTGAGAGGGTACGAGCTGACGAGGCGCAGCGGTACAAGACGATGCGTTTGTTCATCAGTAATACGGTGGAGGACCAGCCGTGGCAGACAGATACGCTTGATGTGGATGCGTTCGATTTCAGCACGAACATACAGTCGTCCTACCGGGTCAAGATCGAGGGAAGATTACTGGACGAGCCGGATGATGGTCTGGAAAGCGACGACAGCGACGATGAGGACGAGGCTACGGACGGCGATGCTATGAATGAGGATGGGAAGGAAGAGACGAGAGCAGCCAAACCAGCACCAAAGCAACCGAAGTTCTCGCACTTTTTCAAGGCCATGACCGTCGATTTTGGCTCGAGTAAGTCCAAAGACGGCACGGAACAGAGCGTTGAGTGGAAAAAGCCTGTGACTGCGCCGAATTCTGCCAATCTCCCCAATGCAGCCGACTTCGATCAACTGGAGTTCAAGCGCGGAGGGGACGAGAATACCAATGTTGTCATCAACCTGACGAGAGACGAGCACCCGGAGAGATTCCAATTGAGTCCTCTGCTGGCCGAGGTCCTGGACGTCAAAGTTGCTACGCGTGATGAGGCTTTGATGGGTCTTTGGGAGTACATCACTGCGAAGGGATTGCAAGAAGAGGACGAGAAGAGATCTTTCGAGTGCGACGATCTTCTCAAACAGGTACTTTGCCCTCCTATCCAAGAAGGAGAATGTCCCGCTAACAGTTATAGCTTACCAACCGGGATAAAGGCTACATCCCCTACCTGCCCGACCTCCTCATCCAGCACATGCATCCTCTCGAGCCCATTAAGCTTCCCTATACCATCCGCGTCGACAAGGAATTCCACGAGAACCCCACCCCGACCATCTACGACGTCCAAGTGCTGGTCGAAGATCCTCTCAAGTCCGCCTACGAGAACTACCTCAAGAACCCCGAGTACGCGAGCAGCCTCCGTGAAATCGTAGCCCATGATGCCCATCTCGCAATCCTGGTGCAGAGTATTATGAACTCGAAGAGCAAACACCAGTTCCTCGATGCGCTGTCCAAGAACCCGACGGAATTTATTGCGAAGTGGCTTAGTAGCCAGAAGAGGGACCTGGAGGTGCTGGCTGGCGAGGCTCCGCGAGGTGGAGGCGAGGACGCGAGTGGCGACGAGTGGAGAAAAGGGGGCTCAGAGGGCATCTGGGGGAGTGAGATTGTGAAGCAGAGCGTCAGTTCGATGATTGGGACACGAACAAAGGGCTAGGTTGATTTGGGTTGGCTTTTGCTCTGGAGTTCTAGGTGGTGGGTGGTGGGTCCTACTGGAAAGAGAGTGTGTATGTATCATGTCAGATTATGAGGACTTGAAAATACCAGAATTACTTTTCCGTATTCTATCTCATTATATTAGGTTTTCTTTTTCTTTGTCTTTCACCGTCACCGTGATCTGTTTTCTGCTTCTTCATTGTCAATTTGCTTGTTTTTCTCTCGGCTCTTCAAGAGGAATCAGATTACATCAGAGCAGATCTTCACACTCTGTATATATTCCTCCGCATCTCCCGATTCTCCCTTTGCCTTTCCACACTTTTCAAGTTCACTCTACTCTATTCCACCTCGTGGTTATAGCTGGCTTTTGTTTATTTCACCGTTTATAGCATCCATAGCTTCTATAGCTTCTACGGCTTCCACGGCTTCTACGGCTTCTACGGCTTCTACGGCTTCTACGGCGGCTATAGCATCTACGGCGGCTATTGCATCTACGGCGGCTATTGCATCTACGGCATCTACGGCTTCCACGGCTTCTACGGCTTCTACGTCATCTACGGCATCTACAGCATCTACAGTTTCCATTCCTCCATTCTTGCTCTCCTCCTCTCCTCATCCTGTCCATCTCATCTAAAAAGTAAAACGTCTGGAGATAGGTACTCTACAGGCAGAAAAACATGGCTCGGGTACGCACGTAACTTTTACCTTACGATTTCCCTCAATTGATGCTACCCACTTCGAACCTGATTTTACCAGCCTTACTTTGAAATGAATAAGGAAGATTACAATATCCTATGAATAGTTTCTACAAGTAAAAACCGCGCGAAAAATCCCCTCCCCCCCCCCCCCCCCCCCCGAATAATTACCGCCAGAGAGAGGCGCAAAAGCTTAGAACTCCACTCTAAACCCCCTGGTTTCCCTACCTACCTTACCTACCCTCCGGCGGTAATTATCCCGCCTGGGAGCTAGAGGTACGTAGGTAAGTAGGTAGTAGAAATAAGAATGTGGCCGTATAAGAATACACCTTGCCAATAATCTCTAATTGCGATAATTCTCCTTTCAATTTTGCGTTTTTCGCCCACCACCCAATCTAAGCATCCGTAATTTTTGACTGTTTGATTAGATCGACGACTCGCTTAGCCTAGGTGGGGTTCTCCTCGGTTACAATAGTATTGTACAAGTACCGTAGTAAGGAGGTAAGGATACCGGTTCCGGTAAGGTCAGGTAGGCATTCTTAAAATATGGCGCCGGGGGAGGAGGGGGAGGGGGGAAGGGGAAATACTACGTAAAAAAAACAAAAAAGGAAGAAGAAGAATATGCTTGTTCCCAAAACCATAATTTAAAGATTATTTTCCTTCTTACTCTGTTGGGTGCTAGTACCTCCCTCTCGTGATCCTGAACTCAAAAAGTATTGCCGGACCGGGCAATTCATGTCGATATCCATCTCGTGCTGAGGCTCCTTCCTACGTACAAGGAGTGCCCAGTCTATTGCCAAGACCCTCGATTCGCGAATGCCTCTCCTCCCACGTAATTCTTCGCCATTTTTCATCATCCCCAGGCTATTCTTGCGTGGAAGCTGGACGGTACGTACGCTCCACTCACGATGGTCATTACAAACCCGTGGGGCGCTGATTATTCTTAGCCGCACGATTCACTCGTTCACTCATTGATTCGTTCATTTATTCCTTTATTCGGTTCATTTCTCGATCTATTTATAGCCTCGGTAGGAATCTCACAATATGATCGTGGAAGAAGAAAAAAAAAAATAGGGAAAGAAGAAGAGGAACGAGAAAAGAGAGAGAGAGATATATATATATATATATTTCCTACTTGCTTGCTTTCTCGCATCTCTTCAGAATCTCGTCATCTTGCTTCAGATTCAAATTCATCATCATCATCATTCTCTTCTTACTTTTTTTCTTATTTTTCTTTTTTTAGCAAGCTTATTCTCTCTTTTCCTCATCTCGCAGCATCATCAGAGGGAGGGACTTATTACAGACGACAAAAACAAAATACATACATACGAGATGCTACGATCGAAGTCTCTCTTCGCCATCTCGCTAGCCCTGAGCTCTCTCTTCAGTAGAGCTCACGCAGCAATTGTCATCGGCTACGCAACACTAACCGAGGTAAGTTTTTCACTCTTGATTGATCATATATATTTCGTACATATATATATATATGTACGTATATGTAAAGCTCAAAGGTACTAATCACCTACGCGAAAAATGACAGGAAGAGGGTCAGCGCCTGTCTGAGAACAAAGGCTTAGAGATAGATGAAGACGAAAACTACAACCAATTAGGAGCTGGCCTGTACACGAGTGAGTCTTGATTCTGAATCGGAGTCTCAAATACCCAGATCTCGTTCCTCACACACATATGACATACCAACGCGGAGACTGATGAAATTCTTTTTCTGCAAAAAATAGTGAACAACCCGGGGAATCTGATGGGTGGAGAAGGGATGTGGTACTGTGCCATCGAAGCGAACGAGGAGAAGCTTCGAGGCATAAGCAAAGTATACGTTCCGAGATCGTACGAGAGAACAAGGAGTTTCCATAGGGGGCCCGAGAAGGTGGACCTGTGGGGCGCGGAAGACGATGTCATCGTGGACTTCATCGAGGAAACGTACTTGGTACAGGATCCGGCGAAGGCGCTGCGCTTCTCGTGGAATCACGCTTCCCCTTGGCATCTGCTGATGGTTGTTCCGATAGAGGCGGCGAATGACGACTCTTTGGATATACAGGCCAGATGCTTCAAATCGAAAGTGGGGCTGATCGAGGCGACGAACGAGTCGATTAATTGGGAACATTGGGGGATTAAAGGAACTCGTGGAGCGCCGGGCTTTGCCCCTTTGCCGTAAGGGAGTGGCTCGTCCGTGCTGAATGGGGTAAAACAGGAATGGGAATGGGAATGGGAATGGGAATGGGACAGAATCGGGATAGAAGGATAGAAGGATAAATGAGGATAGAAGGGTAAATGGATAGATAAAAAAAAGCTTAAGCGAGTATGGTATCTACAACTAAGATGCAAAGCAAGCAGACATACACGTAAGTGAGATAGGCCAAAGTGACGAAGTGACGTGACGAATAAGATTGAAGAAAAGGACAAAAAAAAAGACGGGGGGGAGGGGGGTGGGTGGGCTTGGAGCTTGAAAGGAGGACCGACCCACATCTCCTACTAGGAAATGTATTGAAACGAGCAAAGACGCGAAACTTTTGTACTCTGGACAGTAGTTGGCTTGATCAATATTTCAAATCTTTAATTTACAGTCCAACAAAATCCCGCGGTCCACGTCTTACCCGAGTTCCCCCCCACCCCCCTTACCCGTTCCAATTTCAGCCTCTGCAAGACGGGACAGGAGAAACGCAATTCAGGAGTAGACAATTAAATATGTTATATATAAAGATCGGTAATGTATCAAGACCACCGATCCATCCCGATCCTGCCAGACAGAAAAAAAGAACAAAACATCGCCCTAGCCAAGAGGAGCAGAGAGACAGAGAACGTTTTGTTTGTGCTGTGATGCACCCCCAATCAAATGCGAGATACGCAACGGTTTCGGCTGCCGTTCCATCTAACACCCTGTTCACTTCCGTGATTGTAGAGCCCGCAGCTCCCAGAGAAAGTTTGGAAGAATCCTAATAATCCGTAAGATGCCCGTTCATAGGGGTATGAAGGGATGCAAGAGAAGTGATCCCGAGAAAAGACCGACGCCGCGCTACCAAATGCGAGACAAAGGAGAAGTCTTGTATGTGTGTGGCAATTCGGCCAATTGCTTCCCTATACTTGGTGCCTCCCTCCCTATATTATTGTTCATGAATCGGAAAAGTGAGAGTGGCCGTCTAGAATGGTGTGGAGAGGCCATTCTTGGACTGTCGTTTGCTGAAGCGGTGGTGCTTCTTCGAGGTTGGCTCTTCATTCAAGCTCGCTTGGCTTTTTGTCAAATGATGCCGCGCTGCGCGGTCGGAGATGCTAAAGCCTTCGGGGTAGATGGAGCCCCCCGGTATGGTGCTGCTGGGACTCGATACAGATGAACCCATGTTGTCGAAGCCATTTTCGCTGCTGTAGGAGCCGACCATGCTCTGGGATAAGGCCATGTCTTTTGCCCGTTCGATGGACTCGATCCATTCTTGAGCCGAACTTTTGGATGGATCACCGGTGCTGACGGAGGATTTCGAGTCCTCGAACGTGTAATGCGTACCACGCTGGAAGTCGTTAACCCTGCGAGAAGTTGAATGGGGCGAGAAACGTACCGTGTCAACACACCACACCTCTTGACCCTTGGCATCGATCTGCGTCCTCCACGTGCACTCCGAAGCCAGAAGCGAGATTTCTGACTTGGTCTTCTTCTCATCACCTCCGGCGGCAGCCAAGATGATACGTGCGCTCGATGTGACCATCACGAGTCTGGCCCTCTTCTTGGTATTACTACCACCAAAGAATCTCGACAGCTTACTCTTCTCATGGCCATCGTGGTCCCCATTCCGAGAGCTCGGGCTATGAGGTAGAGGCGTCGACACAACCAACAGGTTTCCAAGCTTCAAGATCCGCTCGTTGTTCCTCGTCAAGACGGGAGACCATTCAATATCAAGTTGGGTTGGGGGAGGTAGTTCGGTGATGACTCTTGGTTGTGGTCGTGAACTGCCACTAGAAGAGCCGGGGCCCGCTGGGCCTCGAGAGGTCGAAATCGGCTGTGGGGCGTTTGAGTGACTACCAAGCTTTATGAGAGGGGCCTCCTGAGTGGCGGGGATATAAGGCTTTAGCCTTGGTGCTTTCTGTCTCCAGAGTTGGCGGCCCCATTGCATTCCGTCAAAGAATTCGTGGTTCTTGATGTGTTCAATGGACAATCGTCGTTGGGGGTCGAGAACCAACAGACGCTCCACCAAGTCCCTAGCAGCGGGCGGGAAGCCAGGTGGAAACTCGTACTCCAAACCCACAATCTTCTGGAAGGTCTGGTACTCATTACCAGCCTTGAAAGGGGGGCGTCCTGTCAGGAGCTGGTAAATGATGCAACCAAACGCCCACAGATCACTAGCTTTGCATGCATTCTTGTCTGTCAAGAGTTCAGGGCTGACGTACTCGGCAGTCCCAACGAAAGATCGAGCCCGGTTGGACTCCTCTTCTTCGCCCGTCGTTTCGTATGATGTCGTGGGATCCTTGGGTATCCTCGGGTCCGGTAGCAGCTTGGCTGTCCCGAAGTCGGTGATTTTGATGTGCATCTGGTCATCCATCAGAACGTTCTCCGGTTTGAGATCCCGATGAATGACCCCTCGGTTGTGCATATGCTCAATGGCATCCAGTATTTGAGCTCCGTAGAACCTCGTGCACTCCACGTCGAACGACCCAATCTTCTTCAAAACCCCGAGCAGCTCACCGCCACTCGCTACATCCAGAACGTAGTATAGAGATGAGCCGTCCTGGAATGTGTAGTATAACCGAACGATCCCTGGATGTTCTATCAATCGATTAAGCGTGTCCTTTTCGATATTCACATATTTGATCTTCTTCTCCTTGATGATGTGCTTCTTGTCCAAAATCTTGACTGCATATTCCTTCAAGGTTTGCCGATCCGTAGCCAACATGACCGTGCTGTATGAGCCTTCTCCCAGGGTTCGGCCAAACACAAAATCCCTGACCCCCTTCTTGACTTGCCTCAAAACGAGTTTCCCGCTTTCATCGAGCTCCTCTCTTACGCCAACAGCTGCTCCTTTATCCTTCCACTCCTCGCTGCTGGGCACCAGGTTTCCCTCGAGGTCGTATCTGGGCGCAGGGGAACTCGATGCGCTAGGGGTACCATCGGTATGACCTCCACCCATCCCCCTCGAGCTGCGTCTTGGTGGTGCCGGCACATTTCCAGCTGGTAGGGGGCTCTTCTGGCTGTAGGATCGGTCCCGATGGCTCAGCTCCCTCGAGGGCACACCTGAGGGCATGTGTACTGATCGCGAATCGCTTCTTGTCCCCGTTTCCGAGATCGAGGACTTGAGAGACTCATTCCGTATCCTGTAAGAGCCGGGATCACGGGTGGGTATCGCATTCGGCGGTGGGTGCGCTGAGTAGATTCCGGAGACAGGCCTCAAAGATCCTGCAGGCGGGTAATTTCTGCTACCGCTCTGCATTACGCTTGGCTGGTATGTATGGAACTGTGCTTGTTGTTGTGCTTGATGGCTCAAGGGCATGCTCTGGCGGTGTGCCTTGACCGCTGCCGCTCGTGCCAGGTTGTCCTTCCTGGGTTTGAAAGACTCGTTGCTGCTAGACTCCGACCTTGAGATGCTGGGCTGTGGCTCGAGAATCTGGGCCGGACGTCGTGATGGCGGGGAGGTATCACCGGAGGAATCTCCACGGCGGAAGATGTTGAAAAGAGAGCGTCTCCGAGACTGAAACAGAGACTGAGACTGTGGGTCTGTTGATGACCGTACTTCTCGCGATATCGTGGACGGATTCGGTACCTCGTCGTCGGTAGTTCGTGAGGGTTCGAGCAAGGCAGGTGTTAGACTCAGGGAGGAGTATGTGGGGAAGTCTGGAGATGTTCCCGGGGACGCATCATCGGGGTTCGCAACTGTGAGCACAGAAATCAGCACTGAGTTCAGTGCCAGGTCGGGCCAGGAGATGAGGTCGGGGGATGAGGGGGATAATCCCCATGCACATCCAGACGGTTTGGTCTGGTCTGGGCTGGCTGGGACCGCAGATGGCGGACCAAGGGGTAGTAGGGAAGGGTATGTATGATATGGTGTGAAATGGTATGGCAATGATATAGAGGGTCGAGTCAAGGGCAAAGAGAGCAGAGTAACGTACTTCGTAGACCACCCGGAGAGTGAAGATGGTGGTTGTTCATGGCTGTCGCCGCGGGGAGTCTCAGCAGTTACAGCACAGCAACAGCAGTCGTGGAGGTGGTGCCAATGATTAATTCCCCGTACCCTGGCCCACTCGCGGATACAGTACCATAATAATAATAATAATAGACAAAGGATCATATACCACACACACTCTATCCGAGCACTTTATTGAAGTCAGTATCATTCATGCCCGGAGTGCGGAATTGAGTGCAATAGGTAGCTTACGGGAAGGAGGTCGATCGACGAGCCCAGTGCTGTGCAGTGTAATCCGGGCCTGATCGTATAGGGGCAACAATAGGGCAGGGCAGGACAGGACAGGATAAGACCAGGCAGGGCAGGGCAGGGCAGGATAACCTCTGTTGTCTCTTACAACCTCATATCTCGGAGGATAGAGAAATATGGAAATATGAGAGAAATTGTAATAATTGTTATGATTGTTACCTATGATTGTCATTCGGCCATTGTCTACCGTACTTAGCCAGTTCCGTAGTCAGGTTACTACCTACCTACCTAGTCAATCATAGTAGGGGCCGGGCCCAGCGAGTCAGCCACGAGCCCGGCCTATTAATACATATGCGATTAATCAACACAGCGACACGTGTCACACTAGTAACAACAGCTACACTAGTAATCAGTAACAGCTAAAAGAAGTTAGAAGCAATCAATAATACTAGCAATACTAAGATTACTACAAATAGTAATACTAGGTAGTAACACACACTAGCGCATTCCGCTGGATTACGTTGGATTATGCTTACGTACCTGTTGGACTCACCACCCACCAGCACCCGAGCAGAGGCCATCCGACTATCCAACTCTATCACCACATTCTCATAGTCAGGATTCAGGAAGCCGTTGGTAGTCGAACATTCGTCGTTCCTTCCAAACATGGACTGCCGTGTGGAAAAAGAGCCGAGTCCGCACTTGCCGGCGACTGAGGAGGCAACTGAGGAGGCAACTGAGGAGGCAATGGATTCCCTCCCTCCCCTCTTTTCCCTCTCTTGTTCGACCCGTTGTCCAGTTTTTTCCTATTTACTTGCGTCTTTGTAAAACCTCATTCGCATTGCAGAACACTCATAATGATTCGCTTACCGCCCTCAGCACTTCAACTGGGTGTGAGTGACGTAAGAGATTACGAGAAGCGACAACAGGCTAGGCGTAGAAAGAAATGCAGCGAGACAAGCAGCATCAGCTTCAGCATTAATATCAATATCAGCGACCAGTTTTCTCGCATTGGAATTCGCGCGTCTAACGACGATAAGGGGGGGACTGGCCGGGTCCCTCAAAGCCAAAGAAGCCGTCATTCGATGCCAGAAGGGAACGACTTCAGGAAGACGATCACCCTCCCTACACCAAGCTCTACGGATACTGTACCGGTCGAGGTAGTCTCCCCAGATACATCGAATAGCCTTTGCTTGACTAGCGATCTCGTGATCCGGTCGCCCTCGCAAGCATCATCGACCAGCTCACAAGAATTATCCGTAATAGAACTAGAGGGCGATGAACATGGCTATGTGAATGTAAGACTGGATCAATCTCCCGAGAACGCTCATCATGATCTTCACAGAGTCTACTCACCATCGAAGGATGATTTCTATTACGGCGGTTTCATTGAAACCCCTACCAGAAGTGTTGTGGATGACACGACGCAGAGTCCCCTCAGTATGATCCAAAGCCCTCATCAGTTACTTACGTTGCTAAACCACGCACAGCGCCCAACGATGCTTCTACCACTCAACAACTACAGCCTCCCAGTTCGCATAGGCTGCGTCCAAGAGCACTCCCTCGCTCGCCTCTGTTCCTGTCTCAGAATGCATCGACCTCTCCCGAACGTCGTCCGACTTCCAATCTCACTCCGCATGTTGCCTCCCGAGTAACTCATCACCACACGCCAAGTATCCTCTTTTCTCAACCCCCTAGGCGTCCACCTCGTCCTGGCGGGCCGACGAGCTCGACTCGTACACTCAGACACCAAACGAACAGTTTCTCGTTTGACTCGTCAGAGAGATCGAGTGCGGCGTACGAACAAGAGCGCGTGGTTTCTAGCTCTAGTAATGGCATAGCTCGAGGATCAGCCGAGGTCAACCTTCACGATGATCTGAGAGGAAGTTCCTTACAGAGCTCCAGAAACCCTTCCGCTGAATCATCCGGCTTTCCAGGATCTCATGAGATACCGGACGAACATGAATCAACGGCTCTTCCAGGTGATGTAGGCGATGGAAGGAATACGTTCTTGTTCTCATCTCCTAGGCTACCTTTACCGCCACCCTTCTCGACCGTATCTCGTAGCGTCTCGAGGGCTGAATCACTCCCATCGTCGCCAACCCATGATCCCATGATGGGGAATCTTCCTGCAAGCCCGATCAGAAGTTCGTCAACTACACCAGTCCGAGTCGGTTCTGGACAGCGGAATCACAGTCCTCCCTCGGGCCGGACAAGAGAGCAGGCTCAGGGCCCAGATTCGAGCCCACCAGTATGAAATCTTCCTACGAGCATGCAGTCAGTGCAGGCTAATTCAAAAATAGTCTGGGTCTCGACCTAGCTTCTCCAATCTTATGAGCCGGACGATCAATAACTTCAGAACCATCTCACCTTTCAGTCGTCAGGGCTCACCCCAAACAACCTCTCCTTCAGCCTCGCCAACACCGCGGCACGAACGAAGTCGTGAAGTATCAGGCGAGCTGGGTCCTATGACGCCGTCGCGAACATACCAAATTTATAACGATGCCTTGTCTCCCGATATACAGCCCCAAACCCCAGCAAACTTACCGGAATCGAGACACCAATCTCGATACCATCCCTCGTACACGGCACCAGTGACCCGGGCCGTGGCTAGACGTGGTGCCCCTATCAACAACAGTGACGGGGAAGGTATGGCTGGCATCTACCGAAGACGCCAGGTGCCGTTCTATACGCCTATGCGAGGTGGCCGACCACCGTCGCCCATTGGTTTGACGCAGGGGGGCTTCCAGGGCCTGTACGGAGGCAGAGAGAATGGAGATGATGAACAGAGTTGGGTTGATGGTGTGAGGTTCAATAATGCCGAGACTCGACTTTGGGGTGCCAGAGATGCCCAGAATGAGGGTGGCAATTTGAGGTCGACGCCTGAGCCTGACGAGTGGCGAGTTGGACGCAGGAACTAAGATGTGGATGCCATGTTATCACGCCAGCGGAGGACGCGATTATCTACTAGATGGCGCTCTATGTGGTTGACCTTCATCGAGGGTAGATTGGGAACATGAACTTTGAGTCGTGTAACTCAGGAAGGCAACGGAGAATATTGTTGTTTTCTTGGAGCCTCCTTAGCGGGATGTATTATTATGTCGTTACGTGGCCTCCCTTACTTACTGTTCGGGAGCAGAATAGCAGGACCAAAGCATGCACCCGAATTATATCGGGTTGCTCTGTTAGTAAATATTGACTCGGTTAGCTTGGAGCTAAGACTCCTAGCGAGGCGCTTTGCGGCGTGCCCAGATTTCATCCGTAAGTGTAGCAATCCTTCTTCTACGGAGTATCTGAATTTTGACATTCACGAAAAAAATTCCTAGCCAGCTGGGAACATAATCCACTCTCGGTTCATTGATTTTTCCATTCACCAAATTTGCATTTCCTTGCTCACCCCGTGCAGGCTCTGTCCCGTTCCTGTTACACGACATGGTGATCGACAGGAACCCGTGGAGTAGGAGGAGCTTCCCGCAGCCAATCAATGCCAGCCCATCCATATTCAGCCCCACCCACGACTAATCCGAACGGTCTGGCCTCGGTCTCGCCCAAAATATTGAGATAAGTGACGACATCGCGTCGCGACTTTCATTCATACCTAGCGCCAGGACCCCAGAGAAAAAATACACCCGGTAGTTGTTTAGTCAGAGCTACCTAGGTAAGCGGTCGGTGACGGCGAGAGCATCAGTCACTTCCTACCGCAGCTCCCTTTTCGTTTCCCTTTCCTTTTCCATTTTCTCCTAATTCATCGTTTCGTTTGCATGGTCGATCCTGCAGCCTGCTGCTTCATATTTCCTGGTCGCGTGCAAACATACCTGGCATTCATTCCTCTCTCTCTCTCTCTCTCCTCTACTGCACTTACATCCCTCCCTGCCCCCAAACCAGTGTTCATCATGGCCTCAGATATAGGGGCGAGGCGGAGCAGCGTGCCCGCGCATGCTGCTGATTCTGCAGACCATGATCCGTACGAGGACGATTCTCAGCTCGCGTTCGGCGAAGTTGCGAGACCGGCCATGTCCCGGAAATGGCAGACAGACCGGGTCGTCAACGCGCCGATGTGGGATGCGCCCGGCTTGACACGATACCCGACCTCCTTCTCGGCGAAAAAAAGTACCTGGCAGAGCCCCGTCGATGAGGACTCCGCAACCAGTAGCTCCTCGGACGACGACGGCAGCGACGATGAGAAAAAGCCCAAGAAGAAGCGCGGGAAGCCAAGGAGGGGCATGAGCACCAAGCGAGACTCATACTCGCGGTTCAAGGTGGGCAATGAAGATTTCAATACGAAGGGGAAGGTGTCCAAGAAGGATGGGAGGCTGAATATCAGTGTGAATGAGACGAGCAATCGGGGGTATCTGGCCAAGGCGCTGGGAGCGACGTTTCTCAAGCACGTTGCGGGCGATCATGGGATGGCGGATGCAAGGGGTAGGGGTACGACTGCGTCTGAAACTTCGAGCGCGAGGACTTCGTCGGATGTGCCGCGCCCCAAGCTGAATATCGTTGTCATGGTTATTGGGAGTCGGGGTGATATCCAGCCGTTCTTAAAGCTGGGGAAGAACCTCAAGGAATATGGACATAGAGTACGGATAGCCACTCATCCTGCTTTCAAGGAGTTTGTCGAGAAGGACTCGGGGCTTGAGTTCTTCTCGGTGGGAGGAGATCCGGCGGAGCTTATGGCGTTCATGGTAAAGAATCCGGGTATGATACCTACGATGGAGACGTTAAAGAAAGGGGAAGTTGGACGGCGCAGGGAGCAGATGGCGCAAATGTTTGAGGGTTTCTGGAGAGCTTGCATCAATGCCACAGACGACGAGAAGGATATGAACAACAAGAAGATGATGGGGGCCAAGGCACCATTTGTCGCGGACGCCATTATCGCTAATCCACCCTCCTTTGCGCATATACATTGTGCGGAGAGACTAGGCATCCCGCTGCATCTGATGTTCACATTCCCGTATACGCCTACACAGGCCTTCCCGCACCCGCTGGCGAATATTAAGAAGTCGAATGTCGATACTGGATACGCGAATTTCATGTCCTACCCTCTAGTAGAGATGATGACTTGGCAGGGATTGGGAGACTTGGTCAACGCGTTCCGCATCAAGACTTTGGGTCTTGAGCCAGTCAACACGCTGTGGGCGCCTGGCCAGCTGTACCGTCTCAAAGTGCCTTACACATACCTCTGGAGCCCAGGACTCGTACCAAAGCCCAAGGATTGGGGACCAGAAATCGACATTGCTGGTTTCGTGTTCCTCGACTTGGCCTCGTCATTCAAACCACCGGAGGATCTCGTCAAGTTCCTGGAGGCCGGAGAAACACCAGTGTATATCGGATTTGGCTCAATCGTAGTTGATGAGCCTGATAAGTTCACCAAGATGATCTTTCAGGCTGTGGAGAAGGCGGGCGTAAGAGCGCTTGTTTCCAAGGGGTGGGGTGGGCTGGGTGATGATAATACACCTGATAATGTGTATATGCTTGAGAACACCCCCCACGATTGGTTATTTCCAAGGGTCTCTGCTGTGGTTCATCATGGTGGTGCTGGAACGACGGCTATTGGGCTGAAGTGTGGGAAGCCGGCAATGATTGTGCCATTTTTTGGAGATCAGATGTAACTCATTGACTCTATTTTCTCGTAAGTGTATATTTGGCTGATGTGCTTTAGGTTCTGGGGAATAATGATGAGCGAAGCAGGGGCAGGGCCTGATCCCGTCCCTCACAAGGAACTAACTGTCGACAAGCTCGCAGAAGGTATTAAATTCTTATTGACTGAGAAAGCACGCAAAGCAGCCGAGAAAATTGCAAAGGATATCGAGGAAGAAGGAGACGGTTCCAAGAACGCCGTGACATCCTTCCACCGCAGTCTTGTGCTTAGAGGCGAGCACTCGATGCGCTGCTCCATCCTGGAGGACCGAGTAGCAGTCTGGTCTTTCAAGGGCACGAGTCTACGCTTAAGTGCCTTGGCGGCAGACCTCCTTGTGGAGAAGAAGAAAATCACATGGAAGCAGTTGAGATTGATACGACACAGTGAGTGGAATGACTTTGAAGGACCCGGAGAGCCGCTTACGGGTGGAGCGACGGCCATCATGGGGACTGTGACGGGTATTGCTACAGGCGTTGGCAGTGTGCCGTTCAAGATTGCCAAGAATGCCAAACGACGGGCAAAGCATGCTCAGAAGAAGCGTAGAAAGTCTGAGCAGGCTGGTCTCAAGTCCCCGGAGGCTGGTAGTGGAAAGAATAGTGCTGGCCAGATGAACGGCGCCCCGAAACAGGATACCATTAACAAAAATCCCAACAAAGGGAACGACAACGCGCAAGTCAATGGGAAGCCTAGGGGCACGGAGAATGAGTATCCGACTGATGTGGGTATGGGTGATGCTATACCAGCCTCCAAGGCTCCGGGTACAGGCATGGAGAAGGTCACTTGTGGCCCTGATCTTGGGAAGCACTCCCAGACCGGCGAGCCGATATCGCAGAAGCTTGAGGGTCGGGGTGAATCTCAACATCATCAAGAAAACGACGCAGATTCAGTTATGTCTGATGACCCTAATGAAAACGCTGCTGTCGAGGCTGGGAAGCATGTTGGATTGGGAATTGGGAAGACGGCGGAGCATATAGCTCGAGCCCCCATGGATCTTACTCTTGCTATCGCCCAAGGTTTCCATAATGCTCCTCGTCTGTATGGTGACGAGACAGTGAGAAGGTAAGCCCTGATCCCTATACAGCACTGCATTTGAAGATCTAACAGAGCTACAGACCTACTCGCATCACCGGAATCAAGTCTGGTCTCAAAGCTGCTGGAGAAGAGTTCACCTTTGGCATCTACGACGGTTTTACTGGTCTCGTTACCCAGCCCTGTAAAGGCGCCCGTGATGGCGGACCCATTGGATTCGTCAAAGGCGTTGGTATGGGCCTCACAGGATTCGTCCTCAAAGACCTCGCAGCGATCTTTGGACCGTTTGGCTACACGTTCAAAGGTATACATAAAGAGCTTGTCAAAGGCAAACAGCCCACCAACTTCATTCGAAAAGCACGAATCATGGAAGGCCAGCGCGATCTCAGCGCCCTGGATGAAAAAGAAAACAAGAGAGCGTCCGAGATGGTCACCCATGGCTGGGATGTGGTACAGCAGGTATGGGCTATCATGGAAGAGAAGCGGTCGCATGGATTGAAGGGGAGACTCAAGGCGATGCGCGAGCATAAGACTTGGAGGAATGATGGAGCCTTTGAGAATATTCAGATGGCGGAGAAGGCTGTGGAGGCTACGAAGAGGGGAGAGAGTCTTGAGAGGGTGTTCGCGCAGCAGAGAGAGGAGTTGCGGTTGGCGCAGAAGCCTCGTAAGAACGTCGTACAGGATCTCAAGCAAGGGAAGAAGGGGGGCGAGATGGACGATGGTTAGGTTGTGCAAAAATGAGAGGAGCCAAAAGCCGCCTGTTGAGGAGATGCCGAAGATTCCCTCCAAGTAATTGATCATGGTCGTGGTAGCGAGTGTACGATAGAAGCAGCCCGGGATAGAGAGAGGGAGGAGTTTGTAGGTTTCGTTAGGTACCTGTACCGGTAGTAGCGATGGTGTTTTGGTGTTGGCCGTCTCCTCCGAGTCGTTGAGCGAAGATGCAATTATTGTATAATCTCAATTAATACTGGACTAATCAATTCGATTTCGATATCTCCTGGTGTTTTGAGCTCCCTTGTGAAGTATTTGGAGAAGTTTTCAAGGATTCGAATTTGTGACGGACCCCTCCACAAGGCTGACCAGCTATAAGCGACCCTTCCGAAAATGAGTCAAAAATTACCGCGGGGTCACAACTCGTTTAACACCAACCTACCCAATTTTCCGTCTTGCGTCTCGTGGGCTCTCTCACACACACCACAAACTTGAGATAACACTCGTCGCAGTGTCACTCGGCCCTCTTCACCTTCCGGTGTACCAGAATACTCGATACCGCTGCACACCGGCCGCCGATTGAAAACATGAGCATCGACTTCCCCAAGGAGGAGGAGAGCGTTCTCAAGCTGTGGAAGGAAATCGACGCGTTCCAAAGACAGCTACAGCTCTCTGAGGGTCGCCCGCTATATACCTTCTACGATGGGCCACCCTTCGCTACGTAGGTCTTTCCGCATGCTGGAAGGCGACGGCGAGGTATTTGCAATACTGACAATATACAGCGGCTTGCCCCATTATGGCCACCTCCTGGCTTCCACCATCAAGGACATTATTCCGAGATACTGGTCGATGAAGGGGTTCCACGTAGAGAGACGGTTTGGGTGGGACACACACGGCTTGCCAATCGAGCACGAGATTGACAAGAAGCTGGGGATTACGGGCAAGGCTGCGGTCATGGAGCTAGGTCTGGAGAAGTACAACGCCGAGTGCAGAGCTATCGTCATGAGATTCTCTGCGGAGTGGAGGGCGACCATCGACCGCCTGGGACGCTGGATCGACTTTGACAACGATTACAAGACGATGGACCCGAAGTTCATGGAGTCGACCTGGTGGGTGTTCAAGTCCATCTTCGAGAAAGGCCAGGTGTATCAGGGATACCGGGTCATGCCATACTCGACTGCCCTTACTACGGCACTGTCCAATTTCGAGGCGAACCAGAATTACCAGGACGTTACTGATCCAGCCGTTGTGGTCTCTTTCCCGCTGCTGGAGGATCCGAATACATGTCTCTTGGCCTGGACAACTACTCCTTGGACACTGCCTTCCCATACGGGTCTGGCTGCGCACCCCGACTTTGAGTACGTTAAGATACACGACGAGGTTTCCGGAAAGAACTTCATCCTCCTGGAAAAGCTGCTAGGCACTGTGTACAAGGATGTCAAGAAAGCCAAGTTCAAGAAATTATCGACGATCAAAGGCAGTGAGATGCTTGGATGGAAGTACGAGCCATTGTTCGATTACTTCTACGACGAGTTCAAGGACTACGGATTTCGAGTTCTGAATGCGACCTATGTTACGGACGACAGTGGTGTGGGGATTGTACACCAAGCACCCGCCTTCGGAGAGGAAGATTACAATGTTGCCATAGATCATGGTGTCATATCTGAAAAGCGCCCACCCCCAAATCCAGTCGATGAGAGAGGTCTGTTCACGTCGAAGGTGCGCGACTTCGAAGGCATGCACGTCAAGGCTGCCGACAAGGCCATCATCAAACACTTGAAGGGGACGGGTAGAATCGTCGCGGACTCCCAGATCAAACATAGTTACCCTATGTGCTATCGTTCCGATACCCCCTTGATCTACAGAGCCGTTCCGTCGTGGTTCATCAGAATCCCAGAGATCATCCCTCAGATGTTGACCAACATCGAAGATTCTCACTGGGTACCATCATTCGTCAAAGAGAAGCGATTTGCCAACTGGATCAGTGGCGCGCGCGACTGGAATGTTTCCCGCAACCGATATTGGGGAACTCCGATCCCAATCTGGGTCAGCGATGATTTCGAAGAGAAGGTTTGCATTGGCAGCATTGCCGAGCTCAAGGAACTTAGTGGCTACGAGGGCGACCTGACTGATCTCCATCGCGACAAGATTGATAACATCACTATCCCGAGTAAGATGGGCAAGGGCACGCTGAGACGCATTGAAGAGGTTTTCGATTGTTGGTTCGAGTCCGGAAGTATGCCATACGCCAGTCAGCACTACCCATTCGAGAACAAGGACAAGCTTGAGAAATCTTTCCCTGGAGATTTCATCGCTGAGGGTCTAGATCAGACGAGAGGTTGGTTCTACACGCTGCTTGTGATTGGTACACATCTTTTCGGAGTATCGCCTTTCAAGAATTGTGTTGTAAATGGAATCGTGTTGGCCGAAGACGGAAAGAAGATGTCGAAGAGACTGAAAAACTACCCCGATCCGGCTATTGTCATGGAGAAATATGGTTCTGATGCGCTGCGTCTGTACCTGATCAATTCACCTGTTGTACGCGCCGAGCCACTCCGATTCAAGGAGGCTGGCGTTAAGGAAGTCGTCGCCAAGGTCTTATTGCCGCTGTGGAACAGCTACAAGTTTTTCGAAGGCCAAGTTGCGCTTTTGAAGAAGATTGAGAACGTTGACTACTGCTTCGACCCCGCTGCCGAGGCTACCAATACAAATGTTATGGATAGATGGATTCTGGCGAGCTGTCAAAGTCTGCTGAAATTCGTCAACGAGGAGATGGCTGGTAGGAGACATCTTCCATTTCATTATTTGCCTATACTGACTCAATCCAGGTTATCGCCTATACACTGTTGTCCCCAGACTTCTGGGTCTCATTGATAACACGACCAACTGGTACATCCGGTTCAACCGAAAGCGTCTAAAGGGAGAGCTCGGGCTCACCGATACCAAACACGCACTCAACACTCTCTTCGAAGTCCTTTTCACTCTCGTCAAAGGTCTCGCTCCATTCACCCCGTTTATCACCGACACCATCTACCAACGTTTACGGCCACATATTCCCAAAGATCTTCAGGCAGAGGACCCTCGTAGTGTTCACTTCCTACCATTCCCAGATGTCCGATCAGAACTTTTCAATGAGGAAATCGAGCGTCGTGTTGGTAGGATGCAAAAGGTCATCGAGTTGGCCCGAGTATCGAGAGAACGTCGGACCATCGGTCTGAAGACTCCTCTGAAGAGCTTAGTTGTTATCCACCCAGATTCCGTCTACTTGGATGATGTTCGATCGCTAGAAGGCTACATCACTGAAGAGCTTAACATCCAAGAGTTGGTGCTTTCTTCAGACGAGGCAAAATACAACGTCCAATACAGCGTGACTGCCGACTGGCCAGTTCTCGGCAAGAAGTTGAAGAAGGATGTTCAGAAAGTCAAGAAGGCACTTCCAGGACTGACGAGCGACCAAGTTCATAAATTTGTACTGGACAAGACCATTACTGTTGATGGTATTGCGCTCGAGGACGGAGACCTCGTTGTTAAGAGAGGCCTGAAAGATGATGAGTCGTCGAAGAAACTGGAGACAAACACAGATGATGATGTCCTCACTATCCTCGATGCAGAGATCTACCCAGAACTCGCAGACCAGGCATTGGCGAGAGAGATCATCAACCGTGTCCAGCGACTGCGAAAGAAGGCCGGACTTCAGCCCACAGACGATGTGAAGATGGAGTACAAAGTCCTGTCTGATCCTGAGAACATTGGCCTTGCCAATGCCTTTGCGAGTCAATCGAGCACTATTGAGAAAGCATTGCGCCGGCCAATTGATCATCACGTAGTAACGGAGAAATCGGATGCTAATCCTGACAAGGCTGAGGCAGGTGTTATCTTGGAAGAGGAGCAGGAGATCTCGAAAGCTTTGTTTTTGCTGAGATTGCTGAAGCTATGAACAATGAACCGGATGTAGGCCTCTTAAAATCACAAAGATCTATAGTCCCTTATAATGTCCTATAGTCTACGTACGTGTCCTGGGATCACTTAAGTAGATTTGTTCCCTTTCTCGAGGCGTCAAGGTTTCTTTGCGGCAGCCTACGCTGTGTATAAGCAATGAACGAAAAGTAAAATAAAACTGTAACGAACAATATAGCAGTTCTTCAGACGTAAAAACTCTGTGAGACATTTGTCCTTGTGTACTGCATTGTAGTCCGCTACTATGCATTTGCCGTACACTGAAGCCTGTATTGTATTGTATTTAGCTATTGACTGCCCTTGCTTCTGGGTGCATGTGGTTCTCACCTCCGCCGAGCACTTCGCAGCTGCTTGCGCGAACTTTTCAATGGGTCGCGTTCGAGAAGGCATGTTTGTTGTCTTGGGATCATCTGAAGTTGATCCGAGGTCAATGACACTGATGAAGCTCGGATCGGGTGATCTACCAATGAACTTGCAGGCTAGCGGTGAAGCTACCCGTAGCTTGGATCGTCGCGAAAACAGTTATTTAGAGACGCGTTCAACGCTCACAATTCCCACCACGGACTTGTTGCTCACCACAAACCACCGGCTACGCTTTGCGAAAAACCTTTGCTGAATCTCTTGCATTACGCGACCCGTTCCCATCAAGCAAAGTTTCCATTGGATGATTTCCCCGGATGCCTCTTTCTAAATGCCTCCATCAGGAAGCCCAACCCAATCCAGCACCGGACAAATTCACCCCAGAACCGCAGACCCATACTACAGCAACGAAGGTAAGTCTTGCTCTCCATCATCCCGCGCCTCTGACTAACCGTGGTAACAAGATGTGGCGCTTTTGCACGATATCGTCGTGCTGGCGCAAGAGCTGTTGCCCGGACTCCCAGAACGCGAAAGGTTGCCAACCAACGCGTTGTTTAACGCTTACTACGATATTCTGCCTCGGATTGGCGTTAATGCAGATCATGATAGCCGCTATGCGCGCGTTCTATTCAAGATTGGGGGCCTGCGCGGGGCAGGCACCCTCTACGAGAAGTTTGAAGAGATCCTCGCCCGGATGGGAATTGAGATCGAGTTCGACCACGGGGATGATGATAATGATAATACAGAAGGGGAGTACAATCAGGCCGAGCAGTCGCAGCATGGGCTTGACGTCTCGAACAACACCAGTAGCGACGCGCCTGCGGCTGGGAATTCACCAAAGCGCAGGCGCAATTCAGAGAGCTCGGCTTGGGATCTGGGGATCGACCAGCGAACACCAATTACGCCAAGACGCAACTCATTCACAACTATCGGGAATGCGAGATCCGAGTTTGGAACTTCGCAGGGTATACTGCAGGAACTTAGACAGCCTGCAAGCCGATCTAACATCCGTGCACCATCTAAGAACCGCGCACCGGTCAATCATAAGGAGGAGGATACTGTCGATAATGTTGGACTCTGGCTCAATGCGCGCTCACCCAAGTTGCGCGGCAGGAGTCGAGGGAGATCAGTCTCAACTCATGCGAGTTTGCGAATCAGACGCCGTGGCCGATCGAACTCCACTGGTCGCGGACATTATTCACAGTCAGTACACCCTTTGGACCCCTCTTCTGAGGATGATCATCGGGACCGTAATCTTACGAGTTTTATTTCTAGTTTTGGCGAAGAGACACGCGAGTTACTACACGATGAGCAGCCAGCCCATCAACCCGAGAATCTGCTGGAGATCAAAGCATCATTGGTCCTACAGCAAAGCGCACGCCACCTCACGAGACAGATTTTCCGGCAATGGAGACACAAAACTCTGCAGTTGCAAGAGGATGTCAAGATTCTTAACAGGGTCGCGAATTGGCACGACAAGAGATCGCTCCTTCGATCCGCTTTCGATCAATGGCGTGCTCAGTATCTGGAAAAACACACATCTACGGATGAGGAACAATTCTACGCTCATCTTGAAGAAGAGGCTACGAAAGCTCGAAACACCACATTGCTGCAGAGAGCATTCAACCACTGGTCCAACTCTGCTAACGAGCAAGTCGAACGTACAGCTGTTGCCCGAAGACATATTGTTAGGACACGGGTATTCAATGCCTGGAAAGAGATCACAGCTGTCAATGAGATGAAGGTACGGAGACATGTTTTGAAGAAGTTTTTCTCGAAATGGGTACAGAAGCGTGAGGAAACAGCACGGGACAACACCGCTGCTGTGCAGATGTATGAAGATAATCTGGTCAAGAAAGTCTATGACCAGTGGGCGAGGAAGGTATCGGAGCACAGAGCTACAGCTTTGTGGGCGGAGGGAGCGAAGCGCCGAGCGCTATTCAAATGGATCGTCGTCTCACACAACAACTGGGAGAGAAGCAGGACTGCAGAGGAGAGCGCGCGGCTCGATCTCATGTGGAACAAGTTGAAGGTCTGGAAGAATCAGATAGAGGTACGCAGGCGTCAGGAGCAGCAAGCCGAAGAACACTATCGCCACACCCTCCTTACCGGTTCTTTCGTAATATGGCGTCGAGAGCAACAGCTGTTGCAGCCCAAATTTACGGTGATGTCGAACGTGGCCACTCGAAGGCTACAAGACTCATTCCGGATTTGGGCCCACCGTGCCCGCCTAGAAAAACAGGCTGCTGAAGTCGATCGAACGAGGATACTGCGAGAAGCCTTGACAGCCTGGCGCCTTAAGCATCGGACTCAGATAGTAGTCGCTCGGCAGAATCGTCGGATTGCAGCAGAGGCCCTGTACAAGTGGAATGTGCAGGAGAAACTGAAGCTTGCCCAACAACTTCTCGCACGTCGACGACTTCAGAGTACCCTACAAGCCTGGAAGGAGAAATCGAAAGCGTCGAGCGAGCAGGCTGTGGATTTGGAAGCGATGGCTCAGGCATTCGTGGCTCGAAAGAGACAGAATGCCGTTCTCCAGTGCTGGAATGCACGGATGGCATCGAAACAGCAGCTTGAGGCTGCCGCTGTCGAATTCCGCAACCCACGTCTGACTCAAGGAGTAGTCTCGAAGTGGTCCGCACAACTCGAGCATGTTCAGGAGCTGGAGCAGCGATCGCGGATTGCCGAATACTACTTTGCGACCACCAAGGCCCTCAAAAAATGGAAAGCTTCCACGGAAGCTGCGAAAAGAGAGAAGCGGAAACTCGCCTATATACAGGTTCGGAGAACGGCTAAGATCAATCTGGCAAGGAACGTTCTCGAAAAATGGCGCGAAAAAGCGCGACAGGTTTCCAGTCTCCAAGCACAAGCAGCCGAGGTCCGCCACAACAAAGATATTATTATTGGGATGGATATCTTTGACCGGTGGAAAGGCAATGCTGAGGCGCTTGCGGGACTCGAATCGCTATGGCGGGAAACTGTGTTGAAGAAGCACTTCACTGCCTGGAGGAGACGGACGGATGCGGTACTGGCTCTTGAAACAGAAGCAGTGCTCACATACCAGGAAAGTCAAACGAGCCGAGCTGTCAAGCGGTGGAGTCTACAAACTTTGCAGCGTGGAGCCCATTCCAACTACGCGGCTGAAATCCGCGAGAAGAACGCGAAGAAGAATTTTAGGAAGATCTTCACATACTGGCGACACACCGCTCTCGAACGGCGACCTCTACCCAGGCGGAAAGTAGGATTCGCGGAGCCCGCTCAGTTAGGAGCTACAGAGCGAGCTGAAGCGTGGTCCGACTTTGGGGACGAGAATGAGATGAACGAGTGGGTGAATGGACTGGATGAGGGAGGAGGAGCCGCATCGACGCCCATCCCCGGGTATCTGAGTACGCCTTCCAGGTCCCGACGATCACAGAGAGTGATGGCCGTGGCCGCGAAATACTCTACGACGCCGAGAGCCCCTCTGTCTACGCCCTTTGAAAAAAAGTTGCGGGCACAGTGGTCTGGAGGCTAATGATGCATGCGAACCCGAAATTATGGATTGATTCGAGACTGGGGACACAGCGAACGGAGTCTGGTTCTCTGCGACACTTGTTTGCCTATGGGAAGAAGAGATGGAAATACCCAGGCGTTTTTTGTTTTTGGGGGGAGCTGCATAGGATCAAATGCACTTGCTTTGGAGAACGGAAGAAAGAGATACCCAGGCGTTTTGTATTGGAGTTGCACAGGTTCGACTGCATTGGTTTTGGATATGCTGGAAATGGGCAGATATAGATAGATGCCCAGGCGTTGTTTTGGTTTGAATTTGTAGGGGTTCTTCAATGCACATTGCTTTTGGAGGAAGGAAACAGAGAGATACCCAGGCGTTCTACTTGGGTAATTGAATAAATAAACTTTCAGTACAGAAGGACTTGTGGACTTGTGAAGTAACTGTCACTAATGAGTAGGGTTTACTTTTCTGGGTAGATAGATCAATGTAAATATATAGATATATTATGAACGAGGGAAAATCTTAGAGGAGCATCTCCTTGTCTCTGTTCAGCCTCGTCTCATTCAAGCACGTCAGCCTTTCCCAATTCAAAGCTCCAGTTGCACAAGGCGTCGGTCATCCGATATTCAACTTAACATGCCCTTCTCAACTCTAACTTAGCCCTAAGATTAAATACCACAGAATATTGCCGACCTGACATGCCGGCAGATACAACCAATATCTCAGATCTACGAAGGATGTGCCACGACGCGATCATATAATTGAGAGTTATGCGAGCTGTGCTTCCAGGAAAGCCACGGGCGAAGCTGCAAGCTGTCTGTACGTGCTACTGGCAGGACAGACGACTGATTGTAAGAAAAAACCTCTACAGATCAGGCTTATTGAAATTTTGAGGGACTTGAAACGCTCATCCGTGTCCAGGCATATATCACCGGAAATGCCTTCGTCGTGCTCGCCGGGCCCGAGTCCCTCCTGCAAACTATCTACGATGATGACGAGGACCACCTCGATGCGATCACTATCGACGAGGCGTCTGGGAAGATAGCGACGTGTGCTGGGCCTAAAATCCGTGTCTACAAGCCCTACGGGCAAGGGGAAGACGCTCTGAAGGTCGGCAGAGGCATTTGCGGTACCAATCTTCGGAACAATCACTAACTGGTAACAGTGGTCTCTCCAACACAGCTTTTCTATCGACGGACCCCCGACAGATTCCGCGACGACGCTATCATGGGGTGTCGCAGAAGAGCTGCTCGTTGGCAGCTCCTTGCTGACCCTCTTCGCGACAGCAGATACGCCGACCCCCATCTGGAAGAAAGAGCCAGCCAATGCGGTCAAAATCGCCAAGTTCTCCTACGACTCCGCTTACGTCGCGTCGACCGGAAAATACGACCGTCTGGTCAAGATTTGGCGGAGGTTATCCTTCGGCGCAGACGACACGCGCTTCGATTTCAGCTACCTGCCTCACCCTGCCACGGTGACGGGCATGCACTGGAGGAGGCCGTACCACGCCGACCAGACGATCGAGAATGTGCTCTATACGATGTGCGCGGACAATGTGCTGAGGATATGGGCGGTCACTGACCCGCACGCTTCGCAAGACTTGCAGCTCTGGGGAAAGATTGATTTGGAGGAATCGATACAACCGAGAGGGTTGGCGGAGAAGTCGAACCTACGATTCGCGTTTGTTATTGACGGGAGAGATTTTATGTTGGCGACGGAGCATGCGGTTCAGGCGAAAGCTTCTGAAGGTCGCGAGGACCATGCTCTCTCTCACTTGATCGAGGTTGCGAATCGGAGCCCTGAGATATGTGTGGTGCTAGATGAGCACGGGAATATGTCTGCATGGGGACTCGAGAACGTGGGGATCAAAGCACGGCAGAAGACGAGCATTTTCAATGTTGCGCATTTGGAAGGGTTGAATCTGGGACTTCCGAAAGACTTGGAAGATGATGCGAGTTATGTCCAGTTCTACAATTTCTGCAACAAATCTGGCGCAGGTCTGAATATCCTAGTCCACCACTTCGATGGCAGGATCGAGTATTTCGAGAGTAATGTGGCCGAGCTGTTCGACCCTTCTCGCAAAAAACAGAGGTTGGTGTCGAAAGCCATCTGGACCGGACACTCTGCTAGCATCAAGAAGATGGTGCGGAATGTCGGCGGACAAGCTGTCGTCTCAAGGACCGACGGCAATGAAAGCATTGTGTGGAAGCACATGGATCGCGAGGGTGGAGCGTCGATTTTCAGGCAAAGTTTGGTCACTGAGCAGGATCATGTCCACAGAATATGTGTGCTGAGAAAGGGTAATTTTGTGATTTTCTTGCATCACGAGAGAATCGCATTATGGGATACGCGGTCTCTGGAAGCAACTCTGCTAGCCAGCTGCGAGTTCTCGCTCGCCGGAAAGCCTCTTTGCATTCTGATGTTGCCAGAGGCGGAAAATGATGGTCTTGTAGCCCATGTGGCTACAATCACCTCGAAGATGAAAGGTGTGATCTGGGAGATGAGACTGCCTGTGGCCGGTAAGAGCTGTACAGCTACCAATGGCGATTCGAAGCCGTCCATCCGAGAGTTCTGCCAGTTTGATCTGGGGGAGGACGATGATCTGGCGTATGTGCTTCCAGTCGACCCGGCTGGTTCGCCACCAGTGATGTCTGGGTTCTTGGACACTTTCGCCAGAGATATTGCACTCTCTTATACTCATTCTGGAGTGATCCGATCGTGGACTGCTAGACTTGACCTTGAAGCAAAGAAAGTAGAATGGCTGCAAACATGCTCGGTAGTGACTGGCATTTCAGGGCCATCGCTAGCAAGCGCGAACTCCATACGCAAAGCTGCGCTTGTAGATTCAACGAAGTCAGAGCTGACCATCTGGGATGTCCGAGGCGCTCAGCTAGAGTTCTCGCAGAGTTTCGCATCCCAAGACACGATACAAGATCTTGACTGGACATCGACGCCAGATGACCAGTCGATCCTTGCTGTAGGTTTTCGCTTCAGAGTCATCCTGCTTGCTCAGATGCGCTTCGATTACCTCGATAAGGGGCCAGCATGGGCTTCGATTAGAGAGTTCAACATCCGAGATCTCACGCCTCATCCCATTGGGGACTCTACTTGGCTCGGAGGCGGCAATCTCATTATTGGTGCTGGCAACCAAGTCTTCGTCTTTGGCAAAGAGGTGGACCACTCAGCTCCTGCGGTGTTGAGTCTTGGACTCCCTCCTCGGAAGCAGCCTTGGGACCTATTCGAAGTTGTCACGAGGTTCAATGGACCGCTTCCTGTGTACCATCCGCAATTCTTGGGCCAGTGCACGCTGGCTGGGAAGAGTATGGCTGTTCAGCATGTGCTCCTTGCCTTGCACAAGACCTTAAAGTACTATGTCGAGGGTGACGCTATTGATAGTCATCTAGGCATGGATCTGGAGGAATTCTATACGAACAACGATGTGAGATGATCAAAAACTTGGGGATATGCATTGCTAATTTTGATAGGTGATATCATCTTCCACAGCTATAAGCAGAGCGAACAAATCTTTCGGCGCCTTTTCAGATGATGAGGAGGAGGCCGAGACGGTGACCGAGAGCGTCGCAGCTGCGATCAACGAAAAGCTAACGAAGATTGCACTACCACAACTCTCTAGACAAGAGCAAATTACTCTTGCTGACAACGTCGAGTGCGTTGCCATTGTCGAGAAGCAGCGTCGCTCAATGGACGACAATGCTGCTCGGTTCATGCTTTTCTTCCGCCAACATATTCTGCACCGTGGTCGTGCGAATGAAGTTCGACTTTCGTGGCGGGAGATCAATTGGGCGTACCATAGCAACAGTCAGGATATCTTGGCAGATATGGTGAATCGGCAGTTCCACAGCAAAATGCTCTGGGAGCATGCACGCGAGAGTGGCATATTCATGTGGATGACGGATTCTACCGCACTAGTATGACTGCGCCGAATATTTCCAGTTGGAGGCTAACATGTTTTCAGAAAGCTCAATTCGAAGTCATTGCTCGGAATGAGTACACGAAAAGCGACTTCAAGAACCCGCAGGATTGTACTCTGTACTATCTTGCTCTCAAAAAGAAAACGGTTCTCCAAGGACTGTGGCGTATGGCTGGCTGGAACCGGGAACAGGTTGCGACTCTGCGGCTTCTCTCGAACAATTTCAATGAGAAGAAGTGGAAGACTGCGGCTATGAAGAATGCGTATGCTCTCCTTGGAAAGCATAGACATGGTAGGTGAATAGTCTACGATTATCTCGATGCTGCTGACTCGGTGATAGAGTATGCAGCAGCGTTTTTCCTCCTCGCAGACTGTCTACGGGATGCTGTCAGCGTCATCTTGAACCAACTCAAAGATCTTCAGTTGGCGATCGCAGTCACCCGAGTCTACGAAGGCGAGAATGGACCTGTACTGAAGGAGCTCTTGACCGACAAAGTCCTGCCTCTAGCTGCCCAGGAGGGTAACCGGTGGCTGGCATCGTGGGCATTTTGGATGCTTCACAGAAGAGACATGTCTGTGAGAGCACTGATAGTGAGGTTCCCGGGCCATCATCTCTCGTATCTGTCACTAATATCAACAGTCGCCTGTCTACACGCTCCTGGAGACCCCCCAGGCGCCAGACCTCCAATCTAAACTCTTCCTCACCGATGACCCCGCGCTGGTCGTCCTCTATGCCCAGCTCCGGCAGAAGACGCTACAAACGCTTCGTGGCGCCTCAAAGATAACGCCCAAGGTGGAATGGGCTTTCGTGATACACAACGCCCGATTGTACGATCGTATGGGCTGCGATCTGCTTGCTTTAGATCTCGGTATGAGCCCCTCCTCGCCAATCCTGCATCTCCTTACTGACCGCTCGAAGTCCGCAACTGGGAATTCCTTCTCCCCGCACCTACAGCATCCAAGGACATTGGCGGCGACCCGGATATGCGCTCCATGCTACGCCGGCGCTCTTCGCTCGTCGTCGCCGATCTACCGGTGTCCAAATTGTCGATGGACATGCAGTCCGGGGGGCACAAGCCGGCGCCTAGCGTGTTCAAGGAGCCCGAGTCGAGCTCGCTGTTAGATAGTTTTGGGTTCTGAATAAAGAGTTCGGATAGGGCAGTCAGTATCCCTACCTTACTATTTACGGGAGGAGCTACTTTTTTTCGCATGGCTCCGGCGTTTTTTGGGGGGGGGGGGGGGAGGGTTGGTGTGTGAGGAGGAAGAATACCCGTTGCTGGCGAACCCTTGTTTGTAATGTTTTGTAACAATAACCAAAACCCCACTTCCCACTTGGACACGCTGGATGGAGAGGTCGGTCCTTCGAAGCGGAGCGGTGTACAATAATATGTTCATCATTATTACATTGTACTGTAGAATTACAAATCGGGGACTCGACGGGTTGCTGTTGGGAATCGGGGTTGAGCGGGGAGGGGGTTGAACGCAGGGGGAATCTGGCACCGATAGAAAATGAGAGGATGAATTTGTACGTTTGATAAATTTGTTCTCCGGTGATAGCTGGAGGGAGCTGATGTGCTGGCTGATGTGTTGGCTGATGTGCTGGCCGATGTGCTGGCTGGCTGGCCCATCTCTTTTCCGAACTTGGTGGATGGCTCGGTAAGATAGGTAAGATAGGGTCAGGGTAGAGTTAGGGTAGAGTTAGGGTAGAGTTAGGGTAGAGTTAGGGTAGAGTTAGGGTAGAGTTAGGGTAGAGTTAGGGTAGAGTTAGAGTAGGGCAGAGTAAGTAGGCTTTGACCCGATTTGAAACGCCGGCGGGAAGTGCAGCGGCGTTAGGTATAGGCTGCTTGTCTGCCTGCTTGCCTGCTTGCCTGCTTGCTTGTCTGTCTGTCTCTCTTATGCAAGCGAGCGAGCGCGACCACAGAAGCAAGGAAACAAGCATGGAAAATTAGAGTCGACGGGGCGCTAGGCTGGTGACTGGAGAGGGGACGAAACGAGCCTAGATTCTACGACGTGCAACAAAAGGGGGCCGAAAAAAAGAATAGGATGGATTCGAATAAGCTCCTGGGCTGCGTTTTGGTGCTATCGGGAGCGGGAGAGCATGGGGGTGGGGGTGGGCAGGCGAGGAAGTGAGACTTGAGGACAAGAACGACTAAGATCAAGATGAAGATGGCGAGGACTGAGTGGGAGTTTCATGGTGGTGGTGGTTGTGGTAGCAGTAGCAGTAGTAGCAGTAGTAGCAGTAGTAGTAGTATTGATTTACCTCGGGCGGGTTATCTAAGACGTTAATGCTTAGACCCTAGGGACCTCCTATAAGGTACGGCGACATGCTACGTAGAGGAATTATATATAACGCACTATCTAATCGAAAGCAAAAACTCCGTTCCGAGAGAGCGTTCTCTCAAATAGCCTCGGGTTTCTCATCTCGCGGTATCGCAGACTCTCTATAGGCCTCTTACAGGCATTTCAAGTTAGTGAGTGTAGCGCAGCTGCTATCGACTACTGTATGCTCTTTTTTCAGAGAAAGGATGGATCGCAGAGAAGATGAATCTTGTGTCGAAGGAAAAACATGAAGAGCGAATTACGGCGTGAGTAACGTATATCGAGATCGATTTGATGTTCAAGTGATTCGAAGCCGGATTCGGGGTCGGCTCCGTGGTTTCCGAAGGCGCAATATCGTAGATCGTCCTGGACCTCTTCCTACCTCTCTTCGCCCCGTTCCCCCTTTATCGCAAATCCTCCCGGTCTTTTCAGTTGGTAGGCAGGCCCATCAGGTATAGATCGTAGTCGGCATGGTGGCCGAGGCAAGAGGAGGCTCGTTCGGAATCGCCGGTAAGGGATAGTCTCTTCGAAAAGGCCACCTTGATTCAATATCGGCTCTCCAGATTTACTCTGCCGCAGGAAGGAGAGCCGAAGGTTCGTAGGGGGCACCTCGCACAGGTAAAGAATCTTAGCCCCCCAAAGGAATAGTGAAGTGATTTTGGTAAGTAGATATATAGATAGGTAGGAGGTAAATAAGTAAATAAATAGATAGATTTATAGATTTATAGACGATTATGCGTGCAAAAAGAAAGGATCTGAAGAGTGATGGAAATAAGAAACGATGGTTTTTTTTTTTGGTTATCCTTTTTTACTTACATACATGCCTTGACTTACCTTACCCAGTTCGTCGAATTTTGGTCCGAAGAGGCATGCTCCTCCCCTTTTTTCCCCTTTCCCCCTTTTTCCCCCTTTTTTTTTACTTCGAGGACAAGAAAGAGAGACGAAATAGCTCTGGTTTGAAACGACGTGGAAAATACAGTGGCGTTATAATAGCGGCAGGCTGCGCGCCTTGCTTGCTTGACTAGGTAGGTAAAGGTAAGTAAGGTGGGGAGGTGGTGGAGAAGGGCACTTTCCTTTCTTATGCAAGCGAGCGAGCGAATAAGTGAAACAAGCAAGGAAAAAGCCATGACCAAGCGACGGGAGCGAAACGGGCCTAGATTCTACGACGTGCAACAAAGAATGGAAATAAGAACAAGCTCTCGAGCCGGATGTATTACTAACGGGAGCGAGCAAGGAAGCAAGCGAAGGAAGCAAGACCGCGACGGCTGAGTAAGATTCTAAAAGTATGGATGGATGGATAGACGGATGGAAATACTCAATGCTCGCGGTCTGGCACCAGTAATTTTCTAGCAAGATGGTTATTAGCTATCTTAGCTAGAGCCAAGTTGTCAACCTATACGACACAATACAACGCAACGTCAACACAACATGATTACTCAGATAGGGCAGTAGGGAGGTAAATAAGCAAACGTCGTAGAAATCACGATCGATATATAATAAAATATTCCACTACCTATAGGTATCAATGTTAAAGCTTCAGACAATTTCAAGAAGTGCAAGGAGAAATAACAGCTAGCTAGTTAATCCCCTTAATACATCTCTGCCTGCCTTCTATCCTTGCCAGTACTCTTCTCTGTCTGTATGTACGAACAGGAAGAAAAAAATGAATAATCAATCAAGCACCTGACCTGACCTGACCTCCGAAGTAGGTAGAGAGGTGTACGTACGTCCCGCGGATCCATGCCATCTCCTAATCATTAAACTTCTACTCTCAATCCTGCATATCAACCACCCTCCTAAAGACAAACACAATAACATACACAGATCCATAGATAGAGAGATAGACAGGTACCCAGATAGAAAAAAAAAAAAAAAAAAAAAAAAGGTAACCAACAAACAAGCAAACCAAAAACCAAACAAGAAATGCTCTAAAACCCACGACGTGCAACAAAAGAAAAAAAAGAAAAAGAAGAGGAGAAAAAAAAACAAAACAAAACACAAGATAGCAAAACAAGATCTAACTAGGCTAACCATACCACCCCCCCCTCTCGTTCCTCGTATCCCAGCCGCCAAAGCCAAAAGCCAAAACCCAGTCCATGGAAGACAGCTAGGTACGGCAACGTGAAACGGAAAATCTCCATCTCTCTTCCGTCTGATCCACCGAAGATCCTACCAACGACATACCTCCTACTACTACTACTACTACTACCGGTACTACTACTAGTATAGTAAATGCGACCCGCGCCGGCCGGCCGGGTCAGAGATTCCCGATGCGCGCGCGCGCGAGTTCGCTGAGACATGGACGGGAGGGCCGGCCGTTTCAGCGATGTCTTTTTTTTTTTTTTTCTTCTCTTTTCCTTTCAAGCTTTGCCTTCCAGTCGCATGGCGGATGGTAGGGTTCGCGAGTCGAGGGTAGAGTACCGAAGGTGGTAGCTATAGTAGTTAGGTTCGTTCGTGGGAAGTTGATACGTTTAACTAAAAAGTGCGACGTGCAATGAAAGTCAAAAAGGAACAAAAAAACGTCTAGCTAGCTGCGACAGGGTTTGAAAATGTCCAAGAGATGACTCGCGAAGTGTGGTTTTGGCACGGCATGATTGAACACGCTCTCGCTTGAGGAGCGCTAGAGATAGTCTTGTTTATATAGTACTACTACCTAAGTAGGAGTACGATGTACAGCCCCGAGACTGGGATGCATGGGTGGATAGGATAGTTCACAAGGGGTTTCGATCCACTGCTAGATTTCGAAAGCTCATAGAGAAGCATGGCCGTTTAATTTGTATCATATTGTGTGTAAATGCGTCTATGTATACTAATGGTATCAAACATGCGGCACGCTGGCGCTGGCTAATAGCAGATTTATGATGCTGAGTACGCCCTCGCCTAAGATCAGGCCGCTGGCCAGAACTACGATGGGTGTCTCATCGCGCCGCTTGTAAGATTTCCAATACCAGTTTACGAAGCCTCCGATGGCTCTTGCGAGAGTGAACGAGGGGACGTTGTACATGCCTGTAATTGTATTAGTAAGATTCTCAAAGTATGATAGAGAGTGACCGACCGACGGCAACAGCAATCCCCCCAGGAATATAGGGGTGCCATTTCTTGCCCGCACCTACAACCCTCACGACCGTGATGACCGTGAAGATGACAGCGGCGCCAAATGACCACTGCGCTGCCATGTACGGCAGGCCCTTGCCAGTGACCAACCTCGCAGTAAATATCCAAACATATCCAGTAGGAACTTGGAACAAGTCCCCAGGAACTTCATATACGTTCGTGTACAGTTTGTAAATCAACGCACTAACCACGGCACCCACAGAACTCCCTACTATCTGGCCCCAGAACTGAGCGTTTGGCGCAGCACCAACCAAATGGCCAGTTTTGAGATCCTGCATCAGATCTCCTGCTTGCAAGGCGCCGGCTTCAGAGACGGCGCCGGCGATGAGGTTGACGAGCACGGAGTTCTTGTTAGATTGGGGGATAATGAGGGCGAAGAAGAGTTGGGCAAGCTTGCTGATTCCCGAGACGGGGTTAAGATCTGTTTCGCCTAAAGCTCGCACGCCCATAATGGAGAGGGCCAGGGCCATGAAGACGGCTATAATGGTAGCGTAAAGAGGAACAAGGGCGCCGAAAACGACTCGGATACTTGCGACGCAGAATACGATAGAGAGAACGAGCCCTACCCAGAATGTACTGTCGTTCACCAAGTGCTCAGGAGGTGCGTCCGGCTCGGGGAGGTCCTTGATCTCCTCGGTAGTAGCGAATCCAGTCAAATTTGGGCCGTTTTCAGCCAATGGAGTGGGCGCATCCTCACCCTCCCCAGTAATGGCGGTATAACCTCTAGTGGGCTTGCTGAGTCCAATTTGGAAAAGAGCCTTCCAGTCCCTCCTGCGAATACTTTGGCGAACTTCAGTCATAAATCCTCCGCTGTTCATCACCACATGCCGTAGAGCAATATAGCCCAGACTGATCACCGAGTCGGCCAGCATAATAGCCAGTGATACCCAGACAATCCAACCTTTGCTGCCAGATTCCCAGTCATCTACAGGTCCTGGTGCCCAACCACGGTGTTTGGCTAGGGGTGAAAGAATTCCCCAACCCACAACTGCTCCAACGAGCATATGTGTTGTAGTAGATGACCCCATGATGATTCCTTGCCCAACGTATGCCAGAGATGGGTTAAATGTCCAAAGCCAGGACTCAGCCAAGGTGAACCCAAAGACAGGTAAATTCCTCAAAACCGGGAAAAAGTATGTCGCAAGAGTATATATCCCAGAAGCCGCAAACGAAATGGTCAATAATCTGACCTTTTTTTTCCAACTGCTCTTCTGACTTTTGTCAACCTCCTCCACATCCGCATCTGGCAACTCATCTCTCGAGTTCGAGTCTTGCGTAGAAACTGGCCCAGCGACCATCGTCTCTTTTCCATGCAAAACCCCAATCATTAACGCCGTCGCCGTACCACTGGGGAACTTCAGCTTCTCCCTAATGATAACCTGCCTGCGCAACGGCACAGCGAACACCACCCCAAAGAATGCCAGTCCAAGTGCCCACAGTATCAGATTTCCCAATCCCAAAAATATCGGCCCCGACTCTTCATTTCCCAGCAGATAATTCATCGCAGGCATGACCCCAACAAATCCGCAACCCAAAGGCATCGTCCCCATCGAACCAGCCACGCTCTGCACCAGTACATTCTCAACAGGCGTGAACGGCAAATCGAGGTGTTTGGCAAAGGTCTTGAAGAACGCAAAGCCGATGAGCGAAGAGGGCATGCTCATGCTGGAGATCCAGCCGGTCTGCAAGCCAAAGTACATATTGGAGAAGCAGATTATGAGGCCGACGCCGAGGCCGACGAGGATGCCGCGGAGGGTGAAGTTCTGGCCCTCGTTCGCGTGGCGGGCAATGAAGCGGCGAGCGTCGCTACGGCGGCGTTGACCATCTCTTACTGCGGAGGTTTCTTGATTGTTGTGGCCGCTTTGTGTGGTGATGTAGCCGTCGTCATCGTCTTGGGCGTTCGGGGGTGGGGGGATGGGGTGGTAGTCGGGACTGTGTGTTGCGCCTCTGTCTGGTGCCATGATGTATGAATGTTTCTAGGGATGAATCTGGAGATGATAGGGAGGTCTGGTACTGGAATTCATCCATGGTTTGGGAGGGACACCAACATGTTTATGGTAAGGCTGTATGTATACCGAAGCTAAAGTCGAGATCGCTGACCAACATGGCCACTCGTATCGGCATGCAAGATGACGACATCCGAGCTAAGCGAGACTCCAAAAAGGCGTGAATCCAAACAGTAAAAAATTACAACCAAAGTCACTTCAACAGGGTAGATAGATACCTTCAACATGGTAGATATTGTGACATTGCGCAAGCGACTTCGGACTTAGAGATAATTGTGGTGTCGCTTTGCTACAGAGCGAAATTGAGCCAACGTTGCAAATCGACGTTCGGGACTTTTCCTACTCTTAACCCATGAGCAACATGATATACTTCTTTATCTACATTCTATCTGGATAACAAATAGAAGAGGATTGCTGCGATCGGTGAGGTGCCTGAGTTTACTAGCCGGGGGACCACTTTTTCATGCCGTAAAGATTGTCGATAACTCCGTACTTGCGGACTGCACTCTGCTCAGTCCGACGAGTCCTGTCAAATCGCTCTCTTCAATTCAGTTTGGAACGCGGCGATGGTATATCCATGAGCTATAGTACACACTCATTCAAGGCATGTTAGTCTACCCCTTCTTCCCCTTCGTCATCTTCGTCATCTTCGTCTTTCTCCTCTCCATCGGAAACGCTTTCTCCCAGCGCCTTAAGCTGATCCTTGTACTTAGTGACCTTATCTTCCAGATCACCAAACACCATAAGCAGATCATCAAGCTCGCCCTGAACCGCCTGCTTCTCTTTTTCCTTCTCAGCCAACGATGCTGCAGCCCTAGAAGCATCTTCGGTGGCAGTATCAATTCGTGTCTCAAACTCCCTGGCTTTTTCTTCAGCGCGCTGTAGACGTGCTGCTTGTTCTGTCCGGTTTGTTTCGTACTCGAGGTTTGCAGTTTGAAGATCCTGGAGATGGTCTTTGTTGGCCTGCAGATTGTTAGGAAGTGGTTGAGATGTTATGGGAGTCCTTACTTTTGTGAGATCGGCCTCCAACTTAGTGATCCTGTTCTGGAGATCTGCTATTTCTGCCTCGGTGCGTTTCCGTGTTCGGTCTGCGTTGGTATCAGACGCCTTCTGGATATGTTCGAGTTGTCGCTGATGGTCTTGAATTAACCGTGTTTGCTCGGCTTGTAATTTCCTGAACGATATTAGCCAAATTGTGCGGCCAGTTCGTTGGAGTTTCGTACATCACATCATGCTCGTGATTCCGCTGCAATGCCTCATTAATATTCTTGATCCTGTCGAGCTCAATAACGAATGTCTCTTTATCCCTGCGGTGATCTGCCTGTTCCTGTCCCAACTGTCTACCCAGTGAGAGTAGCTCATCCTGCGCCTTTTGCAACGCCTTGTCTTTCTCTTCGAGCTGGGATCTCAAAGTGTCAACCATCTCACGAGAAATGCCCTTTTGAATACCGTTGGCAACGACTGGGACTTCAATTCCAGGATCCCGGTCGATGACCCGACGTAGGCGACTGAAATTATCTTTGACAAAGTCGACAAAGGTGGAATCGAAAAACACTTCGGGTAAGCCTCCAATCGGTGCTGAACTGAGCTTCTGCGGGAGGACTTCAAAATCTCGTAACAGCGGGTGGTTTCTCAACTTGGTCAGCGTATCGATGTACCTGTCCCGACCCATTTGGGAGGCCAGTATTGGGTGTATAGTTGCTCTAGGAACCGGGGAGTCCTTCGTTGAGAACTCGTATACGATTCCAAGAAGGATAGCGCATAGCCCCTGTACAAGTACACCGTCTCCAACGCTGCTGGAAACTGCCTGAACTAAACTTTGAAGATTGCTACCTTCGCCAAGGAAATCATTGACACCGTCTGGATCTTCAAACAGCCATCCGCAAAGCAACATTAAGTAAGCCACCAATATCCGCTCATCTGTATTCTTCTGGAATCCAATGATGAGATTACCAGTCAGGGTCTGAAGGCATGTCACTACTTCTTCACCTTGAGACGCATCACCATCGGCAACGCTCATGGCGAGGCTTTTTGCATCTGGATCCTCATAGACCAGATGAAAGAGAATTACTGCTGCAAACCAATATCGATATGGGTCGCTTGAAGCTTGGCTATCAAGTGGCAGTAGAAGGGCTGTCAAGACATTTGCAGTTTCATCAGCTCCTGCATTATGACCCTCAATAGCGCGACGTAAGAAGTGCTTTCGAATAAGCTGGTGATTATAGAGATAGGCTTTGATGCATTCGCATGCCGCAAGTCTGGAGTCGAAAGTGTTCATGAGTGGTACGCTTAATGTCAGGTCCAGTAAGCCGTCTATAACATAGACCTTGGGAACTCCTACTTTCGAAGGGCCTTTATCTCCATTCTCAGAAGGTTCGTCAAGAACCGAAGTGACTGAATGTTCCGCAAATCTTTCTTGGAGGCTTGGATTCCCACGAATCAGATCTGCACATGTTGTCAAAGCCTGCATCAGATGTTAGCCACGGTAAATTCTCCACGGTGCGAGACAAGATACCTCGGCTTTGATTTGGGTTTCTGTTGAGTGGTTGAATGCCAATTGCAAAACTTGGTCTAAGACCCCTTGACTTGAAAATGACTCCTGGTTTGCATGTGTACCAACGCCACCAGTTACGAGGAACAACCTCAACACTGCTAGCAGGGCATATATGTTTCTGTTTTTCTGAGTCTTTGCCCATTCAGCTTCCTCAAAGTCCTTGTCCTGCTTGTGGGCAGCATCACTGAGTAGCCAGGCGACTTTGGAGACACAGCCTGCTTCCCTGAAAAATGATTGATTTGAAGGGTTTAGGCGTAGAAGATTCGCAAGTAGAATCAAGCAATCTTCGACTATCCTGCCACCCTCAACGAGACAACCCTCCGCCTTTATTATATTGAATATTCGATCAAATGCATCTTCAAATGCAACTCGTTTCTGGAGTTCTGTAGAAGTTGGTGTGAGATAGGTAAGCAATGACAATGCTTCATTTCGAATAGCGTCTCGCCTGTCATCCAGTACAGCCACAAGTCTTGATATTCCTAGCGGTGCCGTGAATATGCATTCTTCTGTTCTCTCTGTCCGGGACGCCAAGATGGCAGAGAGTAGTTGCAGTGAATAGAGTCGGGAGTAGAAGTCCTGAGACTCTAAAAAGTCCAGCAGTAAGGTGATGTTGTCCTGGCGTTGGGTAAACTCGTCTGCCAGCCATAACGCGATCTCTTCTGAGGCTTCGGGACTGTTCTCGTTTGGGTTGAACAGCATCAACAGTGTTTCCAAAGTGCTTTTGACTGTCTCAACATCTTCGCGATCGTTGTTGAGACACCCGATAAGCCCTCGTAGAGCATCCGAGGCCACAGATGCTGGATATTCTTTGGCAAAACTCCGCAGTCCCAGTATCGCAGCACGTCGGTCTTCGAGAAGGGTAGAAGAGGTCAAGCGGCTGGAGTACACTGTTATTGTTTCACTGGCCGATTGCCTTGCGGGCGGGGTGGTGATTGCGAACATATCTGTCTAGGCAGCGGTCTGGAGGAGATGTGTAGGTGGTTGGAAGCAGAAGCATAACCTGGGATTGCCATTGACTTTCGTGAGCATGGTCCCTACGGCACAAACGAGGGTCTCATTGGAACTTAAAGAGAGGCGTCAAATGCATGCGCAAGTAGGTCAATAACAGCAATAGTCCGAATTGCTTGCAGCAGAGGGATATGGGATTGAGATGTAGATGTAGATATTCGAAGACGAGGCTCTTAGAATTAATGTGGCCTTGTTAGACCCCTTGACCCTCGGTAGCCACGCTTGCTTGTTTAGTCACTAGCGCAATCTGGGGTGCGGCTCGAATTAACTACTTACTAAAATTGTTCGCCGCAAGCAACTATCCTCTCCTCTCTACCAGCTCTTTCATCACGCAAATCCGGAGGCTTTCACCTCCTTGACCTGTAGCGCCGCATGCTACCGTGCGCTTCAGGACTATTACTTTTGAGCTTAGCAGCAGTCGCTTTCCCGTCTTTCTTTTCTCGCGCTCGACGTCCTTCCAGGCAGCCTGCTCACGACACTGATCTTTCCAAGCACTGAACTTCCACGTTTGATTCCAGAGCCGGCGCACATCAAATCGGCAAGATGGGTGTTCCAGGTGCGTGTCCTTTATGTGTATGCGATTACAATGCTAAAATCTTATCATCAGCACTTTTCAGATGGCTCAGCCAAAAATATGTAAGCCCCCCCTCTCCGACCCGTCACACGCGCAAAGCTTATGGTTATTTAGCCCAAAATCATCAGTAACGTAATCGAAGAACAACCGCGTGAGATTGATGGCCAAGAAATCCCAATCGATACACGAGGCCCTAATCCGAATGGAGAAGAGTTCGACAACCTCTACCTCGACATGAACGGCATTGTGCATCCTTGTTCGCATCCTGAGGACAGACCAGCGCCCAAAGACGAAGAGGAGATGATGTTAGCGATATTCAAATACACAGATCGTGTAGTGAACATGGTCCGCCCCAGAAAGCTCTTATTAATTGCTATTGATGGAGTTGCTCCTCGCGCCAAGATGAACCAACAGCGCTCTCGACGATTCCGCTCTGCCCAAGAAGCACAAGAGAAGGAAGCTGATAAGGCCGAGCTTCTCAAGATGCTAAAGTCGCAAGGTGGCCACATTGAGGAACCAGAAATCAAGAAGGCTTGGGATTCAAACGAGATAACTCCAGGAACGCCATTCATGGATATTCTAGCCGCGAGTTTGCGATATTGGATCGCGTACAAGCTCAATACAGACCCCGCGTGGGCCAAGATGAAAGTCATCATCTCTGATTCTACTGTCCCCGGTGAAGGCGAGCATAAGATCATGGAATTTATTAGATCCCAGCGCTCCTCTCCTCATCATGACCCCAACACTCGACATGTCATCTACGGTCTTGACGCCGATCTCATTATGCTGGGACTGGGCACCCACGAGCCTCACTTCCGTGTTCTTCGAGAAGATGTGTTTGCACAAGAGAGAGGACCTCGTCTGTGCCGTTTGTGTGGTCAGGCCGGACACGAGGCAAGAGAATGTACGGGCAAAGCAAAGGTAAAAGATGGAGAATTCGATGAGAAGGCTAGCGCCCCCGCCCTCAAACCATTCATCTGGCTCCACGTGTCTGTTCTTCGAGAGTATCTAGCAGCTGAGCTATATGTCCCAGACCAGCCTTATAGATTTGATCTTGAGCGAGCTATAGACGATTGGGTTTTCATGTGTTTCTTCGTGGGCAATGATTTCTTACCTCATCTTCCCAGTCTCGAGATTCGAGAGAATGGAATCGACACTCTCATTGCAATCTGGCGTGACAACATACCACATATGGGCGGCTACCTCACAAAAGATGGCCACGTCGACTTGGAAAGAGCACAGTTTATTCTTGATGGACTAGCAAAACAGGAGGATGCCATATTTCGGAGACGAAAGCAGACAGAGGATCGACGTGAGGCCGGTGCGAAGCGACGCAAGCTCGAACAGGATCGTGGTGGTCGAGGAGGTCGTGGTGGCAGAGGTGGATTCAAAGACTCCCCATCAAACGGAAGACATAAGCCACACAACGCCGCACCGGAAGGACTTCCACTTTTCGCTCCAGGTGCCAGCATTAGCAGAGAGGCAACAGCTATGACGCATGATATGGCTGTCAACCGAGGCGCTATCTACAAGGCAAATTTGGCCAACAAGAGTGCTGCCGCAGCATTGAAGAGCCAGATTAACGGCAAATCTTCTATTGAGGATGTCACTGATGCTGCTAATAAACAAAATGAACCACCAGTATCTGCACTTGGCAAACGCAAGGCAGAAATTCTCGAAGAAGAAGGCGACAGCAGCACCACGCCAGCACGGGATACTCCACAACCTTCAACCCCCAAAAAACCTGACGATGAACCACCACCTGACACTGTACGCTTGTGGGACGAAGGTTACGCTGATAGGTATTACGAGCAAAAGTTCGGAGCTGATCCTAGCGATATTGCTTTCCGCCACAAAGTGGCAAAAGCTTACGTCGAAGGCCTTGCTTGGGTTTTGCTCTACTACTTTCAAGGTTGCCCATCATGGGAATGGTATTACCCGTATCATTATGCTCCTTTCGCTGCAGACTTCGCAAATCTCTCTGATATAAAAATCTCTTTCGAAAAGGGCAGAATTTTCAGACCATTTGAGCAGTTGATGGGTGTTCTCCCAGCCGCTTCCAGGCAAGCCATTCCTGAGACATTCCACGATCTCATGACTGATCCTGAGAGTGAGATCATTGATTTCTACCCAGAAGATTTCGTTGTTGATCTCAATGGCAAGAAGTTTGCTTGGCAGGGTGTTGCCTTACTCCCTTTCATTGATTCCGACCGGCTGCTTAGCGCCATGGCTAAGAAGTACCCAATGCTACCACCTGAAGTTGCGGCACGCAATGGCGTCGGCAAAGACGTACTTCTTGTTGCAGAGGCTCATGAGTCACTCTACGCGGACATTGCTACAAACTTCTACTCGAAGAAGCAAGGGCCCCCACATTTCAAGCTCAATCCAAGTACCAGTGAAGGCTTGACTGGAAAAGTTGAGAAGAATGATTCATATTTACCTCACGGCTCTCTAACGTTTCCTCTTGCGAGTGGAGAGATGCCAAGCTTGGACGAAGATCGTTCAATCAGGTAAGTCAGCATCTGTCGCCCTTTGAAACTCACGCTAATATGCTGTTCAGTGTACATTATGAGATGCCTAAGTCCAAGCATATCCATAAATCAATGTTACTCCGAGGTGTAAAGTTTAATGCCCCTGCATTGACTCAGAGCGAAATCGCGGAGACCAAGAGGAAGGCAGCCAGCTCAGGCCGTGCTCATGGCGGTGCTCCACTGGGAGGAAATGGTCGAGGACGCAATGGTTTCAACTATGCCTCGTCTAACCAATACCCTGGATCGTCCAGTAATGACCAGTCCCGTGGACCCCCTAATCATTACCAGAACCCCTTCCCACCTCCTCCCCCAGGTTGGACTCCTCCTCAACCCGGCGGGGCCGATTTTTCTCGTGGACCTCCCCCTCCACCCCCTGGCTTTGATCAGTACGGTCGGGCTCAACGCAATCACCAGGCTCCCAACCCTGGCTATGGTGGGCCTCCGGGATACGGTGGTTCGAACGATCGTCGGCAAGGTGGCAATGAATACCAAGGAGGTAACTCGTACCGTGGAGCACGTGGTGGTGCTTCATATCGTGGAAACTACGGAGGACGTTAAGTAAGAGGAGAGGGCCGAGTGTGGGGTGGGGGTGCTGATGCCTTTAAAAGGTAGAGGTGAAGAAACATAAACTTCATTCGATTCTTAACGAAACCAGAACTGTAGTCTATTCTGCTCCGTTTTATGTAAATTATCTCTGGAATAAGAATGAAAAAATGTCCCAGAATTGTCTTCGCTTAAAGCTCTCCACCTTCCCGAATGCTGGATGGATGTTGGTCGGTCTGTACGTAAGTCTCGGAACATATCTGCTAATAGATCATACATCAAGATCAGCCTTAATATACTCCGAGTGAGACCCACACAGCATCTGTGGTGTTCCGATGTCGTCTATACTGTGAGTATGATTGTTAAGGCCAGTAAGCTATGTCTTAACATAATACAGTAGAGACTTCCTTCTCCTGAAACTGGCATCTTGTACGAGATCTTAGACTTTGGGCTAATCTGCTTGCAGCACATCCTTGCGAGCTGCTCGGCAATCAGGTGCCAAGTACGGAGGTAGGTAGGCAAGAGTACTACGTACAGCGAACGACCACGATCACATTGCGCGAGCCGCGAGCAGTCCAGTCCAGTCCAGTCCAGTCCAGTCCAGTCCCAGTACTGCATCCTGCGATCGCTCTCGAGCTCGAAAATACAATCTGCTAACAAATACCGCCGTCTTCTCTTCGAATCTTCGAACCAAAAACAATACTCCTACGCCTCCAAAACTACACCTTCACGACTCGCCCGCTTAAGACACATTCTACTCGGCTCGTGGCCACAGCCAAGACCCCTCCATTCTCCGTCGCAGACTACGGAGTATGTTCCAGTGCCTGGCGCAGTCAGCATCAATAGCAAACCACGTCTTGCTCCCCTCTACTCGTCCTCTTCCTTCTCCTCCTCCTCTTCCTCCTCCTCGAACATATCCGCATGTCTGATGCTCGCTGAGCGGATCGGCACTTTGGCCAGCAGCTTTCTTCAGCCATGAATGGGGATTCTGGCTTGGTCGTCACTTTGGTGGAGCGTCTCACGACCCGGGTAATAACAGCCATCCCTCGAATATGTTTTGGGGGGAATGTACTGACTCATTTGCATCTATAGCTTCCCCATCGAACTGGATCCCCCTTACATGACTTCAACCGCGATGAGGTCGTCGTTCTCACTCGCGGCACACTGATCGGCGTTAGCTGTTCTTGCATTGGCACCGTCATCGAGGCCCTCGTGCAGCTACTGGAGGAGCTTTCCAAACCCTTCAAGGGAATACAGTCGCATCCCATCCACGTCCTCCTTTCCGAACTCTACATACTCGACTTAGTAGCAGAATGTTGCTCCGTCCATTGGGCGAGTCTAAACAAGACGCACGCTCCGATTGTGGAGGGCGAGGAGACATCCGACTCTGAGGATTCCGGTTCTGAAACCGAGAAGAAGAATGCTATACCGCCGGGCAACAATTATGTACCGAAAAGACGGGGATCTCGAAACCAGTTTATATCTCGAAGTGTTCCGCCAGGGCCCTTGGCTGATGACCTTGTCAGGAGGTTAGTAGACGCTGTTAAGCTGTTCTGGGGGCCGATTCCCGACGGTTATGTTCTCCCGGCGACCACTATCCTCGATGATTTACCTCAGGGAGAAATCGTTGGGGACTCGTATCTCCCAGAGAGTACATCGCTCAGCAATGGCATCCTTAGTGGGGCAGATGTTTCCAAACTCCTTCTGGAAAAATCCGACGCTATAGACGGATATACACGGGGGATCATAGGGTACGTTTCTTGCTCAAATTGGCCTCGTGCCCTTGAGCACCTCAAGAGTACTCTTCAGCATGTCGCTCGGCAAAATAACAGCAACCCTTCGCAAGCGGGCTTTTCGGTAGATGATGACAAGGTCGCCTTGGTTTCCCTTCGTCTGATAGCTTTCTTCTGGGTAGACAGTCGCAAGCTTAGTATTGTCATTCAGGAGCTTTGTGGCAGCTTCTTGCACCTTCGCAAAAACTTCCAGACTACTGTTGCAATAGTATTGCCACTGCTAATCACCAGGTGGCTGCAACGATATCCAAAAGAGTTCATGGAGCTTCATTCCACCAACAAAAGACTCGACGGTGGCGCAGAAATGCTATTTGATATGTCCAACACCATGTTTGAGGGTGGCAAAAAGAAGGCGCTCTTGTTCCCCTTCCAAACGTCACTGCTTCTGCTTCTGCCTGATGTTTTCGAGTACGCTAGTAACATGAGGGACGTCAAAAGCAGCAGCAGCATAGCGAAGAAAGTATCTTTCTTGGAAATGCTCAGGAAAGCCTTGCGGAGCAGGAACGAGACCGCTATCTTCTGCCTGACCTCTGTTTTGAGGGTAGCGAGGCATTTTCCTCTCGACAGCGATGCTGCGATTGTGAGTTACGCTCTGGATGTGCAAGAAGAAGTGAGAGAGGCAGTCTTTAGGCGCCAAAACCCCGGCATGGATGTTGCGAATATTGACAACGCTCTCATGACTGCCGCATTTGTTAGTCTTACACATTTGAACTTCGACTCGTGTGTGGAACATCTCACCCCACTTTGTCTTTCCCCCAATGCACCACAGGATTTCAAGATTGCCGTCATGTCGGCGTGTACCCATTTCGCCAGACAGTCCACTACTGACGCATATCAACTATTGTTCATAAAAATAGCTGAATTCATTCGGGCACAGCTGATAGTATACTTTCCCCTCCTCAAATTAGAATAAAACACCCGCTGATCTGTACCAGTCATCAGCGCCGACAAAGCGTACTTCTCACCCGGATGGACAACAAATCGGCCTCAAGCCGCTTGACGTGTCCAACTCTACCGATCTGATTCAAAGTATCTTTATGTTCCTAGATGCATCGCCACTCACACTTTTCATTGACTCTCCCGAGTTTGGTCCTAATTGGGTTAATTACTTTGATGCTACTGTTGCATCTCTCACAGTATATGTAGCCGCCGATGATGAGCGCCTCAGGTCTATGGCGAATGCAGTTTGTAAGAGGCTACTCTCGGACGGAACCATCGATTTCCGGCCTAAGTCAAAGAAACCGGGATTAAAGTCACTCAAGATCAATTTCTGGAAAGCAACGTAGGTTTCCAATCATTTCCTACAGTAGCAATGGCCTTGAAGCCACAAGCTGGTTCATGAGCGCAGCAGTGCCCATCGGAAACCAATATCTATTTCAGATCCCCAAAGCCGATGCCCTACCCTTTGTTTGTCATGTGCGCGCTCAAGGATTAACTTCAAAATGGGTTTCGACTTAATCATTACCTATTCATCCTTTTGGCAGAACGCTGATGCACGAGTTACTGTATAGATCTGCAATCCTCACGGCAGCAGCTGGGAAGCTCATCAACATGGGTACCGACGAGAAGGGCACCCTCCGATTCATTCATGACTACCTGGAAGCCCGATTGGACTTTTTGAGGATCCTGGAAGTGAGTCATCTATCTGCTTGCATGCCACTTAGTTCTTTGAATTGACCATTCTTTCCTACGGCGGGTAAGAGTGCTGACTGCCCATAGGATCCGACAGAAGTTGCCGAAGATACGTTAGAAACAACAATTGTTTGCAGCAAAATCGAGACTGCTTTCTTGATTACCCTGTGCTCCACAGACATCTCAGTGTGCCAGCTGGTGACCAAGTGTATATCCATGTCCTGCCACGAGGCCCGTTTGGTGGATTTTCCGGCCGGGGGTAACAAGTCGATGACTCCAAATGCCCGAAACATGGAGATCTATAAAGAAATCTCTTCCAGAGAATTTCGATTTACCGGCCTGGTAGCTTTCCAAAAACGTATTCGTGGGCAACTACGCAAAATCAAGTACCCGACTCTTGGTATATTGACCGCCTGGGAAACAGTCTTCGAATACTGGTTCGGAATCTCGAATCATATATTTTTCAGGCCTTCCGAAATGCTGGAAGAGAGGTCGCTTGTGGAGTGGCGCAATTACTCCGGGCTTCTCGCTTCGCTAGGAGGTGCCTGCATTTCGGATCTGGCTATGGGTCTCGCAGCTGAGGATACAGGTTTAGCTGGCCTGAGATGGATCGATAAGGTATCTCCTGAATCGAATGACGATACGCTGTTGAGCAAGTTCATGAAGCAGAGCATCCGGTTACTAGCAAGTAACAATGTCAGAATACGAGAGGCAACCAGAGAAACGCTATCAACAGAACTCGCACCCTCGTTATACTTTCCGCTCTTTGAGGCTCTCGAAGCGGAACTTGTGGTGCTGTTCGATAGCGCGCGGACGAACACCTCACTATCCCTCGAATCTCGTGTCATTTTTGCCGAACAGGCGGCTGCTCTGTTGCGAACCATTGTAGAGCGGTTAGGTGGCCCAGCCGAAGTCGGCGCGGCGCTGTCTATTGACATCGGTGCGTTGACACTCAATTTTGCTAAATTCCTGGACGATTTGGCGGAAGGAGCAAACACAATGCGGGTCAAGATCAAGATCTGTCAGCTTTGCGAAGCGGTCACACAGAAGAAAGAGTTTCTGAACCTCCGAAACGATGTCCGTATCAGGAATCAGCTGTTGGAGGTCATCTTTAGCTGGATCGCTCGACCAGGTACTCCAATAGACGCTGTGGTCTCTTCTGGTGCCCGGGTTGATGAGGTCTTTCGCCTGCAAAGGGATTTGGACCGAGCTTGTTTGAAAGCCCTGGCAGATCTCACCTACCGGCTACCTCTTCAGCCAGCAGAGGGGCAGACCGACGCAGATACGAGTGACCTCAAGTCCCAGATGTTTCACACTTACTTCAACCGTTTCCTCTCCTTGCTCAATGTTGAGACGGTGGCAAATGGGAGGAACGAAATCCGACTTGCACCGGCCGTTAATGAAGATATGACGGCTTCTGAGCTTGCTATCACTGCACTGTCCAATCTCCTCAGTGCTAACATTGATGTTGGGCTCAAGCATTCGCTTGGTATTGGCTACCACGAGGATTTGGATATCCGCACTGCTTTTGTAAAAGTACTGTGCAACATCTTGATACAAGGTGCGGAGCTCAATAACCTTTCAGATACGGCTGTCAATGAGAAGTATGATGAGCTTCTAGTGGTATGCACAAGTTTGCTGAATGTGGGGGCTCCTGCTGACAAGCTGATAGCTGCTCATCAACGATATGGCATTGACGATCGCCCTATGCGATGCATGTCCAAGTATGGAAGTTGATGAAATGACAATCTCTCTCCTTAATATATTCGACTCTAGAGGTCTCGGATTTGTATTGCTAGAAGCTCTGATAGAGCATGAAGTCGAAGAAACTGGTAAGCCAAATTTACCTCTGTATCAAGGATACCGCACTAAAATTGGCCAGAGAACGAAGCGGAGTTATTACGTAGGAACTGCGTGGCAACAAAAATGCTTTCAGTATACGCAAAGTGGAAGGGGGCAGCATATCTGAAAGCCACCCTCCAACGAGTGTTAGAGCGCCTGGTCCTAACCTCAGGCGAAATAGATCTGGAGCTAGATCCGGCCCGTACTTCTTCTGCCGACGAACTCCAAAAGAACGCTCTTCAACTGAGAATTGTCGCAAAAGTATTTATTGACGATATCTGCAATTCCGCCTCACACATTCCTGTTTCTTTTAGGAAAATATGCAGTATTGTAAGTTTAGTATACTTCTCGGGCAGCGAAGATATCCTGACAGATTTAGATATCGACAGCTGTGATGAAGAGGTTTCCAGAAGCCAAGTTCACTGCTGTTGGAGCATTCATATTCCTGCGATTCTTCTGCCCAGCTATTGTGGCTCCCGATGTCGAAGGTCTGATAACAACCACTCCTTCAAAGGAATTGAGGCGTGGGCTTCTACTTATTGCGAAGGTTGTACAAAATTTAGCGAATAACGTACTTTTCGGTGCCAAGGAGCCGTACATGTTCCCGCTCAACGATTTTCTGACACAGCACATCTACCCAGTGACGACTTTCTTACGAGAAATTTCTGTAAGTACCTCATTACTTCCCCTTGAGTTGCTCTAAGTTTTAATAGGTGTCCCCGGATATTCTTGAGCCTGACATTGAGACGGAATCTTTTGATTTTGGTTCTTGTGTTGCCTTACACAGGTTTCTCTACGACCACTGGGATCACGTCCGACAGAAGATCGTGGTCAGGGAGCGCAAGGGTAATTTACGCTCGCCCATCGAAGTCAGCAAGGGTCAAATTCCAATACTGGAGGCTTTGCGCAAGCTCATTACCAATCTGGGTCCTCCACCCATGGACGTCTCCTGGAATAGGCCTGCCATATCGTCGAACAGTCCCCCTTCATACTCACGTTTCCAGCACTTTATGCTTAGGAACGCCAGCCGGAATACCGAATCTCTCGTCTCGACTAGGGCAGTCTATGATGGTGGAGAGAGCAAAGATGGTCTGCCAATGATCTGCATTATTCTTCGCAACGTTGATACCGAGACGACAGATTATGAGTTGCTCTTATTTGGCTACCTCAAAATCGCAAGTCGCATGTGGCATCGGCCGTTCGGAATCCTGATGGACGCGACTTGCTATAATGGCCAAAACGAGCCCCAGGATGCACTCTTCCGCAAACTGGACCTTCTCACTCCATCGGAACTTTCCAAGCAGTTGTCGAGGGTATATGTTTACAACATGAACAGTGCTTTCAGGAAATGCTTCCGGCGAATTCTGCGATTGGCCGCAAAGAGCGAAAACAGTGCTTTCCACCCAAAGAATGTGGACTATCATCTCATCGGTAGTCTCCAAGACCTTCAGGCTCATTTTCATCTGAGCCAGTTACACTTGCCCAAGGAGACTATCAGTGTTGTCACTGATACAAGATACGTGTTCCAGCCCGTAGTCAGGCTTTCTAAGACGAAGGGCAAGATCGAGGTTGTGATCAAAGTCGGCAGCCAGTTTGTGCAAGTAACCACAAGCAAGAAACAAGAAGTCGTGCCTGGGCTAAGGCTGCATGCAACTGTCAACGATATATTCCGCCTCTCCGAGGTAGACGAAGCGCCTACTTCGATACAAACAGAAGATGACTCGGCCTTTGGACTCCGCACTGAGAACGGCAGGATTGTCATGTACTTCACCAGTCCTAGAAAGCCAGATGTTCTTCAGGCGATCAGAGGCGCCAAAGCCAAGTACGGTAAGGAGCTGAGGACTTTGAAGTCTTTTGAAAGACTTGTTCGACCACAAGATGTCCCAGGCACGCTCCTAAACATTGCCCTGTCGAATATGGCGAGTTCGGATCAGGTTCTTCGGTTGGCTTCGTACAATCTTCTGTGTGCGCTCTGCCGCGCCTTCAAATTTGCGGCGGATTCCAAGTTCATGACTACAACAGAACTCTCTGTGCCACTGAATCCTTCTCAGTTCATCATCGAAATCAGCCAGCAACTAGCCAAGTCGGAGCCACAGCTCACAGCAGACTTTCTCAATGAGTTCTTCGTGGGCTGGGAGAGCTTCCCTTACGCTCAGCGACCAATGAGTATAGCGTATATGGCACCCTGGATTCCAGGCTTGAGGGCAGGCTTGATACCTAACGACGCGGATAGCGAAAAGGCGAGAGAGAAGGTTGCGGTCATCTTCCGGAGACTTATCGACGTCGCAATTTCGGACATCGCTCTGGGCACAACTCTAGAGCAGAACATATACCCATCAATTACCGACGATGAGTTGTATACAGAAATATTCTTGGATGAGCTTATTAAGGCTGCTTTGAGCTTCGGCTTGAACGATGAACGGACAGAGATCTTGGGCTCTGTGATTGCTTCCCTCAGGACAGTAACAGTCCGCGGGAAACTGCTTGCGCGGCTTCGAAAGGCATTAAATAGGACTTCACTGCGCCCTACGAGACACCTGCCCGAGAACACGGTCTGGGGCGAAATATGTGTACTCGTCCGACTGTCCGTCTCAACGTCATTCGATAGCGGAATACAGTCTCAGCTTTTCCTTCCAGAGCTCTTCCATCTAGTCACAATGCTTGCCAACACTGGAGCTATAGATATACGAATCATGATCCACCGGTTGCTGGTTAATACTATTCATGCTATCTGCACCTCATTCGGGTTAGAAGAGAGCAAGCTTGCCAGATTGAAGGTACTACTCCTTTCGGTCTCGGAACCAGGACCAGATTCGATGTTCAATATTCCTGTTCGGGATGGCATATCCAGTTCCTCTTCGCAAGACTCGGGGATTCCGTCTTTGATTGCAACCGAATCTCTTGCTGTTATGCTGGCCGAAGTCAGTACGCTTGCTGCATTGACTGTTGACATGTCAAATGCTTGGCGGTCAAGGTGGATGAGCTTGGTTGCCAGCACCGCCTTCCAAAGCAATCCTGCCATTCAACCTCGTGCCTTCACCGTCATGGGTGTCCTAGCACGGGAGGACGTCGACGATGACCTTCTGTATCAAGTCCTAGTCGCTCTAAGGAGTAGCATTGGCCGATTTATGGAAGAGCACGACAGTGAGATGCTAATCGCCATCGTCACATCGCTAACTAAGATGATGGATAAGCTGCCCTCAGCTTCACGTTATGGGATGCAAATGTTCTGGCTTGCGTTGTCTCTCGTCCGGCTCGTACCTCTCCCGCTATTCAACTGCACAGCGTTGTTCCTAGATGCTGTGCTGCATAATATTGCTACTTCGGGCGAGTTCAAGGGTGGCCGGATGGTACCTACTCTACTGCTAGGCAGGGCTCCGCTCGAAGATGCTGCGATACAACTTGATGAGATCTATGGGATTCATTTCAACATGGAGAACTTCCACTTTGCGCTCTGTGCTTCCCTCGTCAAAGGGTTCAGGGACTCGGTCACGAAGGCGACAGCAACTCGAGTTATATCGACTTTCCTGGAAATCACTACTTCGAGCGCCGGCAAGGATGCATTGTTTCCCAAAGATCTGAGCGCGTTTCCTTATTTAGGGCTTCTTATTTCCCGTGCCATATCGGCAGAAGAAGCCAGAGACAATCTCTGGCTAGCAGGTTGGATCGCCTCTGACGATGACGTGACTACTGAGGGCCTGCTGGATATGATTGACCTGAAGATGATCAAGGATAAGGAACTTTTGCTTAACGCCGCTATTAGCATCGTCGACTTCAACTATCTGGAGGATACTGTCCAGAACCGAGGATTGCTCTGGCTCAATAGGATTGCCATGAAGCGGCCGACTGTGATATTGCATCTGTAGGTATTATCGTCTCCTTACTAAAAATAATCCCACGAACAGACTGCTGACTTGAAAAAAAAAAAGTTGCGGACCAGTTGTTCGCGTCCTGGACAATATTCTCATTTCTTGCCAGAACGCCGTAACGCTTGAATCCGCCCATTTACTAATGCGAACCATCACCTCCAACCCAAAGTTCGCAGCTGGAGTTGATACAGCCGAGATGCTGGAGGATGTGCTGGACGGGATTGGATTCGGGGGCTTGTGGCGCTCGTCGACGTTCCATACTGCTAGCGATCATGAGCGGCAGTGTACAGCTTTGACGGATCGACTCATTGAGGTGAGTCTTACCGTAGTAGACGGATGATAAGAGTGTGATGTGCTGACTTTGGGGGTAGCTTATCATTGCTTGAGCTAACAGTGTGAGGGGAGAGGGTGTTGAATACTGGCGTTGTTTTATGTGCTACGAGGTATGATTTTATGAGGAAGGCGAGCGAGATGGTGGATGGCCTGATTTTATCTTGAATGTGATACCCTATTTGCTTTGCTTTCTTTGCATAGCATTGCACATTTTTGTTGCGCAGTCGGCGGCGGCGGTGAGGCATTTGTGTGCTGCGTCTGGGGTTAAGCGGTTTGATGTTTTGGTGTCAGAGGAGAAGGTGGACGGACGTGTTGAGGCTGGCGTACGGAGCGGTTCTTGGGATTGGGGAGAGGGGGAAGTTGAGGGCTTATTGCCTGCTTCTTGATCGTCGGAATCATTTTCTCGTATATCTCAAATACTGTATAGAAGGGATCAATTAAACCGTCATGAGGCCACAAGGCATGTACTTAAGTATGTATCACTCGATTTTATCAACGCCAATTATCAAGTTTTTATATTCGGTGAAACGAAATTAACATGAGGCTATAAATATACACATGTTACCCATGATTGATGCAGCGAATTTGAGTTAATCAATTACCCGGAAGAAGTGCGGGATGTGGAGAGTCAAAATTTCGAATGCCCCACAACCAGTCGCGTTGCCTCGTCGCGTCGCCAGACGAAATCAAAGTCCTCCTCTATCCATCATACCGCCCCAGCATCGCCAATGTCTATTACGGAAGACTCTGCGCCTGTCGTGGATAGTCAGACTCTACATAAACCTCGATATCGACAGGCTGTCCCCGTCCCTGCGGATTTGACCGAGCATATTCATATTCTGCTAGACACAGACCTCTGTTGGTAGCCCCCCCCGCTCCCTTCTCCCCCCATAATACAGCTAAGAGACACCTCTAACACTTTTCAGATAAAGATGCCCTTATTCTTCTCACAGACCTCGTAGTATCGGGGGCATCCAACCCCCAGTGTGCCAGCCACCCAGCATTTGCGCCAGACCCCTACCACATCGAACTCATCAGCGCACTGCTCATTCACCCGAAATACACCAACCAGATCACCTTGGACAAGGAACAGGACCTCGGATCGCGATCCATAACACTCCTACGGAATGTCCTAGCTATCTTGGGACCTGTAAACGCAGGTCTAGGGGAGGCCTTCTCCTTGGTCTTAGGGCAGGACAGTCACTCCAGGACATCGAGAAGGAGTCGAAACGCGGTGGATTCGGACAGCGGATCGAGTAGCCCTGAAACAGACGAATTCTCCAAGACTGTATCGGGGGTTATTGCGCATGCAGGTAGGATACGCAAATGCGCTAGGGGCGACTTCTGGAATATGGTCGGATGGGCTTTCAACTGCAGTGTGAACTACCCCAAACGATGGAAGTACTGGAAAGTCTGGTTGGGGTACATGTTAGATGTACTGGATGAAGACTGGCTGGAGCGAGAGCGGCTTGACGTGGAGGCCGAGTCTTCCGATGGAAGTGCAGACTCGAACGATGAACACGAATCCAAGATGCTACGTCAATCTTTACTGGTCAATTACCTTTCGAAAGCTGCGAAGAGTTCAAGCGTTATGGAACGAGTAGTTCGGTCCGTGTTTGCGGCTGGAGACCCGGATGACGAGCGAGAATTCCCTGAGATCTTCCCAAACGAAACTAAGGAGGTGAAGCATCAGAATGGGCAGAAACGGAAACGGGAGGAGCTGATGAGTCGAAACTTTGTCGATTACGATGACGAAGAAGCTGAAGTGGAGTTCGATTCCTCGGAACAAACCCCGGAACCGAATCCGGGCGCCGACGAGACGAATTCCATATCTGGAGCGGACTATCTTGGTGGTATGGAATCGATAATTCTTCGGCAACGGGTCATAACTCTTGTAAGTGAATTACATTCAACCCAAACAGTACATTGAGCATGCGCTGAGTCTTCAAGTTGTCACGAGCCTCCGCTGTGCTTCCCGATTCTTTTGGCTACATAAAAGAGGTCTACGACGAGTTTCGCCTTTGCACGAAGCAATTGCCTCTACCCGCGTTCTCCCTCTTCATGACACCATCCATCTATACGAAGCTACCTGAAGTTGTGTTCGTCTCACTCTCGCAAAGACTTCTCTGTGATATGCTTGTAACAAGTGCTCCCCGTCCACAGACAGTGACAGGTCGAGACGATGACGAGTTGACCGGCGTTGTTTTGGAGCGATGCTTCCTGCCATTTCCTGCCTCTACCTGTAGCGTGTCAGATAATGCAAAAGTTTCTATATTAGTGGAAGGCATATTTCGACTCCTGTCGAGGGTCCAAGCTTGTGACTTCACTCCGGGTCTGGAAGCTGCTTTGGAGAAAGGTATACTTGCTCGGGAGAGGAAGATCAAGGCGGATAGAAGGAAGAAGGAAACCAGTGCCAGGAGGGAGCAGGGAGACCTGATATGGCTGAGGGCTAGTGCACAAAGGATGAGAAGTCAGCTTTCTTGGATGAAGCAGCTGGCTACAAAGGCGTAAGGGTGTGAGGAATCTCTTGTCTCTGTTAGCGGGTGTTTTGGCGTTGACGTGGGATTTCGGTTTGCAAGCCATTCGGCTCGGCCTTGGTAGGCCTACCTACCTTATTCCGTGGCGGTCAAGGATGTAATGATGGCCACAGTCTTAAAGAGTAATGTCGACTGGATTCGATGATCACGACTCATCTTGCATTTCAGAGATAAAGGAGGCCTGTTGCTCGGAACCATGTTTGTGGCTCTGCCAAGCATGAAGGACCGTATACGATATCGACCAAATGCTTCTTATGCTCCGTAAGTTACCAGCTAAAGAACGAAAGCGTTTATTCTATCTCGAGTCGGTTACTCGTTTGCTATGACTTCAGGGGCAGGTACAGCTGAGACCCCCAGAATAAGGAAGCCGGTCGACGAACATGATTCACATGAACCAAGCGCCGAAATCAAGATTCCAAGAACCCAATAGATCGAGTTAACGATAGATATTGTGTTGCATACAAGAGAAACAAGGCAGGACAGGAGAGCTTCGCATAGATCATTCGTTCATGGAGAACAAAATCTTTGATTTATACTCTCCCCCAACGCCCCTCCCCCCCCCCCCCCCATGAATAAATGTCGAAAGTATAATTTCGCAAGGGATCTTACCAGGGCTTAAACCAATCAACTTATAAGGATTCAGCTTTGAAAAGCATCTTTGAGCCAGTATTTAGTCTATACAGTGGAGTTGACAGGGCTTTGAGCCATTAAGAAACCACCGCTCTATGATTTATGGGCCTAAACTGGGTCCGACATTTATTCATGGGGGGGAGTAGAGCAAAACTGAACCACGTGATGCGGTCGAGTGTTCCGACTCCGGATAAATCATCTCAAAAATGTTGATAGGGCCAACTATGACTCCTTAGCAGACCGCAGCAAATTTTTGAGAATAATAAACTCAATTGATTCTCTCACACGAATAAAGACTCGGCCCTCTAGAAACCACCACTGCTATCATAATTGCGGTCAAACTACATACAAAATGGGGTCAATAAACCCCAATGCGCCAACGCGCATTGCCATCTTGGGCAACGAAGACATCGTCGTTGACTTCGACATATGGCGCCAATTTGTGGTAGAAGACCTCCTCTTGAACCTCCCTTCCTCTACCTACGTCCTCATCACCGACACGAATCTTTCACCCCTCTACGTCCCAGTGTTCCAAGCTGCTTTCAGCACCCTCTCCTCGAAATCTCAGACCCCTCCGCGCCTGCTCACCTATGAGATCCCGCCCGGCGAAAGCTCCAAAGGCCGCGATACCAAAGCCGAAATCGAGGACTGGATGCTCTCGGAGCAATGCACGCGAGACACGGTGATAATCGCGCTGGGGGGAGGCGTCATAGGCGATATGATCGGATATGTGGCCGCGACCTTCATGCGCGGCGTACGCTTCGTCCAGGTGCCCACAACGCTGCTGTCCATGGTGGACTCGTCAATTGGCGGCAAGACTGCTATAGATACCCCGCTGGGCAAGAATCTGATCGGAGCCTTCTGGCAGCCGCAGAGAATCTACATCGATTTGCGCTTCCTCGAGACGCTGCCTGTCCGGGAGTTCATCAATGGCATGGCGGAGGTGGTCAAGACGGCGGCTATCTGGGACGAGAAAGAGTTCGCTGCCTTGGAGGACAATGCCGCGCTGCTTATGGCTACGATCCGTGCTAAGTCCTCGGATTCTTCAACCAGACTGGATCCCATTCGAGATATACTAAAGAGAATCGTATTGGGCTCCGCGAGGACGAAGGCGGAGGTTGTGTCTGCAGATGAGAGGGAGGGTGGATTGAGAAATTTGCTGAATTTCGGACATTCTATTGGCCATGCATATGAAGCCATTCTTACGCCACAGGTTTTGCATGGCGAGGCAGTGGCTATTGGTATGGTGAAGGAAGCCGAGCTGGCGCGCCACTTGGGTGTATTGAAACCTGGTGCCGTGGCACGCTTGGTGAAGTGCATATCAAGCTATGGCCTGCCTACTTCGCTCGCAGATAAACGCATCCAGAAACTTACAGCTGGTAAACTCTGCCCAGTGGACGTTTTGCTACAGAAGATGGGAGTCGACAAGAAGAACGACGGAAAGAAGAAGAAGATCGTTCTGCTGTCCGCTATCGGCAAGACACATGAGCCTAAAGCTAGTGTGGTAGAAGACCGTGCCATTAGGATCGTGCTTTCAGATTCTATTGTGGTCTCCCCAGGTGTTCCTGAAGGCCTGCAGAACGAAGTCATTCCACCCGGATCAAAGAGTGTTTCTAACCGAGCTCTCGTTCTGGCTGCCCTTGGAACCGGCCCCTGCCGAATCAAGAATTTGCTACAGTCTGATGATACCGAGTTCATGCTTACTGCCATTGAGAAACTGGGAGGTGCTACTTATGCCTGGGAAGACGCTGGAGAGGTCTTGCTGGTCCAAGGAAAGGGAGGTGATCTGCATGCTAGTTCCTCAGAGCTATACATTGGCAATGCTGGAACCGCCTCGAGATTTTTGACGACCGTCGCTTCCCTATGCAAACCTTCTACCGTCAAGTCGACAATTCTTACAGGAAATGCCCGCATGAAGGTTCGCCCGATTGGTCCGCTTGTGGACTCTCTCCGAGCAAACGGTGTTGACATCGAATACCTCGAGAAGGAACACAGTCTACCACTTGACGTTCCTGCCTCTGGGGGATTCGCTGGCGGTGAGATTGAGTTGGCCGCCACCGTTTCTTCCCAATACGTCTCCTCCCTTCTCATGTGTGCCCCTTACGCGAAGAAGCCGGTCACACTTCGTCTCATCGGAGGCAAGCCAATCTCTCAGCCATACATCGACATGACTACCGCGATGATGGCCTCTTTCGGCATCCACGTTATTCGATCAAAGACTGAGGAGCATACCTATCATATTCCACAAGGTGTCTACAAGAACCCAGCAGAGTACGTTGTCGAGAGCGATGCTAGCTCAGCAACTTACCCCCTCGCCGTGGCTGCGATCTCGGGAACTACCTGCACGATCCCAAACATCGGCTCCAAGTCGCTTCAAGGAGACGCTCGGTTTGCCATAGAAGTCCTTCGGCCTATGGGATGTGAAGTTGTACAGACTGACTACTCTACTACCGTGACTGGTCCACCTAAAGGACAACTAGTCGCTATCGAGGAGGTTGATATGGAGCCCATGACAGATGCTTTCTTGACTGCGTCAGTGCTTGCTGCGGTAGCCAAGGGGACGACCAGAATTAGAGGAATCGCTAACCAGCGAGTCAAGGAGTGCAACCGCATTAAAGCCATGAAGGACCAGCTGGCAAAGTTTGGTGTTGAGTGTCGCGAACTAGATGACGGGATTGAAGTTGACGGATCGCCCATTTCTTCACTCACTATCCCAGCAGACGGTGTCTACTGCTACGATGATCATCGTGTTGCGATGTCGTTCAGTGTGCTGTCTGTTGCAACTCCCGAGCCTGTACTTATCACAGAGCGAGAATGTGTAGGCAAGACATGGCCAGGATGGTGGGACGTCTTGTCCTTGTCGTTCAATGTGGCCTTGGTAGGAAAGGAGACTGCACACGCCAAGTCTGTAAGCAAGTCCGTAGTGTTGGATAGCTCCATTTTCATCATCGGGATGCGCGGTGCTGGGAAGACGACTGCTGGTGGATGGGCAGCGAGGATCCTTAAAAAACCTCACATTGATCTTGACATTGAACTCGAACGGATAGTTGGCTGTACGATTCCGGAACTGATCAGGGCCAAAGGCTGGGATGCATTCAGAGATGCCGAGCTCTCTCTACTCAAGCGTATGGTTTCCGAAAAGCCGAAAGGCTACATTTTCGCGTGCGGTGGCGGCGTGGTCGAAATGCCAGAGGCTCGCCAAATCCTTTCGGATTACCACAAAACTGGCGGCATCGTCCTCCTTGTACACCGCGACACGGAACAAGTCATGTCATACCTTCAAATTGACAAGACTCGTCCAGCTTACGTGGAAGATATGATGGGCGTCTATTTGCGTCGACGACCTTGGTTCCAGGAGTGCAGCAATTTCCAGTACCACAGCAAGAACGGCGAGTCCGGTGCTCTGTCTGTGGCGCGGGACGATTTCGCTAGATTCCTCTCGCTTATCTCAGGGGAGAGCTCGCATTTCGAGCAGATTCGGAGCAAGCGGCATTCTTTCTTTGTATCTCTCACCATTCCGGATATCTCTGCCGCGGCCGATATCCTACCATCTGTTGTTGTTGGATCGGACGCTGTAGAAGTACGGGTCGATTTACTCGAAGACCCGAATTCGGCCAATGGCATACCGACTGCCGAGTTCTTGAGTCTCCAGATTGCTCATCTGAGATCAATAGTAACTTTACCATTGATATACACGGTACGGACAGTTAGTCAGGGTGGTCGATTCCCAGATGATGCGCAAGATGAGGCGTTGAAGCTCTTCAAAGCTGCGGTACGGATGGGCTTGGAATACATTGACCTGGAAATTACGTCCTCGGATGAGCTTTTGCAAAGTGTGACCGAGAACAAAGGCTTCTCAAAGATCATCGCTTCTCATCATGATCCTCAAGGCAAACTTTCCTGGAAGAATGGTGCATGGATCCAACACTACAACAGAGCTCTCGAGTACGGGGACATAATCAAACTGGTTGGGTCTGCTAAGACGATGGAAGACAACTTTGCCCTTGCCAAATTCAAGGCAAACATGGCAGCTGCTCACGATGTCCCGTTGATTGCCATCAACATGGGCGTCATTGGAAAGCTAAGCAGAATGTTGAATGGCTTCATGACCCCCGTCTCGCATCCGGCCCTGCCGTTCAAAGCTGCCCCGGGTCAACTGTCCGCAGCAGAAATCTGCCAGGGCTTATCCCTCCTGGGCGAAATCGAGCCAAAAGCCTTCTACCTCTTCGGCACACCCATCGCAGCCTCAAGATCCCCCGCTCTTCACAATACCCTCTTTCAGCAAACCGGTCTTCCGCACCACTACTCCCGCCTTGAAACCGACAACATCGAGGACGTCCGCTCCGTCATCCGCTCGCCAGACTTCGGCGGCGCATCTGTTACCATCCCCCTCAAGCTCGACATTATCCCTCTCCTAGACGACATCACGGAAGCTGCGAAGATCATCGGTGCCGTCAACACCGTTGTCCCCGTTACCACCCGCCCAGGCAGTCCTCCCCGCCTTGTAGGCGAGAACACGGATTGGCTCGGTATGACACACTCCCTGATCGCCGTATCGTACGCAACAATATCCTCCGGACCTCCGGGCTCTGGGCTCGTTATCGGCGGCGGTGGCACGGCGCGCGCTGCTATCTACGCTCTTCACTCACTCGCTCATTCCCCAATCTACATCGTCTCCCGCACGCCGTCGAAGTTAGCAACTATGATCGCCACCTTCCCAGCTGAGTTCAACATCGTGCCGCTGTCTGACGTGGAGGCCGCGGAGAGGATTACAGATGTGCCGCGCGTGGCGATTGGGACGATCCCCGCCGACAAGCCGATTGAGCAGAACATGCGCGAGGTGCTGGGGAGCCTGCTGCGGCACGAAGGGATGGGCGAGGGTCAGAAGACGCTGGTGGAGATGGCGTACAAGCCGAGCCAGACGGCGCTCATGAAGATGGCGATGGATGCCGGGTGGGTTACGATCCCTGGGTTGGAGGTGCTGAATTCGCAGGGTTGGTTTCAGGTATGTTTCTCTCTTTCTCACTCTCTCTCTCTCACTCTCTCTCTTTCTCACTCTCTCTCATTTCGCTCTTGATCATCATCCCGTGTCATAATTCGAGGGAGAGGACCTGGCTAACAACGACCCTTCTAGTTCCAAAAGTGGACGGGAATCACGCCCTTGTACGATGATGCTAGAGCGGCTGTCATGAGAAGTTGAAGTTGATTTGGGGGGGGGAGTGGGGGTGGGGGGGGGGTAATTTTTTTTTAAAAAAAAAAAAAAGATAATAAAAAATCTCAAGATTAGATAGATGTAAAGGGTATTTTTATTCTCCTCCCCTTCTCCTTTTTGTTATTGTCGCTGTTGGTTTCTCCACCTACAGTCAGTCAGTCAGTCAGTCAGTCAGTCAGTCAAGTCAATCACCTCCTAGCTGCTAACGCATACATAAACTTTTTTTTCTCATCTCGCACCAGAACTGAAGCTCTACAATTCGACGGCTTCTTCGACTCGCTTTTCTATGTTCAATCATAAGTCTTGAAAGGTTAGAAATTATTATCTACATGTGTATTCTTGGGGTTGGTATTCCCTTATCCCCCTATCCCCCTCCCCTTATCCCCCTCCCTTATCCCCCTCCCCTATCCCTTATCCCCCTCCCTTATCCCCTATCCCCCTCCCTTATCCCCCCCCCCCCCCTTTTCCCCCCCCTCCTTTCTTTCTCCTTTCCTTCCTCCTCCTCTCTGTTATTGATAAGCCTGCATTTTTCAAAGTTCAGTTTTTCGAAAAACTTAATTCTCGATCTCCATTTCCATTTCCATTTCGATTTCGATTTCCATTTCGATCGAGGTCCAAGGTCCCAGGTCGAATGCATATTGAATATTCAATCTCAGTCAGTCTCGGTCACGATTTGCTTGCTTGAGTGTTTGACTGCTTGACTGTTTGCTGGCTGGCTTGACTGCCTTTTTGTTTGTTTGACTGCTTGTTTGATGGCTTGCTTGATGGCTTGATGGCTTGCATGCTGGCTGGAGGTACGCATGCATAACATATACATATATATATACATATATACATACATAAGATATGTGTCTCGACGTATATATCCATCCATCTCTATATGGCTGCGTGTAGTGAGTGCGGTGCGAGTAGATGAGGGCGAGAGTGAGAGATTTGAGAGATTGAGAGATTGACAGAGTTCGGTGAGTTCGGTGCGAGTAGATGAGGGCGAGGTTGAGAGATGGAGACAGAGACATCGAGAGACATCGAGAGACCATCTAAATACATAAATCGATTCATCAATAGCTGGCTAGCTGGCTACATAAGAGCTAACTACTCAGCCTTATAAGTAGGTAGGTGTTGGCTCTATCCTCCGTATTTCAGGTTGGAGATCAAAAGGGAAAAGATGGAGGAGGGGAAAAACAGAAAGAAATAAGGATACATTTCACCGCATACACATGCATAACGGTAAAAGGAGGCCATTTCTTTCCTTCTTTCTTTTTAAATTCTTCTCAATCTGTATCAATGGTAGTACCACACAATAAATCATACACAAACAATAAAACCCCCCCCCCTCCAGCCCTGCCAGGCGTCTCTGCTCGAATTTTAATATAAACTGTTTGAACCTCGCGTGCTGATCATCTCATCTATCCAGACTCCGTCCCATCATCATCACATATGAAAATCGTTAAAGTACAAATGCAGTACAACACTCAGCCTAGTACACACCGTGACCTGAGTCCAGACGTCCAGATGACCATTTATCACCCCCATCGTATATTCATCAAATAATGAAATAGAGGACTAGGAAAACATGACGTTGTACAGTCTAGTTCTAAACCCATTTTTGATGGCCCGACCAGTTGTCTCCAGTCTCTCTTTTAGGTCCGTCCGTCCGGCCGGCCGGCCCATTTTCTGCTGTACAAGTTTTTTCATGAAGAGGATGCGTAACACGACATAAATCATATACAGACAACTCGTCCATATTAAACCGGTCGGGAGGAAATAGATAAGGAGGCCGTAAATCTGACCTCCTGTAACAATGACGCTAGAACACCCCATACCAGAATACCCAAAAGCACGAAATGGAAAACAAGCGCTTCTCGCTCTGAAACAAGGAGGCCAAGAGCGCAATTCAAGAGACATAGAGCATGAATGACGACAGGAATGGTTCGAGTCATGTTGTATAATAACAATGATGTCATGAGTGCCGCATTGGCGAATCGGACAAGGGAGGACACTCTGCTTTCCGGGCAGAGGCCCCCCCCCGGCCACCCTGTGCGATTCGCAAGTTGTTCGCGGTGCACCGGCAGTCCCTGCATGGATTGGAGCGAGATGCATTCCTGGCACTGCTGCACATCCTGGAGGGGATGGGGTGGGGTGATGTTGTTATGAATCCCTGTCGGCTGTGACGTTAGGATGTTGTGTGATGTTGTGTAATATTGTACATGATGATGGAATGTCAATCATGCATGATTCAATCGTGCGTTCGGCGCCGGCTGTTGTTCAATTCAGTGTGCTCGGGATGCACCACCCTCATGTGACGAGTCAGCGCATCGTTCCGGCTGAAGGTCTTCTCCTCTGTGCACAACGGACAGTGCACCTTGAGCTTGCGCGCGTTGTGAATAGTATCCTCATGGCGGGTGAGGTCGTAAGGGCGCGAAAAGATGGTGTTGCAGGGCTTTCCGGTTGACGGGTTAATGCGTTCGCACTAGATTCAGCCCGTCAGCATTTACAAACTCAAATGACAATTGTGACCAAGATGACCGTAATATCTTGCAAGACAAGTGAGTATGAAATAGACGTACTTTGTGAGGCCCCGCTTGCGAGTTACGTTGCGCCGTGGAGGTCATTCCACCTTCATCCCCACTGCCGATCACCGCCGAGTTGCGATGGCCTTCGCGTTTGTGTCTCTGTAGCCTCGCTGGTGTATCGAAACGCAACGTGCATCCGTGGTACGTGCAGGTGTACGTACCCGTGTCTGCAGAAGTGCCAGCCGGCTTCTTCGTGTCCGACTCGCCCGCGTACTCGCTGCTGCTGGACTCCATCGAGGTCAGCGTCGAGGGAAAACCGACGTCCTCGCCAAAGTTAGTGAGGTTGCTAGGCTGCCGCCGCGACGCTGGTACGAAGGGGTATTGCTGGGGAATTTGCTGGATGCTGCCTGCAACAGCCGGGGTTACGAAGTTGAAGTTGCCTTGGTGCTGTGTCGCTTGCGACGAGTTGGAGTATGTGGGTGAGCTCTCCAGTCCCGTGGTGGCCATGCTCCCATAACTCGTCGGAGATGCGTTGCCGTCCTCGGACTGATCTTGCGGGAGGGCAGGCTGTTGGCGGAAAGTCGAGGGCTGGGGTTGGTTCTGGAGATTCTGTTGGGGTGGGAAGAGTGGGGCGTTGGCATCATCATCGTTTTCGTGATATACCAAATCGACTTCCTTTGGTGAGATGGTCTTCGGTGCTGAATGCTCAGTAGACACTCGCTCCATCTGCTGCTGTAGCGCCATTGCATCGCTCTCCATCTTCTGTTGTTGCCTCAGATGCTGCGCCGAGTTGAAGCGCACGACCGGCGTCTGCGTCCCAAAAGTAGTTCCCGTCGGCGCAAGGGGGGAGCCGTGTCTGAACGGCGACCGTTCTCTCGACGGAATCGAGAGAGGCGTCTGGACATTGGCGCTCAAGTGCTGGGAGTTCGCGGCTTGCAGTCTTTCACAGAATAGATCGTTCTGAGGAGAGGTTGTCACAGACTTCGATGAGGAAGGCGCTGTAGTAAATTGGACGTTCGGGTTGTATAGCTCGTCCGTGTACATGTCTGTTATGGTACGTTCGAGTTTAGGAGCTGTGCTCCTATATGCTTCAAAGTCACAACGTTGTAAGTACTCGGACAGCCATGAATCGAAGCGAAAGGTCTCACCAATATTTTGCCTCTCATCGTCGCATGACGGTGGCGTGGATGGTGACTCATTTGCCTCCGAAGAGGTGGGTGGCCTCCCCGAGTGGTGAGATTCCGGGGCGGCCATCAACTCGGTGCTTCTCGATACCTTGGGAAGACCGTCGTAGCACGTAGTATACGAGAGGTTCGGGTTCTGGTAGTAGCTCGAGTACTGTAGCGTGAGGAATTGCCCCTGCGATGGAGTGTGGGCGGGTGTCAGAGGCTTCGAAGGGTTGTTGGGTTGGTAGTCCTGATATTCATGATAGTCGCCAACGATGAGCGGGTTGGCAGCGTTTGCGGTGTAGGGCGACGAGGGACCGGCCGAACCCAGAGACGACAGGGAGGACTCGCGGTGGTGTGCCCGCGTCGTCGATTGAGGAGTCAGTTGGCCGTTCTCGAGCCAGCTGGTAGTGTGTTGCTGCTCAGATAGCATCGGTTGACTCGAGGAGAAGTGTTGATGTGGTGTTTGAAAGTCAAACAAGGGCTCGTCGTTCTGGTCGTTGAAAGGGAAGAAGATACTCGACGTCGACAACTCGTCGTATTGTGACTGTGGTTGTGGCTGTGGTCGTGGTCGTGGTCGTGGAGTCGAGATACGCGACTCTTGGGAACAGGGGGAGGTGACCGATGCTGATGTGGATAGGGAAGCGGGCGACCGAGACTGAGATTGTTGGTGTTGTATATTTTGTTTTTGATGTTGTAGTAGCTGTAGTTGTAGTTGTACATGTACATGTAGCGAAGAAAGCTGACGTCGATGAGGTGATTGAGCTGTTAGCGCTAACATCTCGTATGAGTAAGGGCAGGAGCGGGGTGGCGATCCGAGCAAGACGGGGGTTTCCTTATTAAGAAAAAGGTTCTTGAGACAAGATCCGAGGTTCCGGGGTTCGGGTCCGGGGGGGGAAGGGAAAGTCTGTCGGAATGAGACAGTGGTCCCGCAAGCGATTCGATTCGTATTCGGGATATTGATAATCAGACAACGATCATGTGCACCCAGTCTAGATGTGAAGCGATAGTGTTGATGTGTTGATGTGTTGATGTCGTTGACACAATTTGATATGAGGTACGGAGATAGATAGATGGTATCAGCAAGCCGAGTCGAGTCTCGCCGAAGTAGATGCGGATGTGGAATGTGGAAGTGGAAGTGGAAGTGGATGTGGATCTGGATGTGGATGTGGATGTGGAAGTGGATATGGGTGTGGGTGTAGATGTGGATCTGGATGCTGTTCAGGTCTTGTGTTAAGATCTTGAGGTCTTGAGCTCTTGAGGTTGTGGAGGCTCGAAGGTCGGATGGAATGGAATGGAACGGAACGGAATGGAATGGAAATAGTCGACGGATAAGAGGGAGAGAGAGAGAGCAAGAGGGAGAGAGAGAGAAAGCAAGAGAGAGAGGGGAAATAGTCTCGGACATTGCAGAGCGGGTTGATATATTGGATATTTTCCATCTTGCCATTCATTACATAGCCGATGCGATGCAAGCAGCAAGCAGCAAGCAATGGCCGTGGCATTCCTCGTCACACATAGAGTAGCTACCGGTATCTGACAGGCAGCATCTGGCTGGGTATGGGATGTGGGATGTGGGATGTGGGATTCTGGGAGTTCGGGGATCGGAGATCGGAGATCGGGAATCGGGGGCATTGACAGAGGAGGGGCATGACGCAATGACGCCATGATAAATAAGCATGATGCCATGACGCAGCGACGACGAGACTGTACGGTACCGGTACCTGCACCCTCTCTGTACTCTCCCTGCACTCTCTCTGACCAGTACCGGTACAGTACTGGACGAAGTAGTAGTAGGTAGTAGTATGTACTCGCTGCGGAACGGTAGAAGAGCTGAGCCCCCCCTTCCCCCCCGGCCTGTCGCTTTCTTTGTCAGCCCCGCCAGTTGCCGCTGGGGAACCCGTTGGCCCGTTACGGTACAGTACAGTAGTGACGGGCTCAGCCACTCTCTCACTCCTGTACCGGTACTTCCAGCGAGCGTATAGAGAGAGTACTGCGCAATCTGTTATTGGCTCGCTCCACCTTCCACATCTTCTCACGCCTTTCGTGCTTCGGATCTGACCGGCCGGGCATCTCGTTTATCGATATCGATAACCTTCTTTCGGCTGGTGCTGCTATCCCTGTGCTGCTGTGGCTGTGGTGGCTGTGGCTTTGAGTGTGGCTGGTGGGCCTCAGCCAGCTTGCTGCTGCTGCTGCTGCTGCTGCTGCTGCTGCTGCTACTGCTGCTACTGCTGGGCCTCGACCTCGATCTCGACCTCGACCTCGACCTCGACCTCGACCTCGACCTCGACCCAGATTGTCGGGTACGACGGGCTGGCGAAGCTGATCTCCGCCGCAGTCCGTCCCAGTCTAGATCTCCGGATGCCCGATCTGCACAGGTGAGAGGGACGCTGACACACGCTATTATGTTTAGCTGGGTCACTCCGGTACCATACGGACGGAAATATCGCGTGTTGGCCCGGGCTCAAGAATTCGAGTCGAAGGAAAAGCCTTTATCTCCGACTCAACTCTGACTCTGTGAGATATCTCCTAGCATCGTACCACATACAGTTTCCACAAAGCCAGAACGCTCCGTCTAAGCAGAGCACAATGTACCCGGAACTCAGCAACGCATGTGAAAAGGCAACACGAGAACCAACAAAGACCCGGGATCATACGACGGTTCACTTCACGCGAACGTCGTATCCGCAGTTCCATGTGGAAAAGGTGAGGTGTCGAGGTGTCGAGGTGTCGACGTATCGACGTATCGACGTATCGACCATCTCCGACTCACACGCACCCGTACCGGTACAAAACCCTCCAATCCGAACGCGACCATGTTAAGCAAAATCTAGATGACTCATGACTATGGCGACAATCCTTAAACGCTGAGTCGCGAGTGCAGTGCCGTACCCAGGGAAACTTGGCAACGTAAACAGGAGCTTCAGCCGCAGGGTCTGACCTTGCGGAGCAATAAGAGTACAGTAGGTACCATAATGACCGTGAGCGCGAATCCAAAATAAGAAGAGGAGAAGTGTAAAAAAAAAATATGAGCCAAGGACAACCGATGCTGCGAGAGCAGCCAGCAAGCGCAAAGCTACAAATAAACAAGCAAAGCAAACAACCCATTTGCCTTTTCCCATGATGAATTTTTGACCTTGCCCTCGCCGGGATGATCAGGGTCCAGCGCTTGCTTCTTGCTTTGCCTCGCAGACGGAGCATCCTCCGCAGAGTCCGTGTTGGGTGCGAGAGGGTGCTGCGGTGCGATCGGATCGGCCGATCATTGGATCAGGAGACCCGAGTCGCGGTCCGCGGAGAAGGATTGAATTGATCGACGAAACGAGCCCGTCGCCGAGGAAAAAAAGAAAAAAAAGAAGAAGGAGAAAAAAAGTTTCGGTGTTCTGAGGGTTTGGTGGGTGGGGTGGCTAAGCAGAGCGACGCTAGGAGCGCCGAGGCACAGGGACAAGGCCCGGGTTTTTATTTTTATTTTTATTTTTCTATTTTTTTATTTTTTATATATATACTACGTATGTATATATATAGTGTACCACGGTACAGGCCTAAGTATTACCCCTCGAGGGTGCCTTAAAAGTTTAGTTTCCACTTTAAACCCCCTGTTTTCCTTACCCTCGAGGGGTAATACTTACGCCTGCGACGTAGTATATGCAGTATATGCATGTTTATTTGTGGAAGACGTATCCGTACCGTACGGGGATAAGTACTTTCTTACCAGCAGACTGCATCGCATCGCATCGCATCGCACCGCACCGCATCGCACCGCATGACATCGCGTGTATGCAAGGCCAAAAAAAAAAAAAAAGGGAAACGCGGAAAGAGACGGGAGTGAACCAAAAAAAAAATAAAGTAGTACAGTAGTAAATAGGAAGGAAAAGGAAAAAGGAAAAAGAAAATAAATTAAATTAAATTAAAAAAACAAAAAGGGTTTTTTTATTTGCCCGTCTCCCCGTGTTCGGCCCCTCCTATCCAGTGTGTGCCCCCCCGAACCGGCAGCCGCAGCCGCGGGGCGAAACAGAAGAGAAGATACTACGTACGGTACAGTAGAGAGAGAGAGAGAAGAGAGAGAAAAAAAAAAACAAGAGGAATGAGAAGGCGAATGGAGTGTTCCATGCAATGCAAATGCAATGCAGGCATGCAGGCATGCAGGCAGGCATGCAGCATCCGGATTTAGGATTTAGGATTTAGGATACGGAGGAAGGCCGCTGCTGTGTAAGGTAGGTACAGTACCGTAGGTAGTCGGACGGACTACGTACGTAGTGTAACTCAATTGATTTCTCAGCCGGCCGGTTTTTTTTTTTTTTTTTGCGGGGGGGGGGGGGGGGGGGGCCCGTTCAGAAGCCGATGATGATGATGATGATGATGATGATGATGTGACTCGGCAATTCTTTCTTGGTGGGGAGGGGGATGAGGAGGAGGAGGAGGAGGAGGAGGTTCGTTTACTGTTGTTGCTTTTGCATGGAGAAGTACCGTGTGAGCGAGCTAATGCTACCCTATACCTATGCCTATGCCTATGCCTATGCCTATGCCTAACTACTAATAAACAAACACGCCAGTCGCTGCAAGGAGAGGAAAACCTAGAGACCGCTCCGGGGAGACTCCTCCTTCCCACGTCTTCCCTTCCGCACTGCTTCTTCAATCGCTACTTACTACGTACCTACGTACCGTACGTAGTATTACGAGGGCGGGGTCATCGCTTAACGTGAGAGAGGGCAAGGGCTTGAAACTCAGAGTGGTAAGATACCGTACATACAGTAGATAGGTAACTATAAAGAGGAAGATCTGGGCACGGGTGCCGCCGCCCCGCTCTTGGATCCAGGCCAGCGTCCTTGTCGTCGCGGAGCATGATATTATATTAAATAGTATCAGGTCGGACATGCGGGTAAGTAACAGAGGCAGACGAAGGAAGCGACGGAGAGAACTCAATGGGCTGAGCTCTAGAAGGGAATAATGCCAACCCATTCGCGAAGACGGCGGCGCTAGGTCGGTCCCGCCCCCTTATCATATCCTCGCCATCGAGAGGGCAATTCGTACTACTGAGAGTACTCACAAGAATTCTCGGCAAAAGTCATTAAGAAATGTGACTTTGAAATAGGGCACTTGGAACGGGGTCGGAGTACTCGTCGGTTTCAGTGTCACCGACCCACACTAAATTGACAAATGAGAAACACATAGAGCTGTAGTATTCTTGCAGCGAAGTGGTTAGGAAGTGCGGCGCATATTTCACACCTTCAAATGAAATCTCGTTTCTCATAAAAGCTCGAGACGGGCAATCAATTCCTTTCCCGGAGTACGATTCAGAGTCCAGAAAGCGAAGATTCCCCGTGAGGGGGACCTCATGGACCTCAATCCAGATCGGGAACCGGCAAGTGATTCAACAGCTTGACTTTCCGCCCAAGAGCCTTCAACGCTTTCAAAGCATTCTCATCCCTCAATTCCTCCGTCTCTTTTGCATCCACTAGCACGAAATCGTGCTTCAAAGTCTTGCTGCCTTCTGGCACACCATACTTCCTTGCCGTTTCCGCATCAGCGGCGGTAAAATCGACGACCAAGGAATTCTTGACACCGAACACCGCGTCCGAGGTTTCGTAGGGATCCCCTCGCATATACAGAGCACTACATCTCCCATGTAAGTAATTGCCTGTAAACATTCAAAAAGGAGATAGGTAAGGATAGGAGAGACATACGTGATCAGGTGATCCCACCCCTCCTTCTCAAACATAAAATGCATGTGCGCTGGCCTCCACGGATGTCTCTTCAAAAGCTTCAAAAGCTGCCCCACCGGCCCATCGTGTGGTATGGGATAAGGCACCGGCACGATAGCCTTGAAATGAAACGCCCCGTCCTTGTCGCTCATCATTACACATCTCCCATCAGGCCCGTCGTGATCCGCATGTTGCACGTCGTAATGGCCGGTACTGTCCGTCTCCCAGATATCGACTTTCACACCTTCTATAGGATTACCCGAGATATCCTTGACAGTGCAGATCACCAGTAAAGGCTCGCCGGCCTGATCCTGGGACATCGAGGAGCCATTGACCATGACCTCTGCTTCGTGGGTGTGGAAGGGCCCGAGAACCGAACCTTCGGTGCTCGCGGGAGGTTTGGGATGGTCGATTGCATCGACGAGGAGGGAGAGGCCAAGAATATCGGAGAGGAGGATGAACTCCTGGAGCTTAGATCAACAAACATTCCTTCAACCACAGCGGAGCCAGGAACCGGAGCTTACATGCCGCACATCCGAGCTAATCTGCCCAACTTTGACCAGGAAGTTCAAGGCAGCCATCCACTCATTCGTACTCAATCTCGTCTCGCGAGCGAAATCATGGAGATGGGTAACCAGTCTTTCCATTACATACGTGAGGCGTTGGTCGGAAGACTGCGAATTGATTCTGATAGTGTTCTCTGTGATATTGTCGATGTTCAGGTCCTTCATCGGAGGAACATTGATCTTCTCGGACGTCATATTGACTTTCTTCTTACTGATATCGGGGTCTGCGACCTGGGACGAAGTCGAATGGCGGGGTAATCGCTAGCCTAGAGCTTGAGATACGGTGTTGATGTACGGTATGCGACCCGGGTTGCTGGGGGAAGCATGGAGGGCTTCGCCCGATATAAAAAGGAACATTGAGTTTCGTAGTATAATGGATCTTTGTAAGTGATTGGAAATAATTGGGCGATTACTCGTTCGCGGGTCGAGCAGACGATGGAATACCGGCTTGCGGAGTGGGGTAGACCCCCGCAAGAGAGATAAGATAACTTCCAAGTCACGTGGATGCAAGCAAGAGGACCGCCGCTGAGTCTCTGTGTACGTACGTACGGTAGTACAATCACAATTGTGTTTCGGGGAAATCTCGAGAGGAGACTGAGTTTGCATGAGAGAGGTTAGAGATTTGGTACCGTAAAATCGGGGATATCCTTGGCTCGTGTTTACATTCTTAAGCGAGGCCGACCCCCCTTCCATGTGGAGATCAATCCGAAATCGTCCTCAACCTTCGCCCTACCCCACTCCCAAATATCGAAAACCTTATATTAGTTTTGCTAGCTGATCATCCCGTATCACCCATGCCTTTTAGACCTTGAATAGTGTCGAGTATACGGTAGAAGACCACAACGTCCATGAATCCTCCCTTCTCGCACCAAGCTCATGTCTGCAGCTCCCGAGGATCTTCGCCTCTATCTGCAGCGGAGCGGAATAACACCAGAAAATCTTCCTCATCTTCGGAAGCTATGTCTGTAGTTAGAGTAACGTGGCCTGGGAACTACGAGAGACCGATATGAAATATATGATTCTGGACAGTATACCTGGGGATACATACCACTTGACAAATTCTCAAGGTATTCCGTATGCGACCACGAAAATCACGATATGAAAGGTTGCAGCTGCACCCGAATCTCTCTTTCTGATATACTGAGCCCCTCAAGCTTCCCAGTACTACCGCCATCGTCTCTGGCCTGCTTCCCGCTTTCACATCCCAAAGTTCCTATCGACCAAGGCAAATGTCCTAGCAAAACCCTCCATGATCCCACTGAGTCCATACCCTCTGGACCCCCCATTCGCACCCGGGCCCGGGTCATTTCTACCTTCCACCCTCCTCGTCGTCTCCAGTCCGATCTCCAGCACTGTGCCGCCTCCAAACTCTGCCTCTTGCACAACGGCCAACATCACCTCTGCGACACGCTGAGGCATAATCCACGCATCTCCCTTCTCCTCATCGACCCAGGCTGCCCGGGTCGCGGTCCATATCGGCGTCTTCACAATCGCCGGCGCCACCGCCACGACTCGCACGTTACTATGCTGTTCCAGCGGGCCCAGACTCCGCGTGAAGCTAGAGATTGCAGCCTTGGAAGCCGAGTACAGCGGGATGGGGAGGAGAGCCATCTGTGCGGCGATGGACGTAATCAGCAGCACGACGCCATGACCTTGGCGTTTGAAGATTTCGAGAGCGAGTTGCGTGCATCTGATCGGATGGGTGACGTTTGTTTCGAGTGTTGCATAGGTGGATGGGGAGGTTGTGGATGTGTTGATCGCGGGGTGCCAGAAAGAAGACCAGTCCTGGTGCTCCGTCGTTAGTCCTCCTCAGGAGTCAGATCACTTACTTCACTTGGAAGCAGAGAGCAGTCAGGGGGGGGTCAAAAAACCGGCTCAAAAATTCCTGCACCTGGACACACGATGTCCAGGCCACCAAACTCGCCCAGGGCACGCGAAAAGGCATCGTCTAGCTGCTTCCAATCCGTCACGTCCGTTTTCTGGAACACAACTCTTGCTTCTTTGAAATTGCTGCTGCCCTGTACAGAATCGTTTGGAGTTGAGTTTTGTTTGATCAAGGCTTCGGCTTCAGGGACAAGAGCCAGATCCGCGATTACAACGTTGCAGCTGGAGGCGAGGAGGAGCTTGGTGAACTCGAGGCAGATTCCCGAGCCTCCACCAGTGACGAGTGCTGTCTTGCCGGCGACTTGAAGCGCCATCTTGATATGTATCGATATATGAAGTGGGAATAAAGGCTCTCTGGGAATGCGTTTCAGGGGCGTTCATACGGCAATGTTTCTGCTGAATCACATAGTGCGAGTGAAGAGCAGTAGACCAGACAGAACCTTTTCCTCGTCACGGCTTCTTGCAGACCGAGACAGCTTTTTTTCATGGGCACAAAACTTCAGCAGCCAGAAAGGTGGCATGTTTCAATCCTCCTTGGGTCTTGTTTTCTCGTGACCGGAAGAATGGGGGTTTCACAGCTGTTGGGCTGGTGGTGTATCTGTGGATGGTTGAGGGCCACGAACGTATAGAGGCGTAAGTGGTAAGTGGGGTTGTTGAATCTTGTATACGAGCAGAAGTAGGCTTCGCTTGCTATACAGGCGCCATGATCCCAGCTGATGAACAAGACCCCCTCCATGCCTGAGTATTCCTCCTTCCACACGTGGCGTCAGGTTGCAGCTCTTTCATTTTTGCTAACAGGGTCACATCGAGGAGCACGAAGCATTGGCACAAGGGATGCGTAGGGTCTTCCTACAGCCAATGTATTGACGTTGGTGTGGCTTCTCACCAGCTAACAATGCCAGCTGAACCATGCCTAACTTTCATACGATACCATTATTTATGCGCCAGCTTTTCTTTGCTGTAGACGCCTGTGAAACTCCCCCAAAGGATCATCTTCATTCTCTTCATCCCGACTGAAATATGAATCGATCTGTTTCCGAAACAGAGCAGACGGCATTGCATCTGGCTTTCTCTATTCAAGGAACTGTAACTCCTCAGACGAGTTTGATCCTTGGGCACGACAGAGGTAACTCAGAACCGCAGCTGCGGAGCGGTTAAGACCAAGGGCGCAATGCACCAAAACGGTCCCCTCTGGGTGGCGTGCCGTGTCGATGAAGTAGAAGATTTTTGTTCTATGAGGTTTGATGTTATCGATGTCGTCTAGAGGAATGTGCAGGATAGCGAGACCATTATTCTGCTGGTATGGCTCTCTGCGCATATAAGAACATGTGCGATCTCTCCTGGGAGCGTCGCAAGCTCTAAGTACTGAAAGAGATGCTGATTCGGAAGGATCTCAAAGAGCTCTCTCTCTCTTTGGCTTAGGGGTTTGGCTATGGGTTTGGCTGGCTGTGATTGAGGTAAGTCGGTGCTAAGAGACATATTATTTTCGTGCGTTGAGCTTGGATGATTGAGAATGCGTTATATCATCCAGTGAAATGATGTTAAGCTATTTGCAACAGGTGAAGTGGGGCTCTATGAATAGGCTATACTGGACGCTAGATAGATAATCTCAGCGCCATAGAACTAGAGCGTTCGCCCTATAGCGTTTAGTGGCATCATCATAGCCGTGGATTCTGTTAGTAGAGCAGATCAGGCGCTATTAGTACGCGGACCAAGTACTGTTGGTATTCGGACTATGCGCTATCGGACCAGTACAACGTCTTAGTTCGGGCTTTCAGGACTACATACATAGACTCCGTAGACCCTTCGTAAAACCTTAGATAATCAAAATACTTCTTCTGAAAAACAGATTTCCCACAGCGCTCGCTCGCACTACTACCAATCTCAATTACAACCTTCCAATATGGCAAGTTATGGAGCGGGATCTGGCGAACGTTATACAGACGCTGTACAACATCGGTCAGCATAGCACGGAGGAAGGTACCACTCAAGGTCACCGATACTCAGGAGGAGCCATTCCAATCTATCAATACACGCTTCACAACCCCTCCTTTCGCACCATGGCAAGCCAAATCCGCAAAATGCCAGACCAGAGAAAACGACACCCTTCAAACCATCCTCAAGAAGATACTTTCTGTCCAATCTGTTGTTTCGACCTCATCCTCCCCCGCCCAGACAAATCAAGACCCATCGTCGGATCTCTCTCTCCAACTCTTTTCCAACATTGGGTTTGGAAGCTGCGATGTGGTCTTTGCCCAACTGGGAACTGTCCACGTTGCAAAACGAGAAAACGACGAGGGCTCGCAGTCTGCTGCGCTCTGGAACGACTTTCGAGTCCGTACGAAAGCCGAGCAGGGTTTCAAGGTTGCGAGCCTCTCCTCTTTCTCAACAGTTTATATTCCCTGGCCTCTCTCCTGCGTTAGCCACATGGATACTGCTTGGTGGCTGTTCAACGCTCATCATGGATTCCTATCTGGACATTATCCTATCTGGACATTAGACTCTTCACAACTTGCTGATGTCCGCAAGGATCACGCCCTGGCCAGAAATCATCCGCGAATCACTGACCTTTACTGTCCAGAGCATATGAAGGAATCTCATTTAGCTAGCCCTAGGAACAACGATTGCCTGGTTCGAGTGTTTTGTCTCAGTAAACAGTGCCGAAGCTGGGTCACTAATATATGTGAAATTCACAACCAAGTATGACCAGTATCAACTATTCAGAATCTCCAGATTTGCATTCGCTTTTTTTTTTTGGGGGGGAGATTTGAGTCTCGCAAGCAGTTCCAAATGTCCGCAAATCTGGTTGAGAGAATGAGCGATCCCAGTTACCTCGCTCCTACTCACTGCGATAGGAAAAAAAACCAATCCAGAGCAGGAGTGTGAACGCGAAGACGACAGCAGAATAAACATCGTCTTCCGATCCTCTACAACAGTGATTTCGTTGCCGCTTTTCTATCAACAGAAAAGGCTGTCCCAAGTTCGTCAAATGCTGTGGAGCAACAGAGTACATATATCCTTTCTCGCTAATCCGTTGCTATCGTGAAGGCGCTGCGCTGCTCACCAACAGCAACTACAACCCAGAACTGCTCTGTAGCAAAACGTTAATTCCTGCAAATCGGTCTGATCCAGGGGGTGTCTTTTAGGCAGCGCTGTAGCCCTTTCTCCAGCTTCGGAATACCTCGAGAGTGGAATCGCTGTGGTTTCCAGAAGACTCCTTACTTACTCACTACCCGGGGGCCGACACCTCGTCGTTGGACCTCATATCTCACGTGACTCCAAACACTGGGGATTCTGATGCTCGGAATATATCTCAGGCTTAAAATTGAAGACTCAAGTGTCTCGCCCGCGCTTTTTCCAACAAGGACTTGTTGCGAAATAGATATCAGTCTAGAATTTTTGTCAACGTGATTCTAAAATCCGGGCCAATTAAATCTCGACCCGACGCGCTCAGTGAATAAATTGAACCTGCAAAAAACTTCCGAAATTATTAGCCAACGCAGTAGATAGAATGCGTACCATGATGTACTCAACACGATGCCTATCCCTGAAGGCACGAGCAATTCAATGGTTGTCAGTCAGCAAGGGAGATAGATTACAGCTGCTGCTGCTGATTGATGATACCGGGTGAAATGTCGTAGATCGATCGGACTGGCCACCACCACCATCACCCCCACCACCACCAGCACCAAGCACCCGACGACAAAAAAAAAGAAGAAAAAGAAGACGGAAAAAAAAAAGACCCCCAAAAAAAAAGACAGAAAAAAATTGGTAGCTTCTCTTTGATTGAGCGTGTCATCCTTAGTGCAGGGGCCATGCTAATCTTCTCTGTATCGTTTCAAATTCTAGATGAGTGTTAGTGTTGGGTTTACCACTAGACCAGGCGGGAGGAGACACTTACGACCAAATGCCTTGCGGCGAAGAGCGGGGACTAGTCGGGCTATATCAAGGTGGCAAATTTGTTTCGGGCCGAGGTTCGGATCTGGCTTCTTGCAGGCCCGCCACTTCGATTCTTACCTACCGAACGAAACCATTTGAGACGGAAATCGGACGTTGTTTTTTTTGCAGACTGGAAATTTGGCAGGCTTCATCGTATGGATTGTTGATTCCTCCATATTCACGTGCTCAACAATAAATGATAAAAGTAACTTTTAAGAGCAGTTTCACAATAGTAATTGGGCCATGGTAAAGCAATCTAGGAAATGATATGATCGAATAATATTATTGTTACTCGCATCGGGAATCATTCCTGTTCATAATAGTTCTTCAGGTCGCTGTGTGCTGCCTATTTTTGGTAGCATATTCCGTTCACAAAATATTCCATGCATTCCCAATTTCATTTTGAGACGCGATGCGGCCGCAGCATAAGTCCTTAGCCTACATTAACATATTGCACCGATCCCACTGAAGTCATACTCCATCAATGTTTGAGATCGCTGCAAGCCTTCTCACACTGGAATTTTCCAAGACGACACCTGTTAGCGGAAGGCAGACGGCTGAGTTGTCAGCCAAAGGATCAAATTCCTATGAAAGTATGGCGATCGCAAGTGGTTCAACCGATTATTATACCCATTTCATGCAACTCCATTTAAAATCGCGACTGTGGGATTTCCCAGGTCTGTGCCAGTAAGGCGGTATCGAGGCTTTCCGACGAGTCTTATTCGCAAATGTGCTGCATGCAGAGGTAATGCTCGTTCCCTAAGGGGGCCTACAGGTTAGGCTGCCTTGCCGTACGATGTGTCCGGGCGTCGGTACCATGGAGTATGAATTGTTTCCAGGCCAAGGGCTTACAGATGAAGCAGGTCCATAGAGAGCCAGGTGGTTTTTGTCTCTTGCGCGGAGAGCGACAGGAAGAGTGACTGACGTATTGGGGGAAGCCATCGGAGGATCTGGTCGTAGCTTTGCGTTCTTAGCCAAGGAAGATTGTCTAACCCGGGAAGAGAGAATTTTAAGGAGACATGGAAACACAGATCACAGACAAGAGCCTGATTGAGCCGATGACATGTATTCGTAGCCCGGCCCGGATCGTTGCGTCAAATGTGACAGCCTCAGAACACATCCTCCCGGGTAACAGCAAAGTCTTCACCATTGTCCCTGATATGTACTAGGTCCTTATCCCTTTTCAGGGGTTTGCGCATATCAAAGCCGTCCTCTCCTTCTTTGGCGGGATCAAGAGGATTATCATAATAGTAGTCCAATACCCGCCGGTATACGGAGTACCCCAAACCCTTATATAAGTTTTGGGCGATCTTGTTGCTCTCTCTCACGAACAGATCAACGAACCAGGCATCGTATTCGTCGCCGCCTTGTTCGAGGGACTGCGATAATATGCGGGCGAGACCAAGGCGCCGGGCATGGGGAGCGACGGTCAAAGCCGTGATATGTGCGTGGAAGGGTAGGTAATGTTCGCTGTATTGCAGATATGATGGCGAGGACTCGAGTTTTCCCATCACTGTGCCACGGGTAAGTTTGGTACACTTCTAGAGGTAGTGGAACATACTGTAGCCATCTATAGTTCCGTCTTGTCCCTCTGCCACATTGAATAGATGCGGCCAGCGGGCGAGGTAGGAAAAGTAGAAATTGAGATCGTATGTCTCGGTCAGAGGATCTAGGTTGGTAGAGTTGAATTTCAAAACATCCATGGCGTGGAAATGGCGAAGGGAAGTCATTTTGGACGGATTCCTGAAAGCTACTCAAGCCTCTGTTTATGCCTTGACGGCTCTTCTAGCATTACTTTTGTATAGGTCTATGACGTTGTTGGCGGCTAATAAGTTTATAGACGCCATAGACGCCCAGCCACGACTTAAGCTTTATGAACCTCTTATTTGAATACTGCAGGCTCACTGCACAGTTATCAATCGGTGGTTAGTGATTAGAACAACGTCCTACGTCCTTTTTACCTCGTTGTTAGTATTTTTCAGTATATGATCTGATTTTTGATGCCTTTTCCTGCCTTTTATGCTCGCAACCCGTCCCTGACCATTTCCTGCATCTCTGCACCGGTTCCCGCTTGTGCCTTGTCGCATCAATCCTTGGATAAGGTGCGGTTCTTCTCTATAAGCGACAAGCAACACGTCAAGAAGCAAAATTATCTATTTCTAAATACAAAAATGTTCTGAAAAACTTCTAGAATTTCATAATCCTCTGGATTTCATCGCATCGACAATGGAATCAATCCAACAGCACGAATTGCGCACGCAGCTGCCCAGATTTCGGACCGGGAACCGCGCCCTTTCAGTAAATCAACGCTTTTTCCAAAAAATACAAACCCCAAAAACCTTTTACGTCCCACAACACCGAATCAATTCTCCACTCTTCTTCGCGTCACAGCGCTCTCGGCCTGCCCAAAATCCCAAATCTCGTGGCCTATGCTCTTGCAGCAGCCTTCCAGCGCTTATCCCAAGCCTTCAACGCTTGCCTCATCTTCGATCTATGCATTGAGTTGCCAAGCCCAGCTATTTCGAACTCATGGCCGTTGCCGAGATATGTCTCCAGATTCGAAGGAGCGACTGGAAGACGATTGAGATTTTCGAGTGTGAGGAGGGCTTTCTGCGGTGCCATTTTCATTCTGCGAGAGGAACACATATGACTTTCTTCAACTATGAGCTAATTTACAGAGCAAGGGAGAAGCCTGCTTACTGGTGAGAAGGCAAGCACTGATTCGGGAGTGCAAGAGTTGGTGAAGCGAGGATACAGCGTGGCTATTCGATGGCGGAAACAAGCGCCGATTCGAGAGGCAGAAGTACAATACTTGGACTTCAGGAGAAAGAGAACTCGAAGCTCGTCAATGCTGGTGAGGTAAATTTCGAAATCAACGATCGTTTCTATGTGCGAGCAGCCATATTTCTATATTTTGCTCAGTCCAACACAGTCGCCCACACATGTCAGCCCGTGCCAGGATTGCACTTTAAGTCCTAAGTCGGAAGAGCCTTCCTATGGGCTATTATCGGTCAAAGCTACTGTGAGGAATTCCCTAGCCAGTTAATAACAAGGAAAAACCCAGGTATGCCACATTTGAATGGATACACAGACGAATAAATTTGGTGTTACTCGACAAGCTGGTACGATGGTTCCTGCACTTGACCGCACCCAAGCCTCTGGCTGGGAGTTACACTGCCAGCGCCATTAACGTCTACGCAGTATGCGGAAGTATGGAATGTGATTGATTGATGGCGAGATGGAATTCCCTTACTGATATCAAGAACCGGCTGAAAGACGAAATCCCCAGGACCTGCATTCGCGATCAACGGGTGGTCGCAGCAAACAACAGTGGCTCCGCTCGCAGTTTATCGTGCTTCAATAAGGCCTCAGGAAAAGATGACTGTTCGTGAGGAAAGAGGGTACGTACAGTACCTGCCCAGTCCGACCACTCTTTCCAACACCTCGCACAGCCGAAAGACTTGGCACGAATCAGCATCGAAGGCCTCGCCTGGGCACTTCAAGAATGGCCAAAACTGCCAACCAAATCTGTTTCCGCATGACGAGTGCTGGTTGATGAGAGACTGTCACTCTAAAACAGGGGTTTTTTTTTTCACAGCCGGCAAGTTGCAGAACAGAAAGACTGCATCATGCATAAGACGGCAGACAGGAGCTTGAGGTACGGCATCGTTCTGTCACCAATAGCAGCACAATTTGTCCTAGCGATCCTTAGGTACAAAATTCCAAAATTCACCCAAGCATAAGAAACACAGTTTGCTATCTGTTATTTGCAATTTCAGGCGACGTGGAGCACATGAGCCCCAAGTGGTGCAGGCAGCAAGCCTTTCTCGAGCGGTGTTACAGTGGAGCTTGGCAGTACCCGAAATCAAGAGTCCTAAACTCACAGCTAAGTCCTGGAGGGTTGATAGGCCAGGAACGACAGACCGGAGTCCTGAGACTCCAGCTCGGCATTTCAGATATCCACACGAGACTGATGATAAGGCCGACTCGGTCGACAGGCTCGACATCGACCTTCAAGGCTCCTCTCATTCCTCCTCGATTAACAACGGGATCACAATGCGGTCGATGTGTCTGAGACTATACTGAACCAGGTTACCATGGAGTCGCGCTGAAGAATCCACGCCAGAAGCCTTCCGCGGCTAGGTTGTGGAAGCTACGTCGAGTAAGTAGTCGATATAATCTATCATATCCTCTGTAGATGACACCCTGGAAGCTTTGTTTCGATTCAACCTCGATTTGTAACACAATCCTGTCCGAGTTGTTGATAGGTTTGACTCGTTGGAGTCGTCGCTGTCGACTTCCGGGCACCTGATTCTGCATTTGAAGACCCATCCAGCAGCCCCCAAGTTACACTGCAGGCTCTCTAACACCGCCCTCCCCCCTCCCTCTCTCTCCAATTTTTTTCTTTCTTTAGCAAACTCTGCAATTGCAGGATGTCCACAGAAACCCACATAGTTTCTCTTCGGGGGGTTTTTTTAGGGGGGCCGGGGGGTTCCTATCATAGGATGCTGTGCCACTCAAAATCTGCAGGCCCTGTGGCACCTCACCGCGTGTCAGGGGGTCCAGCGAGACAAGTCCAGCATGGCAGTCTCCTCCTCTCGAATTGTCGTCGACCCCCGGACCCGTGAGAATATCGAAGAATACAAGTCGTGTGGACAAGTCGGTAGCGCTTGCCGATATCGCCCGCAGAAAAGACACTTGATTGATACATATAATACTAGGCAACTGCTGTTGGCCATTTAAGCGAGAACTCCAAATCAATAATAAACATCTATTTATTATACTTTAATTACGCAATAATTACAAATATAAATTAAATAAAAAAAATATCATTTTATTCTTTAGACTTTTTTTTTTTTTTTAAGCTAATTTTTCGAAAGCGCACGAACTTTAATATTTAATATATTAGCTTTTAGCCGCGATACAAGCTTTAATTCTATCCGGTATACTTTAATACAAATTATCGAATAACGATTGATTTAATATATCTTATACAGCTTGCAAACAACTTTTTATCTTTTGCTTTGCGTGTTTTAAATTCGATTTATCGATCGCAACGTCGAGAAACATTTAATAAAGCTTCTTTTTAAAATGCTATTAAACGTGCTCTATCGAATTAAGGTCGAAAGAAAAAAGTAGCTAATTGATTGATAAAGTAATCTTATTTTTGCCGAATTAAAACTGAACTTTCTTTGCAATATAAATTGATGCATTATTTTGCTAAAACTAATATTTGCGAAGCAATTTTCGAAAGATAAGCTTGACTTTAGCTTCGAGGACTTCGAGATAGAATTATGCTGAATACTTGTGTTTTTTCGATTCGAAATCTCGATTTATAATATAAAGATTCGATTTTCCGCGGTCTTAAAAGGCTTTTTAGACTATTATTTTTATATTTTTTACATCGTATATTTAAACTATCTGACGATTTTATTTCTTTTTAAGCGTGCGAAAAACTTATTCGATTTTTTTTTCTTCAATCTCGCTCGATAAAACACTTATCCGATCAAACGATTTTTTTTTAATCTTCGATCGTTTACTCTCGATAGTTTAAACATTATTATAATAAAGTAGCCGCGTGTTTTTCCGTAAGTTCGAAGCGCTTTTTATACTTTTAATTATAGATTTTATGATTTTTTAAAATCTTCTTAACGATAATCTTTTTACAATCGAGATTATACGCTCGAATGACTTCTTTATATAAATCCTTAAAGTTTAAATAAACGTATCGTAATAGAATTCGTTCGTCGGATGCCGAATATAATTTCCGCCGAGCAGCTTCCGATATAAATGTACTTTCGTTGCGTAATAAAGCTTGCTTTCGAGTATAATTAATCGTGCTACGAAGTATTTCGAAAGCTTTTGCAATAACGGTCGGATTTGCATTAAAAGCAAAGCCGTTTATAATTAATCTTCGTTAATAAAAAGAAAGATAATGCCGAATAAGCCGATTATTAAACGTCGCAGTAAAAAGAGTACGTTAAGATAGCATTTTTGCAATAGTTGTATAAGATAAAAAAACGCGTGTCGCGAAAAATCGCGGTTTTATGATTTTCGGCTAACAGCAGTTGCGGGGCATTGTACCCATAACATACGACTCAATCCACCTCCCAACAAGTATCTATTCACACCGAATCCAAAGATTGACTCGACTATTCTCACATGATTAGCCAAAAAAAAAGGGGGGGAATTGAGCATTTACATGAAAGAAAACGACTAGAACTACGACATGTGCGGATTTACTTCCTTCCTTCCTATACTCAAAGGACGTCTACCTCCTTCCGATCCGCGATCCAATAACGAATACCACGACTCCCGAGTGCAACAATGATAGGTATCCGATCAGAATATAATATCATTAATAGAAGCATGCCGCGCCCTTTTCTACAGAATAGTACGTACGTACGTACGTACACGAAGCCAAAAGCTCATCCTCACCTACACGAAACCTCTCGCCAGACCCCGCCCCCTCTTCAAGCCATACATCCTGCCGCCACCCAGCGACCCAAAGCCAAGCTACACCCACCGGGTCTCTAAAACCAATACTCAGGATCGTATCCTGTCGTCACTCCCTCCCACAACAATCCCGGGTAGGAGCTCCTCCTCGCAGACCCACGGGCCCATCCCATCGCATCCCATCGCATCGCATCGCATCTCATCTCAACCTGCTGCTGCTGCTGCTACTGCAGCATGCCATCATCTCCCCCTCAGCACCTCACGCCGAGAGACCAGTATATCGCACATCACGCATATCCGCCACCCAACCTCGCTGGCAGGAACACTCTCACCCTGTCGAGTGTCGACGGGGTTGGGCCCGGGATTGAGGGTGTTTTTGAGACGTTGATGATCATGGTGGTGGTACGGTCTCGCCTAGGCGGGTTCTTTTCTTTCTTTCGGCGGAGACTTGGCGCGGCTGATAACGTAGGTACGGTAGGTACGGTAGGTAAGGTAGGGTAAGGTAAGGTAAGGTAAGGTAAGGTAGGTAGGGTAGGTAAGGTTAGGTAAGGTAGGGACGGACGTCTTGCTGCATTGTACCGTCGGGGATGTACCGGTATGCATTGATTGCACTGGCGTGGACCGGTAGGATGGCGAGTCGTGGGTGCTTAGGCTACGCACCCGCGTGGTTGTGGTCTGACAGCAGCGCAGGAGTAGGTTGTGTAGGGCTACTTTGTATACGAAGAGATTGATTGCGAAAGTATTGAATATATTTACGCGAGGCGAGAGATTGAACTTGACTTCGAGTGGGAAGAAGAGGGCGTTACCTACTGCCATTGGGTCTTTATTTGTGGTTACATTCACAGATCTTTATCGAGGAGTAGGTAGATACTGTGGACCTGAAGTAGCGCTGTTATATATACCTTACATGAATGTAAATATATGTTGTTATTGTCATGTACATACTCGTGACGTCCTCGCACGTATCCCGTCGTTCTCAACCCCTTATCAACCACGATATATCATACCGTATCGACGTCTATATACATGCCTACGGTCTCTTGATGCCGGGTATCGTTTTTCTCAGATATGCATACCGCCGAAAACAGCAACCCAAACCCCCGCAATGCAGATACGGCCGGCCATATCCTGCTTCTTCTTCAGAAACGCAAGGCCTGACCACTCACTCACTCACTGCCCCTTGGATATCGAACCCTCTTCACCCCGCTTTCGCCCGTCTCATCCTCTTCCCCCCGCTCGCTTCCCCGACTCCTTCAAAGTGCCCCTTGTCCCTCACATGGCATCTGAGATTATCGCTGCGCGTGAAGCGGCTCTGGCAGCCCCGCCAGCGGCACACGTACACCTTGCTCTCGCCGACGGTGTTAGGGTGCTGGATGCGCTGGTGGCGCCGGAGGTTGGAGGCTTTCCACTTGTGTTCGCCGGCGGGCGCGTAGCTGCAGTACTGACACCGGTGTGTGGGGGAAGAAGGGGGTGTGGGGAGAGGTGGTATGGTGGCGGGCCGGGACGGAGCTGGAATGGGTGTGGGTGTTGGTGTTGGCTGTGTGAGAGTGATATCCGGGGGTGTTGGGTGGGGGTCTTGGTTGTTTTCAGGCCGAGGAGAGGTGGTGCGCCGGGAGGTGTGAGGATGAGGGTGAGGGTGAGGATGAGGATGAGACTGGTGGTGTTGAATCGCGGCGTAATGATCGTTTCTCAGAAGTAGCAAATCGTCCGCATTGGCATTCAACGCCGCCATCCTATTCGGCGTGTCGAATTCCAGATCAGTTTTCCGTCCCCGGTAAGATCGGAAATCCATATCCAAAAATGGCGGCAGCAGATCCTCATCATCATCCGACAACTCGTGGAATCCCGAGCTTCCCTTCCATCCGTGTTCGGACGCGACGCCACACACCTCTTGAAGCATCAGCACCATAATCCTCCTGGCACTCCATAACTGGCACTTCGTCCTCGCCACCCCACTTGGCTCCTCCCTATAGAGCACATCACAGAGTGCCGTCACATGCTCCAAGAATCTTGCATACGCACGATCAGACTGCGACGCGAGTTTTCCCGCGCAGATGAGCTCTAGTTCTAGTTGTCGGATATTAGATATCAGCCCTTGTGACAGGCGGGCTTCGACTCTAACGACGTCTTCGATGAACGCTTCGATCCTGGGTTTGCGGATCAGTTCTTCGATGATGTGCGTCTTGGCTCTCTGCTTGAAAGATGATTGCGCGAAGTCAAAGGTCGGAGAAGAGCTGGGAACATAGATCGGTGATTTGGGCGAGTCGAGGGACTCGAATACTGAAAGCGTTAATTAGTTGTCGATTATTCTAAGGGTGGTTGATAGATGACTTACGATCCAGAAAGTGCTTGCAGCTAGCAAGAAGACAATTCTCTCCACTGTCTGAAACTAAATCCAAAGAGCTGTTTGGGCCGAGAAGCTCGAGAGGCTCCCAGATAGCTTTTGCAATCACCTCGTACCCTCTCTTCTGTTTCTCTCCTTGCAGTCCACTGGCCCAATTCAACGAATCTTGGAACCACCGCTGAGTATGGATTTTTGCCTCGCTATCGTCAATTGCAATCGCTAGTGCACATGCCACATGCGTGAATGCGAAAACCTGAACAGTGGCTGTCGGATGCCTACCTGCCAGTATACCGGCCAAGACTTCAAGCCCGACTGAGGCCATTGATGTTCGCGACATGGACATCAGCTCCTCGGTCGTGGTTGTCAGAGGAAGGCCCTGCAGGGCGTGTTCGGTGTGCTTGATGTGCGAATCTAAGACATCTAAAAAGGATTGTACCAGGCTTGTAGGGTCGTGCCAGTGTGGTGATGCGAATTTTGTGTTCGGATATTCCGTACATCTGCCAGCAGGATGCATAATCTTAGGAGGATCCTCAAATATTGGTTCCAGATGCGGTGGGGGCAGAGCAGCCACATCTGGAACCGGTAGGGCAACCGAGCAAACAGTATCGTTGATCCACTCCTCCGAAACCACTTCAAAGCCCGTCTCCCGCTTCTTCTCCTTCCTATCAGTAACACTAACCAAGCTTGGAAACCTTTGAAAGCTACTAGGTGAATAGGAAGCCGAAAGTGTTGTCGCGCTCGAATATCCTGAATCGGTAAAGAACGAGTTGCCACTCGCTTCGCTGTCCGTGGGCGAAATCTCAACTGCACTTCTCGTCGAATCGCATTGCAAGACAGCACTCATAGGCGATATGATTGCTGCTGAGAGAGGTGTGTTGGTCCAGTTCAACGAAGGTGTAGCCTGGGCGACAGATGTATCGAGAAAGAGTTTAGGAGACGATTCTCCTTTGCTCACCACAGGGAGCTCGGGGAGGTGCCATTCGTCGAAGTTCTCGGCGTAGAAGTTGTCTTCCCAATTTGGCATGCCGTCGCCGAGCTCAATGGGACATTCCGTGCCGACCATTTCGGAGATGTAGGTATCGGCCAGTTCATGTGAGGCAGGTGTCCAGTCACCGGCCATCTCGGGAACGATGGAAGTGTTGGGTAGTTCTTGAGCCTCACTCTGGCTCCAGTCCATCCCCGCGTCCTGCTGAAAGGGATCCTGGAAATATGGCGGGGCGGTATCTATATCTTCAAGGGTTTCATGACTTTTCGGAATCTCCACTCGACTCGAGAAGATGGTATTTTCGTATCGATGAGCTTTCACTCCGAGCTTGGAGAATATCTTTTTCGCAACAGAAGCCAAACGGTCGGTCTTAGATGGAGCTTCTTGGCACCGTTTGCAGCTAAACTTGCCCACCCGCTCCGGTTTTTGACAATGGAAGCACCAATATAGTCCTTTAGACAAGTGTGGACATTCATACACGTGCTGCAACATGGCCTCTTGGCTCTCAAATATACTTCTGCACCACAGTAATGGGCATGTCCTTCGCTCATCCTCGGTGATATACTCATCGGTATACTTTCGCGTGTATGCAACCCAAGCGAGGAATCGGAGTTGCGAGGACTTGTGCCTTGGAAAATTCCGTATGCTATGGTGATGAGTATATCATGCTTGCTAAAAGGCGTGGAGAAGAGAGTCTTACACGCAAGAATCATGAACTGCAAAATCTGACGGCTCTCCACTTGGGCAAAATAATGTCGTCGACTGAATCGTTTCGGCCCTCGAATTACGATTGTCATCTATCTGATCAATTCGCCTCACAGTTATCTGATCATCTCCATTGGCGAAAGAGGATTGACTCGCACTCTTGCGCAGGAATTTAGACATCGTCAAGTCCTCCAACTTCAACGACCAAGTAGCAAGAAAATAGATACGGTAATTTGACGCAAATAAGCTCACAATGAATGGATAATAATCAGACACGAAATCCACAAAGCATTGACAAATCGGCAATATAAGTCCATTTTCCCTTCTCTTAAGGCCATTTGACACGACACGCAGGCAGGACTTCAGGACTTCAGGACTTCCTGCTTCAGCCACGTGAACTTGCGTGGGGTCCGCAACCAAGGCATCTCATTCTCACCGAAAATTTTCTCAGCGAGAGCGTGCGGGATTGTTGGTTGCCTTGCGCATGCCTCAGCTGCCAGCGTAGGGCTTACTGCTGGGCTGACTGCTGGGCTCACTGCTGAGCTGAAAAAGTTGATTGGGGCCCGAGAGGCAGCACTTGGGACCTGGGACCCGGGACGCAATAGTTGTGATGATTCGCCGATGTTCCGATGGCATTCCAATTGGTGGATGGGATGCGACATGTACAGCACGAAGCATAAGTATTGTGACCGGCACCGTCGAGTCCTGCGTCGAAGGACTCCCAGTCCCTCTCGAGGTCCTTTTTGCCGGTCGACAACTCCATTTACTACTTACTCCATATACCCCCAAGTTAGACTGTAGCCAAGAATCCTGATCGATAACGTGAATGAAATGGTCCAAGGTATCCAGACAGGACTTGCGAATCGTGACCGTGACTTCCATCCAGAGCCGAAATCATCTCGTGACGCGGACACTGCATCGACGTCTCGATTCAAACGAGTATTCAAACTTCGACCCATCCATCAGAGGAGACGGGCATCCCCTATAAATACAGCTTTCCACTCATGGGAGGTAACATCCCAGCTATAATAAGAGCCCAGCTATGCTATAATTAGAGCAGACCCTCCGCTACGACCTGGTGTCTATTTGCGTCCTCCTCGATATAAGTGCTAGGACAAAGGTAGTCCCAAAGCGACACGGTGACTGGGGGCGGATCTATCTTTTGGCTATTATTTTCGGGTTGCGGAAGCGAACTGCGCAGCTGTCGACTCGTGTAAAGCTGGAGCGGGAGGATGCAGGACTTTGCAGGGCTTTGCGGGAGGAGGATGCAGGACTGGCTGGCTGGGGATGGCTGGGACAAGTGACGTCCAATTGATAGATGGGAACTGGAATTCGTGATTTGTGTTGTAGATGGTTGGTGGCGAACGAAGTTGCTCGTGAGAATGTGGGTCTAATGAAGGAAGGATCTGGATTCTGCCTTCGCCTCAACACTGGCGCATCCGAACATCCAACCAGCTCGACACGGAATACGAGACAGATGCCACTGCCATATGAGAGTCAGATGGAGAGAAGAGCGGCTTTGTGGAGAAAAATCTCATCTTTGATGTGCAATCAAATCTCGCCAGGATCCCATTCTTCAACGCCACGCTTCCTCTTTCTAAAAGATACTAATACACATAAATTATCGAAGAACTACCAAAAGCGCCGATATATGTACACCCAATGAAACCATTGTTTGCACTTCAGTAAGGTGGCTTCGCAACAATCCCCTTCTGGCCTCCCCCAACCTCAATCCCGTTCAACAAGCTTTCCAGATCCAAGATAGAAGTGGTATCATCGCCCCACGGAGAGGTCTGGTAGCTCTGACCGCCTCTGCTTTTCGTAGAGCGCCCTATACTTCTACCTTTGCGTACCGAGTCGACAAACGCATGGTCTTGTACAGCTTGTACAGCTGTGCCTTCGCCGGCTAGTGTAGATGGGAGAGGTGGTACGGGAGGAACGGCATCTTCGTCCGATTCTTGAGGGATGTTAGAACTCAGTCTGGAGAGGATAGTACGAGATGGCGACTGACGTTCATGTTCCCCATTGGCAGTGACTCGATCTTCAGACTTGGATCTAGACCTTCCGTTGGATTCCGGTAGCGACTCGGAGCGCTCTGCGGATCCCGTAATTTGCTGACCCGGGTTGAATGACACCTCCGAAGCTGTCAAGTCATAGCTGACCATGCTTTCACTGCTTGCATCGCTAGCAGCTACGCCGTGCGTATCGAGTCTATTGTTTTGCTGGCCAGAAAGAACTCTCTTCAATTGGTCTACTCGCGTGATTGAGTTTCGGCTTGACTCGCTTGCGGGTGCGGGTGATTGTCCACTGCCGTGCCTTATTTTCGTCAAGGCCCCGAGTCCGCCAACGAGACCATAGGTCGAGTTTCGTCTACTTCGATGAGTGGGGTGGTTGTGACGATAGGGAGACGGAGACCGGCTGTTTGACCCTCCAGAGTTGACTTTTCCGTTGACAGCCAGAAAGTTGCGGTGCCCAGTGATGTTTGTACCCGACTTAGAACCGTTCAGAGAGACGGTCTTACTGCCTTCCAGAACCATGGCGATTACCGTTTCTTTGCTCCATTCAGACATCATCTGATCCTTTATCTTGTCTGGCATAGAGGGACCGCTTTCCCCAGTGGGCCCCGAAGCGCTCGAAATAGGGTGAACCAGACTCCGGCCAGGTGAAGTAGGTGGGCTTGTCGGTGGAGAAGCTGCAGATGCAGCGTAAGACAGTGAGATGAGCATAACCATCTGATAGCGGTCGTCAAAAGGCCGTAAAGACCCGGTCTCCACTTCTTCCATGGGAAGTGCTTGTGATGTTGTTTCGCCAGGAATTCCAATCTGGTCAAGACCAATCGGAGGAAGGCGAATCCTTTCGATCCAAAACATCTTACTTTGGCGTCGTGAAATCTCACTGTGGATGATCTTCCCAATCGGCGAAGTGTCAAAATCAAACTTCTCACTGAGTGTCCTGAAGTAGCCATGGCACAAGCTACCTAGTCGTATTTTGGCCATTGGAGTCTCGGCTTCCAGTATCTCTTCCTGCAGGCGGAAGATCATAGGTAGTCCATGCGTGACGGCATTGACACCCAGGTTCTCGACAAGGTTTGTGAGCAACAGATGTAGCAAGACAAAGTCAGACTCGCTATCAACAAACTGGATGGCGTTCTCGTACGCTGCCAGATGCAGCAATTGGAGAAAGGTCATACGTAGAGGCTTGACAGTCTTCTCTCTGTGAGAGGCATTTGACACAGCTCTTCTGGACAAATTAGTGGCTGACTCATCCCGGTTCGTTTTAGTGAGACCTTTGGGCTTCTCCTCGAAAGCTCGAAGGTCGGCCGTCGTCACTTCTCGGTCCAGCCACGTGAGGATCGCATCTACATAAGCCTTGCGAACTCTACCGTCGGCATCCCGTAGAAGCCACTGCGTACCTTCCCAGACGCGGACAGGCACCCGATTCCTCTCAAGATTTCCTACTCCACCCATCTTGTCCTTCTTGTTGGCTACTATCAGGATCAACTTGATCGCCTCAAGGGCCCTTATTTTCGCCGTGTCGAATGAAAAGAAGCCGTCCGTAGCCGAGTTCTCGGATAAGTCACCCACAGAGGTGATTGCTGCAGCGGCAGCTGCGGGATTTTCAGTGGCAGAAACCGCATTTGCAACCCCGGACAGAGGCGATGGCTTCAACCTTAGCAACATAGCGGACACCATATCTGAGATTTGGTCCGTGTAATAAACATGGGTGGCCAGATCTCCTATGCAATACTGAAGTCGAAGTAAAAGCTCCTTTCTCAAATTTGTCGGTACTGATGCAGCAACATCACCACTGGCAATGTGAGACGAGTTGTCGGAAGAATGTTGAGGGACGCCTATACCGCTATCCTGCTGCAAATGAGGGGTTGCTCCGTCCAATTGAAGCAATCTCAAGACGTGCTGCACCAAGCCTAGTAGAACATCCATAACACTGAGGCCTATCAAGTTGACCTCCGATTTGAGAAGCGAGTCGATCATCGTAGACAGGACCAGTTGCTGCTGTAGGTTGGCGTCTGTAACTTGACTGCGAACCAGCGAGTCCATTGCAGTCACCAAGATAATATAACGATCCTGGACGGGCGTCCATCTGGCAATCATTCCAAAAATCCTGGTAGCCCAGCCTCGATTTTCTCCTCCTTGCGCAGTGGACTCGATAACACTCTCATTTTGAGCTACTCGATCCTCAATGAACTTCAAAGTCGCCTGAGTCGCCGAGTGTATCTGTGACCTGTTATTGGCCACAAATATCTGCTTCAAGCACTGAATGGCTATCACCCCAATATTTTCCTCGGCCACTTTGTCTGCATCCGCCGTAGTTACCGAAAGCGTCAGGGCGTTCGGATCCGCCGTGTCTAATGTCTGTACAGTTGCGACGCTCGGCTGCCTGCGGAGTTTTTCTGTATCTGCCATCTCCTCCCATCCCGCTTTGTGCTCTATCAAGTCGATGAAATCCTCATTATCCGTCCATAAATTTTCCAGTAATAATGGTATAACCACATTCAACTGCCGTCCAGCGAGCGAGGACAATGCTTCAGAAGATACAATGCTTCTGATAGCTTGTAATCCAGCGCTTCTCCACCTCATTGCTACTGGAGCGCTGACCGATACTTTTGTTGGTGGGGGTCTTGATGACGCAAACGAAGCATAGATACCAACTACATCTTCGTACTGGTGCAAATATTCCTGGTCTGCCGAAAGGGACGCGCCGTCGTGATGTTCGCAGAAGGCTTCGAATGTCGGGATGGAGGACTCGACCATGGTGATATCGTGCGACCGGAGGACGATATTAAGAATCTTGAGAACATAGGGGGCATATAGAGGAAGGTCTCTAGGAGACTTCTCGATCAAAGCAGCCAGAATCTGAAGGGTAACCTGCACGCCTCTAAGGGCTGGTGTCAGCAGATGCTCAGAGCCTCGAGGGCATCCGTTTCCGACGGATTTGTGCAGTTTCCACATACCCTATTCGTGCCCGCCACACATCACTGGCAGTCTTCTTCTCCAGAAATGCGCCCACCTTCTGCACCTTGCTCCGTCGCGTTGTCGCATAGTATAGCAGATAGCTCAGCTCGCTGGAGTTCGGCTTCACATCGACAGCGCCTTTGGTGGTCCGCGGATAGCATTTGAGGATAAGGACCTGATGCTTCGGACGGCATTTCTGCCTGATTGCGTGCATTTGTTACGGTCGTGTAGAAACCGCGAGATTCGTGGTTGAGGTTTTCAGCCTCGAGGACAGGGTATAGAATTTCGAGTCGGGCGTAGGTTGATATTGCGAATTGGGAATCGTGGGTATTTTGGGTGACTTGGCGTGGTGTGCATCGTCTGGATGGATCAGGATCGAATAGAAACTTGAAGTTTTCGAGAGAAGTTCATCAAATTCGGTCGGATGAGACGGCCACGCATTCTTTATGGAATTAGGTAAGTAAAGTTGACGGGGACTAGCTCGGCATGAAGCACGATGATGGCACGAACGTCGAACGCCAAGTGTCTTTCTATGTTTGGTAGCAAAGTATAGTGGCGCGAGATCTGTTTGTTGATTTGCTTTCAATCACGTGGCCAGCTCCGAATTCTGGGCGTCACGTACAGCTCATGTGATTCTGAATGTAGTACCAGGCACATCTCGATTAGCCAGCCTTGTCCCTTCAAACTCTCGTGCGTGCTCTATTCCTGGCAAGGAGATCCTCCTTGATGATATCAGCAGCCTTCTCTGCTACAGCATACACAGATGCTTGGATGTTCCCCCGAGGGATCATGGGGAAGACACTGGCATCTACGACTCTCAAGTTCGAGACACCAACACACAAACACACGCTCATTGATAACTCCTCCGAGTCCCTTCGGGCAGCTTTCGGGGCCGTTCGGGAACATGGGGCACGTGCTCGTGACGTGGTAGTGGGAGACAAAGTTCTCCTCCACTGCCTTGTTCGCATCTTCAAGATTGACGACTGGCTTGTCAGCGTGGATTCTACGACCATTCTTCTCCAGTAGAGACGCGAACGGCTCCGTGGCTGCCAGTGTCTCTAGCCACTGGGTGTGTCTGGCGTGGAGTTTCAAGTCGAGCGGATGCGAGAAATATCGAGGATCCAGAGTTGGTTGAGCCTTGGGATCTGGAGAGTTGATATGAATGACTCCTCTGGATGGGGGGTGGTTCAGGACAGACACGATGCTTGTGTAGTTTCCTTCTGTACTCATGCCATGAATGCCTTTGCAGTGCGGGCCATTTTTGAGATTGAGTTGAAATGGTGCCATCGTGAACTGGCCCGTAGCGTCCTTAGGATCTTTCAAGATGTCCCGAATGATCTGGAACTGCTTCTTTTGTAATGGGAACTCCGGATATTCGACGTTATCCAGATACTCAACGAGTAAATCGTCCATACTCTTCGCAGCAAAGTCGACGAGGGGCATGAAAGAAGACACAGTCGGCATGTCGGACAATGGACAGCCTTTGCAGTCACGTATGCTGCCATAGCAGCTCCTGCGATCTCAGAATCTCTCAACACATCTCCAGAAGTCTGGCCACCTGCTACTTCCCAACTGAAAGGGACGTAGCCATGATCTTGGAGATTCTCACCCACATTTGGGTTGTCGATAAGCATCTCAATACCATGCGATCTAAGCAAATTGGCATCTCCCACCCCGGAAAGCTCAAGGAGCTGTGGTGATTTTATTGTTCCTGCTGCAAGCAATACTTCGCTAGCAGCCAGGATTCCCTATTGATCACCGGTCTTAGTGGTGATTTGAACACCTTTTGCAGAGTAGCAATTGGCTTTCTTCTCAACTAGGATCTTGTTGACGAGGACTTCGGTTAGAATACCCAAATTTGGTCGATTTGACACTTTCTGGCTCAGGTAATCCGCCCTAACGTGACTTCGAGCCTTCGTTACTGGGTTGACAATTGCAGGGTTTGTGAAAGCGTCGTTGGCTACCCCGGATATGGGACCACCAGTCAACTCCTGCTTCAAGGTTGAGAAAGTTTTTGTCCAAGCTGTGTTGAAAAGAGTGAATGCGTCGCTTTCTCCAAATGAGATTTGAATTGGGCCGGTTGTGCCTGTTCATTGTCAGTACTAGCGCGTCAAGTTCATGCAGCCTCTCGTTAGCCCAGAATCTATTTTTCGAAGAAAGGCTCGAAGACATCTTACCTTGAGGTTCTTTCTGAATGTACCCAAGGCGCAAATTCTCCTGCATCTTTTGAGATGGCAAAGTCAAGGTATAGAATTTCCTCAAGTAAAGTTCCACGGTCTCCCACTTCCAACCCTCATTGCCCAGCTTCTCCCACGCGTCGAATCCAGAGTTTGATGGATAGATTATCATGCCCAGGTTAATCGCGGTTGACCCCCCCCCCCCCCAATGTCTTTCCCTTAGGTTGCGCAATCTCACGTCCATTCAAATGTTTCTACTTGGCCGTAAGTCCTCAGTCACGGCGGCCTAGACATCAGAAACTACGTACCTGTGGCGTGCTCATAAAGCACCAGTCAAACTATAGATCGTCATACAAAGTCGCTGCCAGCCTGGGTATCATAATCCGAGGATCGGTAAGTTTATTCGAGCCAGACTCCAGCACCAACACCCGCACATCCGGATCTTCTGTCAACCGTGTTGCTACGACAAGCCCCGGCGTACCTCCGCCTACGATTACGAAATCGAATTTCTCCGTCTCCAGAAATGCAATATCCTCAGGGGACACGATAGAGGATGACATGGTGGAGAAAGAGGGGTGCGACTCTCGGGTGGGAGATGTCTGGCAGAAATGCAGAGAAAGGGTTGCAGATAAGAGAAAGAAACAGATTTTGATCGCTGGGGACGAGTAAGTATACTATAAATCTCTTCACTCGCTTTGCCGTAGGTTCGATGAGGACTGAAGCACTTTAATGCAGGTCCCTCTTGTTCTAGTTAAAAGTCTGCCTTATAATCTATTACGATGCAGCCATCAACGTCAAGCTACCCGACTATGGCCCGCGGAATAGTCAATCGTGAGCACGAAAATTACCGCTCGACTGTGGATGCCGTTCCGCTGTCTCTCCCGGGAGCATTCCTTTCTCCACTTAGTTGCATGGCAGGACCCTCTAAACATTTCCCACAAGTGTTGGACGTTTACTCTGGGATTCTGTATCTGTAGAAATAATTACCAGATGGGATCACATCAAATTGGCACAAAGACCCGGACGGACTTCTACTCGATTAACACAATTGATTTTGGTGTAATGGTAACCGAGAGCCCGCAAGTAAACAGGCAGCGCACTATGCATTCTTTACGCTTTTAATGCTCGGTAACGGACGAGGCTCGAGGACTAAGATCGTCCTCATATTTCTCGAAACTTTCAGAACCACAGAACGGCGGTTTTTCGTCCAAAGCGGAGAGGCAGGGTACTGTTTACATTCCCGCCGAACAACTTCCAGATTAACTTCAGTATGCAGTTAGCTAAGGCAGTATTCGATGCCCGAAGCTGTCCGATAAACAAAAGTTCCTGCTTCGCTTTCATCGATCATCAAAGAGTTGTTCTGACATCTTCAATCTCTACTGATGTTGACGTCATCTGCGAACAAAAGGTCTCTCGAATAGGAGAATTTTATCAAGCGAGAATTCCATCAAGCGAGAATGCTACCAAGCGAGAATGCTACAAAGCGAGATTTCTGACTCGCGCCATTCTTAGGCACCTTTTTCACCTACGTGAATTTCCTGTGTCTTGCGAGACACCCACCGGGGCCAGGCACAGACTGGTCTACTCTATTGCAGAGCATGCCGAGGCAAGGGTCAAAGAATAAAGAGATAGTATATACGGCTGTGTCTCCTCGAGATTCGGAGGTGCATGAAGACGATGGAGATCGACGGCGGTGTTAATCGAGAACAATTTCCCAAAGTATCCCTTCTGGAAGGCGATAATAGAAACCCTTCTTTGTTTTCTCTCAAGAATACTAGATGGAGCCGAACGCGAAATTCTGAGGTCGAGATATTTTGTAATCGTTGCTTCTTGGTAGAGCTGGGACTCTAAGTCCACCATGGCGTACGACTTGAGCGTTGCGAAGGCAAGAGATCCGTTGATTACGATTGCGGTGTTCATCGTTATTGCGATCGTAACATGTCTCGTCAGGCTACAATCGAGGAAGATGAGGAGTGTGTCTTTGGGGCTGGATGATTATTTGATGCTGGGAGCATTGGTATGATGAGCTTTATCCTTCGCTTCTGGAAGCCGACTGACGAGATAGTTCTGCCTATTTATTAGCATCGGCATTCAAATTGCTTGTAGGTGTTACTTCCTCAGTTTATAAAGACGTGGCTAATGGTCTCTAGGTGTTATCGCTGGCGGTGTTGGTATGTTCACCTCTTCCTCTGAGCCAATATACTTTCAACAAGTTGGGCCTAAAAGCAACACATGACAAGGCAGGAGCGCTGCTTGACAATCGACTCGGGTCCCAAAATAATACACTCTCAGTGCAGTGGATGCTAACTTCTTCCAGGTCGACACATAGCAGAGGTCGACCATTTAGACGTTGTAAAGACTTTGAAGGCAAGCTACGCTCCCCCCTCTCCTCCCCGAATCGCACCACTAACTCCTCAAAAGCTCATACTTCCCTTCGGAGCTTTATACGGTGTCACGCTATGTCTCATAAAATGCTCCATCATATCCTTTTATAGCCGAATATTCGGCGCAAGCAAGTCTTTTCGCATCTCAGCGCTCGTGGCCGTTGGGATCCTCATCGCGTGGGCGCTAAGCGTCATCCTTGAAACCTTTCTTCTCTGCAGACCACTCTCTTTCAACTGGGACCAGACGCTTGCGAATGGGGTTTGCGGTGATCGAAACGCCGTCTATGTTACTGCAGGAGCGGTGAATGTCGTTACGGACTTCATGGTAGGCCGCCCTTTCACCCTTACCTGTCCCAGCACTGAGCAGCCATTAACAGGATCTAGGTCATGGCCCTCCCAGTCCCTCACATCCTAACTCTACAACTACACTGGCGCCGTAAAGCCGAGTTAATCCTCATGTTCTCCCTCGGAATCTTGTACGCACATCCACCCTCCCTACCCTCTCCCTCACATCCACCCCTGTGTACTTGAGAGTGTCAACTAACCACAATCAGCATCACAATCATCTCTGTAATCCGCATAAAGTCCCTTCAAGTCATCTCCTTCGCGGACCCGACCTACACCCTCCCCATGGGCCTCCTCTGGACAACCCTGGAGCCCTGCCTCTGCATCATCAACGCCAACATGCCCATGGTGCGTACCTACGTAGTCGCCGTCGCCCCCAAGATGCTCGGGTCCACCGCCGACCAAACGACGCGGATACAGACCCCGACAATTGGCGGCAGCAACGTCGGGCTGATAGGCGGAAGCGGGCGGCCGAGCCCGTCCGAGCGCATTGGCGATGATCGGCTCGGCTATGTCGACTCAGAGATGGGTGTCAAGATGGGAAATGTTGGGACGGAGAGTCAGGTTCAGGGGAGCAGGGGGTGGAAGGTGGAGGAGAATGAAAGTGAGAGTCATCTTACGAAGGGTGATCGAATTATGGTAGAGAAGAGTGTGCATGTCGAATCCACGTAGGGGTTTGTTGAACGGAATTGCACACTCAGCGGTGTATGTTCTCGTTTCATTCGACGTTGAAGTTGAGGGTTGTATTGTTGGAATTTGAGAGTGTAGATTGGCCACGTGCGAGAAGGCTTTATATCAGGATCCAATCTACCGGATTGAAACGCTGAGCAGTAAATGTCGGGCGTCCGTATGGCTCAGCCGTCCCGTGCCTTCCTCTTTCGCAGACCGCGCTTATGTCATTATTTTATAGTCTATATGCGTCGGGAATTTGAATAGAATATTTGGATCTTCGCACATATACATATATATGTGTGTATATATATATATACACAGTAGAAACTTATACAAAACACATCAGTTAACAGAAGTGAGTCCCCAAAAAAAAAAGTAAACAGACTCCTGACCGGACCGTCAAACGGAAAGCAGCTGCGAATTACCAATCAGAAACTCGGAATGAAAATAGAAATGAATCACGTAACTAACGAAAGGATTTCTTATCTCGAGCGCGTGAATCGTATTTACTCAGATGATAAGTAGGTCGAACTAGCTAACATAGTACAGGTTTGCGCTTTACATCGACAGTAATGAATTGGAATAGAGGGTAGGCAGAGGGGGGCAAGTTTGAAGAGTGCAACAGCAGCATCAAAAACCAGAAAGGAGTGAACTAAAGTCGATGGGCCAGGTCACTCATATAATATTCCATTTTGGAATGAAAGTCCACGGTAGGCTATATTCTGGACTGTTTGTATCAGGGATAAATAATAGCATGGTTGGAGGTGATTTCTGCTGTAGCCTGCTTGTCTGTGTTCAAGAAAAATGCAGGAAGGTTACACAGGTAGCAGTCGATAGTCAATTTGATGGAAGATGAGAAAGTTATATGGATCTATCTGCTTGAAGTGGGATTGGTACTTGTTTGTTCTTGAGTTTTGATAAGTCGAAGCTTTTAGGTCCTATGTCAAGGACTTGGTAGAGAATGATATGGGATATAGAGAAGGAGAATACTCGAGATTATTAATTTGTTGTCGTTGGGTTTTTGCTGTCAGTTGAATTGTGATAGATGTTTTTACCGCCGTGAAGCTAGTGGTGTTGGTAAAAGAAAGGGAGGAGACCGGTGTTTTGTTGCCCTTTTTATCTTTCGAAGCGCTAGCTGGTGACGTTGGCAACTCTCTTCGCACTCGTACACGCCTGGCGGGTAGTCATCGCAGTGATAAATTCGGATTCGCAGCTTGCGACTTGCCTTTTAATACCCCTTCGTCTGCTATTCAAACTCGTCACGATGGTCAGACGTAATGGGAGCGTCGTCGCTGGGTGTGTCTTGCTTACCTAGGCGCCATCTCCGTCGTATCCACTCTTACCGCCTCGTAATATATATATATATATATTTCTTGATACCATAGATCTTGTTCTCCTCGAGCTTCGTTATGATATTGACGCCCATTAGCTTGTCCTTAGTATTGAGCTATGTGCGACGTTACTTTTCTTAGCTCGATCGGACTCGATCGAGTAAGCCATTACTGACCATCACTCTTTCTCGGCATACATCGAGGCAGCAGATAGGAATAGAATACTGCTTGAGCTTAAAAGATGAGGTGAACGATTAGAAAGCTGGGTTGGAATGACAATGCGTAACAGATTGAGAATAGGCAGTCATGCCATCACTTGCTGGGGAAAAGGAAGGAGAAACTCGGAAGGATATTTACTATTTACTAATGGAAGTTGGATACTGGGCGAGAGGCTCTACGTGGTACAGACACCACATGTACTGTACGGCTAACTAAGATATGGAGATACTACAGCAGAGCCCTTCTCTGTCGAGTCATTGACACCGAGGGCAATAACTGTCGTGCAGATTCAAGATGCCGAGCTGGGGGTGGATTTATACGTAAAGACTTGGGAACTCGAGAGCTTCTAGGCAAAGTATTGCATGTCGGAGGTTTTCTTATCGGACAGAAGTGAAGGGGGTCAGATCGTCAAGTGTGCAACTTCGTTACGGGTAGAGAGAGGTCTATTAAAAGACCTGGTCTTGCGGATGATGCTGAAATGAGAAAGGAGCTACGCTGAGAAGACGTTTTCTTACCGGTTGTGTAATTTATGGAATTATGGTGGTCTGGAAGGAAGGCTCGTACAGAGAGACAGAGATAGAGACAAGGACAGAGAGAGGGGGGGGAGAGGGGGCATCTGATCCTTAGGCTTGATGCTACGTTTGAGAGTGTGCGTGCTGAGTAATGGAAAAATGACAGCGTGAAGCCAGAATGGCAGTAGTTGTAGAGCAGCGGAAGAAATACAAGAACGCTAAAGGGGTCAACGAAATGGTAGAGAAATCATCGCAATGTGGACATGTCAAGGTTAACCAATGCAACGCTGTCAGATACTCGAGTTCAGCGGATGGGCGGATGGATCGGTTTTGAGGTTGTTAAGGAGATCTGTTTATTTATGCATGAGGAGAATAGACTAAGTCTCCGAGTCTGGGGAGACTTGGAGATGTAAAAGTTATTACACTAGAAATGAAACTGCAGGAGTGAATCGTTGACTCCCCCGATTCTTTCGAGTGAGGATTCAAATTTGAAGTAGAAACGGCAGAGCTGCGCCGAGAGCAGGAGTTGCAGAGAGACTGGCCAGAATGGTGAAGCAAATGTTCGGAATAGGAATCCACGCACTACCTCAGAGTGTCGGCTGATTTGTGATTGTAACCAATATATTCTCATAACGGAATCAGAAAGTCCGGATAGGTAGTGCCAGTCAGTGCTACAATCAAGGATAAAAGACCGCAACAAACCACTCGTGCAAACGGAATATTCGGATCATAATCCTCAAGGCCAAGGAGAGTTCCACCAGATCAGTTCGTCTGGCGAAGAAGAGGGTTGTGAAGAAGTCCTTGAACAGAGTATGGGCTTGCATGAACGAACCTGGCCTAATTCTGATGCCGAAACCGGGAAATTTTTTCCTTTAGTGGAGATCTCGAAACGAAGGATGGACTGACGCAGAGAGGATGAACAGGGTGCTGGCAGCCAAGTGCTAAATTCATGTCGAGAGGAGGTGGCAATGACAACTGCGGTGGAAATGGCAGCGAGATAGATAAGAGCAGTATATACTACTAGTTTTTCAAATATTTGGGGAGAGGAAAACACATGTACATACAGGCACACACGAGCAGGCGATGAATTAGTTAGAGAGAATGCCTTTGTCTCGTTGCTCGTGGGATAGTTTGGATATTCACCGACCCCCATCGTTCGATATCTTCTGTACCTTTTCGATCTATGGCCGAAGCAAGGTTCGATGGGAAGGCTTTTTATACTGCTCTCTGCCTCCATCTTTCCTCCAAATTGCATATTCACCAGTGCTATGGGGAGATGTTGCGATTATTCTGCGTAGAAACTCAGGCGCTGGAACGGGTAATCGCTCTCTTGAGGGCATAGGCACTGTATGCATATAAGAACCAAAGAATCAAGATATCAACTTCTGCAACCTCAAATGATAAACCGGACGGCTGATGTCATAGAATGAGCACGATGTTTCGAAGCCTTTACCTGGCGTGCGGAAGATGTAGAGGTGATGCGCGGCCGAGAATGCTCATGCTGGTCGTGCCCAGTAGGTAATCTCTGGCTCGAGCTCGATATCCTGTATTCCGACAGCGAAAGCAAGATTGACGACAGAAGTACCGCTTCGGCAAGTGAATCTAGAGAGTCTGCGCTGCTCTGCTCTCAATTGGGAATATACCAAATCCATACAATATGCGATCCAACTGATCTGGCAGGGCTGAGAGTGAGAGTGAGAGGACCAAGGCCTATCTCCTGAAGCAACTTGCAGCTGCACCTTTACACCATGAGCTGCTAGGTTGCCCGGTTGTAGGTGGTGCATGGAGTCAAGCTCAGGTTCATCGTTAGTTGAGCTTCAAGAATCGCTCTGCACACTCTGCACATAGTTTTAGGCACATAGGTTTAGGTGCTTTTGCGGCTGAGTACACTTCCCGCTGTAGCCTCAAGCCAGGCAACGGATTGCACCAGTTTTGAGATGGGAAACAGTCAAAGATAACAAGGTCCCACGTTACCGCCTCACCTGCTTGTACACAGCGCTCAGCGACACCTGCCGCTGGCCTCGGCACTCAGTACGATTTGGCTCCTTCTGCCAGCTTTGGTATGCCTTGACTTGATTTTGAATCTAGCCACGCAGATCTGGAGGGTTGACAAAGCAACCATGGCAGCGGCAAGATACAGAGACGTGCGAAGATTCTCGTGGTCCTTTTCTTTGCAGCGGCAATGATCCGCATAGTTCTGCTTCGTACAGTGGACTGCCCCCCTCCCCCCTTCAGAGACGTTTTCAAGTGCTCCCAATCATAATATAATCACCTTTCTTTTGTGCGCACTAGCCACTGAGCCGAGTGCTGGTTCTCTCCTTAGAGCCGACGGACTACCATAGGATGAATAGGTAGTCAAGTGGATAGTGTCGCATAGTCCAGTGTGTAGCGTTGAATAGCTTCCTCTCGGTGAGCGACTCACAAATGCCCACGACAAAGAGCAGAGCCAGCAGCAGACTAGAGACAGTTTATGTATTAGTCCTGCTTCGTTCCTCCACTCTGATGTAAATGTAAGTATAATGAGCGCGTCAAGGGATGGAAGTGACGACTCCAGACGAACTAGAGCTGACTGATGTTTTCCAATTTGCTGTCCGCCATGGATTGATTCATGATTCACTGCAGTACCGGTATATATATCAACTACTCGCTCACGTGAGCCCAGGCCGTTCAGGTCATCAAGATTCACCTCTTTGCCATGTTAACGCCGCTGAGTCTGACTCAACGTCATCGAATTAGCTGCTTCGGATTATTCGAGGGGTGGTGGACCGTTTCGCGTGAGCAGGCTAGCCCCAATCGGGAATAGAGGGGTAATTTTTCTCGCTTGAGCCGGCCGCACTCCTACTTTCCTACTTAAAGCTCCCACCTCTTCCATTTCTCAAATTTTCTTTCCTCGTCGCACATACCCCGATTCAAGCAATCACTCTGTGCAGTGAGTCTCATCTCTTCGCAACTCAACTCAACTCACCTCCTCCCATCCATACTCCCATACATCCTCTTCTCTCCTTGCTGACCACGACAACAATAATAGATTCAACCTCTCCGAAAGGAAAACAACACCCCACACAAATCTACACTTCAATACCGCAATCATGGGGTGAGTCAACCTGATCTGCTGGCCTCTACCTATACCTTTCCCCCTTTCCCCCCCATCGCCCAGCATCTTGACGATGGTGGCCTCGATGGCGATGAGCAGCTTGCTAACCACTCTTCGCTCTGCAGTAAGGAGAAGATGCACATCAACGTGGTCGTTATCGGCCACGTCGATTCCGGAAAGTCCACCACCACTGGTAAGCACACTCTCCAACCTCGACCTCACCTCTGCAGACAATGGGCTCACGTATGTAACAGGTCACTTGATCTACAAGTGCGGTGGAATTGACAAGCGTACCATCGAGAAGTTCGAGAAGGTGAGAAGCATTTCGCTGTTTTTCCCCTCTTTGTGTCCCGCCGCCTTATCGCAGATTTTGCCCCTCGGTGGGGCAGATTTCGCTTCCTGCAATTTTTGCGCCCGGGCGCATCGTCTCACCGCACAACCCCTCGATTGATGCCCAACGTCAACATTAATTAATACAACACCCATCACGACTCCACACACATTCTATCATACACACAAACACACACATATACATACACATACACATACACACATACACACACCATGTTGCAGTTGCTGACCCCTCACAGGAAGCCGCCGAGTTGGGCAAGGGATCCTTCAAGTACGCATGGGTTCTTGACAAGCTCAAGGCCGAGCGTGAGCGTGGTATCACCATTGATATCGCTCTCTGGAAGTTCGAGACCCCCAAGTACTACGTCACCGTCATTGGTATGTCGACTGCCCCTCTGCGCTCCCACTGCTGCATTTACTGACCCACCGCAGACGCCCCTGGTCACCGTGATTTCATCAAGAACATGATTACTGGTACCTCCCAGGCCGATTGCGCTGTTCTCATCATTGCCGCTGGTACCGGTGAGTTCGAGGCTGGTATCTCCAAGGATGGCCAGACTCGTGAGCACGCTCTCCTCGCCTACACTCTCGGTGTCAAGCAACTCATCGTCGCCATCAACAAGATGGACACCACCAAGTGGTCCGAGGCCCGTTTCCAAGAAATCATCAAGGAGACCTCCAACTTCATCAAGAAGGTCGGATACAACCCAAAGACTGTTGCCTTCGTTCCCATCTCCGGATTCAACGGTGACAACATGATCGATGTCTCCACCAACTGCCCATGGTACAAGGGTTGGGAGAAGGAGACCAAGGCTGGCAAGTCCACCGGCAAGACCCTTCTCGAGGCTATCGATTGCATCGACCCACCTTCCCGCCCTACCGAAAAGCCCCTTCGTCTGCCCCTCCAGGATGTCTACAAGATTGGTGGTATTGGCACGGTGCCAGTCGGACGTGTTGAGACCGGTATCATCAAGGTAACTCCCCTCACCTACGTGTCTCTAGGGTGTTGCTAATATCCACAGGCCGGTATGGTCGTCACCTTCGCCCCAGCTGGTGTCACCACTGAAGTCAAGTCCGTCGAGATGCACCACGAGCAGCTTGCCGAGGGTCTCCCAGGAGACAACGTTGGCTTCAACGTCAAGAACGTCTCCGTCAAGGAAATCCGCAGAGGAAACGTTGCCGGTGACTCCAAGAACGACCCCCCCAAGGCTTCTGAGTCCTTCAACGCCCAGGTCATCGTTCTCAACCACCCTGGTCAAGTTGGTGCCGGTTACGCCCCAGTCCTTGATTGCCACACTGCCCACATTGCTTGCAAGTTCGGTGAGCTCTTGGAGAAGATTGATCGTCGTACCGGTAAATCCATTGAAGACGCCCCCAAGTTCATCAAGTCGGGTGATGCTGCCATCGTCAAGATGATTCCATCCAAGCCCATGTGTGTTGAGGCCTTCACCGACTACCCTCCTCTTGGACGTTTCGTAAGTTCCCACGCCCCGAGTGTTTCGTGGGCGGTTTGCTGACTTGAATCCTCACCGTTCTAGGCCGTCAGAGATATGAGACAGGTAAATTTCTCCCACACTGTTGAACTTGTTTCATTTTACTGACCTTGTCTCCAGACTGTTGCTGTTGGTGTCATCAAGAGTGTTGTCAAGAGCGACAAGGCTGGAAAGTAAGTCAATGAGGCCGACGCCCTTACTGATATCACTAATGCTGATTGTTCCACAGGGTTACCAAGGCAGCTGTCAAGGCCACCAAGGGAAAATAGATACTCACGACCTCCTGATTCGATCTCTAGTTTCTCGGATGTTACGATGTGCGAGGATTGGATTGGAGCTGGTGCAAGGTGGGATGGGTGCTGCGATAGTCTAGATAGCTACGACTTGCGAAGAATAGCAATGAATCTCTGAACAACTCGTATCTTGAATTTTCCCTAACCTGTGATTCTTGGGCTAAATGCACTTGATACTTACTCATTGAATATTCTGTCGGCCCATTTTCGTTTCAGGCTTTTGCAGATACCAAGCCACACAAACGTTACATGAAACCTCACCAAAAAAATATTCTGCCGACCCTGCAGCTGTTTCGAGCTGCGAACTACGCCTTTGAAAACTGTTGTTATTGTTGTTGTGTTTATTAACGTCTGATGGACTATAAGCATAGCATGCGCTCTTCGTCCTAAGACCTCTTAAGGGGTACGGAGACGTGCAAAGCTAAGGGTTTATAGACAATCTATTAAATCGATCTTTTCAGCGCTAAACCTTTGCGCAGCTATAATCTTTTCTTAAATCGATCTAATATTATTTTACAATACTTTAGAATGCAATTTAAAAAAGTATCGAAACGAGCAAGTACTTTTTTCCTTTACGAGCGGGATAGATAATACGAAAAAGAAAATAAACCTTAATCAGAGTTTAAACCTTGATATCTTTTTCTCGATTCTAAAAAGGCTCGGCGGAGCTTTCTTTCGATAAGTCCGATAAAGGGTATCGAGCTTTACATTCGACTAAATCGAACAAAGATTTGCTCGGTTAAGCCTTAGCGCATATACAAATCCGAAAATCCTTAAATTACTCTTTCGACGAGCTTTCTTTATTCCCATTCCTTATCTTTTGCTTTATCGTCGTCGAGATCGCAAACAAAACGTCACTTTCTTTATTACGCTCGCGGATCTAAGGCCTTTGTAAAGCGTATTAGCTACGTATTTTATCTTTCTTAATAATATCGTACCGATTCGAGTATATACATCTTTATGATATTCGTTTAACAGACTTAGCTAGCAAGAAAAGCGCGCGGATATAACGTATAAAGCAGACTTCTATACGCTAATCGAATAGAAAAGTTAAAGGTGTCGAGAAAAAGAAAAGAAAGCGCAGTTCGTACATTGTCAAAAGATCTTCGGTTTGTATGTTCGGAAGCGAAGAGGTCGGTCGTACGAGAGCTTCCGTTTGCTATTCTGTACAATTTACCAAGATTGATAGACGTTTGTAGGCCTGCACCGGCGTCAAGGTGGAAGTTCGATTTTGCAGGCCCTTTTGAAAACCCGTCAACCCGGAGGTGATGATGGATTTTAATCCGATTAGCGGGAAAGAAGGCGTTTGCCCGAGTAAATCACCAGAGAGAGCTTTCGCCCTGACTGATGATCTACGGACGAAGGATCAGTACTTTCGTTTATATTGGCGTCCAAAATAACATGAGTCGAATAATAGAAGGTGAGTCGACGGTGACGGTCATTGATGAAGTCTCTTCATCTCACATGTAGATTTCCGATCAGTCAGTCGTACTCAGACTCGGAATGGCAGTTGAAGGAAGCAGGCATACCGATGAGCGCTTGCAGGAAGGAGGAGGAAGGGCCTTTTTGTTACCGAGTCACTTGCTAGGACATAAAAAAAATGACCAGTGATCGCGTGAAGAAGTGAGTTTGGGAAATAGATATATGCATGTACCGGCACACGCGGAAATGGCTTATGGCTCTCCAAAGTGTAATACATTATTTATACATCTCGCTAGAATCTCACGATCATAATTTCGCTCCGACAGGCGCTTCAGGTTCTTTCAGTCTCACGACACCCTGTGTTCCCTATTAGTGCCGGCCTGGGTCATGACAAGATCAGAGGGAACAATACCTCTTGGAAACAGGTCGCAACCAGAGTCCCGTCCGCGGAGAACATGTGCTGTTGCACAACACCTCTCCCATCTCCAGACCAGGGACTCGTCATCTCGGAGAACATCCACTCGTCCGCCCTGAAGCCTCGCGGCTCGTGGAAGTAAATGCTGTGGTCCAGACTCACCATCATCCCAATCTCAGGGAGGCCCTGCGGATTCTCTCTGCCCGACTGGGGCTTATCCAGCGAATTATCTGTGTCGTCCCTCCGGTATAGAGGGTGTATCCGGCTTACTGTCCCAATAAAGTACGAATCCGACATGTACGCCAAGGCACTCAAGTGCGCCTGGTGGCCCCCCTCGTCACTTATGCTCCCCCTCGCCTTGATCCACTGCCGCGTCTTCTTCTCGTGCGGATGCGCGCTGTCCTTATTTAAAATCTCAACCTGGCGACTCACAAACGGGCTCGTCCCGCTCCCCATCTCCGCGCCGTCGTCCTCTGGCTTCTGGAGCCCCTCCGGCCGAGGCACCGCGTGCGTGAGAGTCTTCCTCCCCCCGCTGTTCTCGCGCGTAAATGACAGCGTGGTGGTGAAGATGGCTTTCCCCCTCTGCCGCGCTTGGACGGTGCGGGTGGCGAAGGACCTGCCCTCCCGGACGCGTTCGACAAAGTACATGACTGGGATCTCAGAGTCGCCGGCGAGGACAAAGTAGCAGTGCATGCTGTGGACGAGGAAGTTCTCCGGGACGGTTCTCTGGGCGGCGGCGAGGCATTGTGCGATGACGGCTCCGCCGTAAATTCCTCTGGCTCCGGGGGGATGCCATAGAGCGCGAGTGTTGGAGAAGACATCCTGGGAGGAGGAGAACTGTTGTTAGCAGATGCCTTAACTCTGAATGCGTGGAGAGACAGTTGCAGCAGAGTGGAATTTACAGGTGCAATCGCCCCCAGTTCCGTCAACTCCAGCACATTCTCAATTGCAGATTTGCTCGGGTTAAGGGGAGGTGGGGGGACGAGGGTCGGATGCTTGGCCATGGCTAAGTAACGAAATAAGTTTAAAGATAATCCTTTGGAATCTTAGACAACGGTCGAACGTGAGAGGCACGATGGTAAAACTTTCTAAACTCAGGTTTATTTATTGAAGAGGGGGATGATGGGGAAGCAAAAGTCGAAGCGTCTCATGCCTCTTATTGACCTAAGCAAAGAGTGTCGATCATGTTGCTTGAGCCGACCGAGGTCCAGTAGATGCCGGCTTGGCTTGGCCTCGCATTCTACTCCGTAGCTCCACAGGTCGAAATTACCGACTCTATTTACTTTTTGCCTGGTTTTTAAGGAGAGCGTTACCAGCTCACCATCACTTCGTAGACCTCACGAAAATGCCGCTTCGGGATAGGAAAGTTGTATATTCTGGCTCTCTCGACGGCTCCCCAGCTCCCAACCCTTCTTTCGTCAACACGGGCAAGAAACAGGTGGCCTTCCTTCTCTTCAAACAGACCTCCGTTTCGTTGTCCCCCAGACTCCTTGCTAACATGTAGAATTATTCTCTCCCATTCAAACTATCCAGCATCTACCTTCCAATCCCCAATTCGGTCCAAAGTCACGACGTCAAGCTTGCAGGTGACCTCCCACGACACACACACACTCTCTCTCCCCAAACCCAGACTTCAATCCTGGTCCATGGAAACGACATCCTGGTGATATGCACAGGCGTTCGCACAGCGGATCCAGACACTCTCCCAACGCTTGCGAAATTCCGAGAGCATCTGTTTCTTCCATCCCGCGGGAACCTCCATCTTCTGCCCGGTCAACTGGCCCAGATGCTCCCTCAGCTGCCCCGCAAAGCCACTCGTCCACGCCTCCACTGCTGCCAACGCGTCCGCGACACCTGCGGCATTGATCATGGATTCGCTAACCGCCTCGATCAGGCTCGCCACCATGTCGACCCAGTCCGTGATGGCCGTCAGGATGTCCGCCATCCGGTGGTCGTCGTGGAGGTTGTGCACGATGTAGGTGACCAGGATGCTGCCGAGGCGGTTCTTGAGGAGGTAGGACTGCTCGATCATCTTCAGGAGCTCGTGGGGCGGAGCGCGGAAGAACTTCTCGTTGTGGAAGTACTTTGTGAAGTCGAAGCGCGCGCCTCGGCATTGTCCGCACGGGGGGCTCTTCTGAGCTGCTGGGCACTCGAGGGAGAAGGCCGCAAGTTCGATTACTGGAGGTGAGGCTGGAGGACCGAAGGTCTGTTGGGTGGCTGGAAGGACTGTGAACGGAGACTCTGGAACGCCGTCGTTTGCGTTTACCTGGGAAGGGGCACCGAACTGGTAGTTGCCAAAGATGCTTCCGAGGCTGGGTAGAGAGGTGTGTTCTGGAGAGTCCATCTTTGATTCCGATATGGATTCTTCTTCTCGTTTGCTAGATGGCCTTTCAGGGAAGAAACCGTTTCAGGGGGAAGCTATCGATCGGCCAAAGGTTATATACATCGAATTTGGGGTGTAAGAAAGCGAAAGTCCCAGACAAGCAGTGAGGCTGGAATTTCATCGACAAAGCATTCTTTGGCGGCAAGGGGATTGTGCCGGTGAACCAACAGGACAAAGAGCATTGAGATGGATTTAGAACGTGAAATAGATGACCTCTGGATTGTATGCATATTTATACTTATCGATGAAATATATTTGGAAGTTGAAAAACAGATACTCTGTGTTTCTGTAGCGCAATCACAGAATGGAGTAGAAAACCATCTCTCTATACAAGCACTGACATGGCCATCACTGGGAAGCTGCAATTGATAACAGCTGGATCCATTAACTGCTACGCATTGTCTGGGTAGGAATCGTTATCAAACCTCGACGCCTCGGGTGAGTGCATATTTGACAGGCGCGAGAATGTTTGTCTCTGCCTCCATTATCCCTATGCATTTGCAACACGCTGAGCTGTTAGGACGCATCCAATTTTTCATAGCTGGCTGCGGGTGGTATGGATTATTAGGAATTGGATATTGCGATCCCTCTTGTGGTAGGCAGGAAGGCTCATGATTTTCATGCAGTAGATGCTGGACATTGTAGACGATGTGGACATGGGATTTTAACGGGCGGGAATATGTAATCGTCGGCTCGCTTAGGTGGGCCTCCTTACATCCTTTCAGGTTTAGTCGGCGTAAGCGATTGCGGATCGAAAGCGAATGCGGATTTTTCGTATATGTTGGAAATTCTTTTATACTATAGCAATTACTATTATAGCTATGAAATATTTATATAAACAATCAATCTACGATTATACTTTTTTCCGAAACATTTAAAGTCGTATTATCCGATGAAACATCTGATTATCGATTAATCGTCGGTTTCCTTAAATTTTAATTCGAAAGAATTGACCGACTTGCTATAGCAAGTCGGCACCACCAAGGTGGGACAGTAAAATTTGCTCCTTTTTAATAAATAAAAAATCAACCAACTATTATAGATTAATTATTTTTGTATCAAAAGATGCTCAATATTAAGTTTGATATTAATCAATTAATTGAATTTTAATTATAAGTTGTTATTCCTTTATTGTGTTGAGTTAAAGTAATAAAAATAGTACTTTTAATATATCCTTTTCGATTTTGGTAATGCGTATATATTAGAATTGCCGCGTATATATTAGAATAAGCGAGAAACACGAAAATCGGACTTTTATTCAAATCTATCAAAAAGAATACGTGCATCACTACCAACTTTGATTTAATAATTAATACGTTTAGTAATATAATATATTAAATCATTTATTTTCGATTTATGTGACGTTTTTTTGAATTAAAGTTGTGGTTATTAAGATATATGCGTTAAACAAGTAAATTTGAATTATTTAAAACAGTTTTTGACTATTTTTTTATTACATTTCAATGTATTAGATTACTATAAATAAATGGATTTTTATAATTTTAATTCAAGTTTGTAAAGCAAAATTTCTTAAGCATATAAATGTTTTTTTTTATAATAATATTTTTGTTTAAAAAGTGGTATACCGTTACTGTCCCGCCTTGCCAGGTCGGGATTTTTTACAAATTAAATTCAAGGTAACCGACGATTACTATTTTTATTAAAATCTGATTCGTCTTTTGCTTTACGCAATGAATCGTTTGAATATCTATTACTATTAGAATGAAAGCTATCGCTATCGATATTAATAGTAAGAAAAAGAAAATTATCTTGCTTTAAAGAAAGGTCTTTAATAGTATCGTTTATAATTATTAAATTATCATCACCGAGAAAAGGTTCAGGTTGAAAGAGAGTTGGTCGAGGAATACTTTCCTTACGAGGCAGCAAAATTTGATGCTCAAGAGGCTATTGCAACTACCAAATATCTTCCGAATCGAAAATTGATGTGACGACCTTAAGCGATTACCTGAAGGCTCACGGGAACGCGGGGGATCAACATGGGAGCTTTCAAGAAGACCTCAAAGTAATAACTTACCACGGTACAGGCCTAAGTATTACCCCTCGAGGGTGCCTCAAAAGTTTAGTTTCCACTTTAAACCCCCTGGTTTCCCTACCCTCGAGGGGTACTGTAATAGGTTCTTACGCCTGCGACGTAGTAGAATCAACAACTACCGAGTGTAGAGGTTGAAGAAAGCTGAGGTTTATATACCTACACGAAGGTAGGAAGCGCCAAGGACTCGTAAACCATGGTTCATGAGTCAAAAGAGGGGAACGAGAGAAGTGAGGGAACATGAGAAGGAAAAAAGAAGGAAGTAACTTGGCGCATGTGGGGATACGTCCAGGAGACCTGGCGTGTCGTCACAATCGAAATAGTAGTAAGTATTACCACGGTACAGGCCTAAGTATTACCCCTCGAGGGTGCCTTAAAAGTTTAGTTTCCACTTTAAACCCCCTGTTTTCCCTACCCTCGAGGGGTAATACTTACGCCTGCGACGTAGTACATCGTCGTCTTTAATAATTAAGCTTATAACAAGGCGTTCTCGCATAATCCTTTTACGCTCGCGCTTAGCTTTGCGTGAATCGACTCCTTCGCGATACTTGGCATCTCTTTCCTTTCTTTAAAGCTTATCGACGACTCGTTGTCGGAGACGCGTCGCAAGATCTTCAAGTGCATTAGGACTACCTGGTTAAGCGTGGCTTTTGTATTGAAAATTCCTTAAAGGCTTCTTCGGATGAATGCGTTTTCGGCCCATGATTAATTATAAAATAAAATTGAATTTGTACATCAAAAGGTGGTGTTGTAAATTGTATTTTGTATACAAAAACTAATAGTAGAATAGAAAAATCCGTGTTCGCTTCCGATCCGCCATCGCTTACGCCGATTAAGATTGAAAGGATGTAAGGAGGCCCACCTAAGCGAGCCGACGATTACGGAGCGGGGAATCTTTGAGGAGTAAGAATCAGCAGCGGAGCCTGATTAATCTTGATATAGTAATCGGGTCTCCAGATTTATTAATATCTGATGGTCTGCTTTGATGGCGGCAATAGAATTAAAATGTCGGGTATCGTGTGGGAGAGAGCGTAAGTACCGTACTACGTCCCAGGCGTAATCCTTACACCCTAGAGGCTAGGGTAACCAGGGACTTTAAAGTGGAAACTAAACTTTTGAGGCACCCTCAAGAGTGTAATACTCTAATTACGTAAGGTAGGTTACAAGGCAGCGAGCGCACTGGCCGTTATATCATATCGCGGCTTAGAATAGGAATTTCCATCCTTCCTAACTTATAGACGAAGCAGTGCAAATCTGAGAGAAATGAACTTTGATAGGATGGATCTCTAGCGCACAGGCTAGGTTCGTTATTCTTGCCCTACCACCAGCTAGCTACTAACTTGGTTCTTTACTCGTAGGGCCAGTACTCTACGCTGATCTATTTAAATCAGAAAAGAAGATTGCAATATTATAAATGTATACAGATAATAAGACAGATATACTATTCGAATAGAATTACTGAAAGAGATAGACTGGGACAAAGAGGTATATATCCCTTCCTGCACCTACTTCAGATTGGCTTAATCATCTTCTTTACCATCTTCTTCCAGAGCTATTTCGGATGCCTATAAACATGATGCTATTATCACATTCTTTCTCCTTAATCTTGCTAGCCTTGAGCTTCCTTTTCGCTAGTGCTCAAGGAAGAGAAGTCATCGGCTATCGAACAGTTTCCAGGGTAGGTTTCACTCGGTCTATATAGCATAAGCTTATGTTAATTACGCGGATTATAGAAGGAAGGCCTCTTTATCAATAGATTCAAAAGGCCTTTTAGAAATCCAGCATACGATAAGGCACGCCTTCATCAATTAGGAAATGGATTATCTATGGGTAACTTGATTTTACTTTATAGATCGTCACTTGTTACGCGGAGCTGATAATATGAAATAGTAAACATACCTGATGGCTGGCCGGCTGAAAAAAATGAATGGTATTGTGCTATCGAAGCGGACATGGATAGGATTAATGCTGCAACCAAAGTATGGATCCCGAAACATTACGAGGAGATTAGTTGGACTGGTCAAAGATCGCGAAAGGATTTATGGATCGGAGATGAAGATGCTATTTTGAACTACATCGAGTCAATGGTGGTAGCCCCGAAAGAAGCATTGCGCTTTGCACATATTTTGCATAGTTCTTCTAAAAAGTGGCAAATGGTCATTCCAACTAATATGATAAACGCCAATGACTTCGATATGTCAGGTCGATGCTTTGGAACAATAAAGGGGCTGGAAAAATATTCGAAGAAAATCATTCCGTGGAAGAGTTGGAATATTATTGGAAAGCCTGGAGAAACGAGCACCAATCCTGTTGATGATCTCGACGGGATAATTTAGTATAATCAGAAGAGAGTGGTTCGTCAATTGTATGGTAGAACTCATCTCATTAGGACTGGTCTACCGCTTTCTGCTGCGATTCCAGACCTACGAGGACTTGACAGAGAGCCAGGTTGTGGGTCATGGATGCTGTTGAGCATAATTGCCCGATAGCCTGTAGCCCCACAGAGATCGAGTCTGTTTGTTTGCAATGAGAGTACATACTACAATTGCCATTCTAACTCAGTTTGCAAGGTCGTCGATGAAGGATGGGGGCTGTAATTCGATGAAACACGAATTGAATTGAGAGCTTCCTTTCTATTACGGAGTTTTTAAGGATCAAGATTAGGAGCACTGGAAAGCCATCAAAATAAAACGCAAGAAAGAAAGAATTAAGGGTTGCTATAATGTAAAAATAGACTTCGCCGCTCGCTAGGCTGTTCGAACCTCAGCAGTAAGTCACTGGGATGGAGACAGCAACCGATAGGGGGTTTCTAACCAAACGTGATCCTTCAATTTCAATTCTCTGAAAATCTTTCCTTTCCTCGACGTCGACGAGACGAAAAAGGGTAAATCCTCTCTAGCGCATAGGCCAAGTTTGTCATTCTTGCCTTACCATCAGCTGTTAACTTGGCTCTCTACTCGTAGGGCCAGTACTTGTACTTGTAACAGTGGGTATTTTGGGGAGGCATTCCGTACGGATACCGCATAAACTCATCAAAGTGGCGCACGAGGCTGTTGACTCCACAAGATCGACGCACTGCCTGTATTTGATTTCTAATGGGCTCCAGCGTAGTTTCGAGGTCTATCTACAGCTAGTTGTAGATCAATTGTCTACCGTACAACTAGATGTAGTTGTAGATCAATTGGCCTCTTGCGCAGTCAACCCACTGATCAGTTGATAAACAAAGATTAGACGTTATTACAACTAGCAGCCAATCTGTGGTTTGTTAACATGTTGTATCTGTCAGATCCTCAGTACAAGCTTCTTTCCCTAATCCGTCTCTTGCTACCTTACACTTACCACTAGATCCGACCAGTTTCCAGCGTATTCTGCAATACCTTTACTGTCTATCGCTTCGTGTAATCGTCGGTTTCCTTAAATTTAATTCGAAAGAATTGACCGACTTGCTGTAGCAAGTCGGCACCACCAAGGCGAGACAGTAACGGTATACCACTTATTAGATAACAGCCATCAATATAAATAAGATGAAAAAAATCTCTATATGCTCAGAAAACTTTTCTTTACAAACGTGAATTGAAACTATAAAGATGCATTCATTTGTGGTGATCTAATACATTGAAATGTAGTGAAAATATAAGTAAAAACTGTCCCAAATAATTCAAATTTACTTGCTTATTGCGAATATCTTAACAATTATAACTTTAATTAAAAAAACCTTATATAGAGAGAAAATAAATGATTTAATTTACTATATTACTACAGGTATTAATTATTGAATCAAAGTTGATAATGATGCACGTATTTTCTTGATGGGTTTAAGTAAAAGTCCGACTTTCGTGTTCTTCGCTTATTCTAGTATTTATATAGCAATTCTGATATATACGCAATAGTAAAGTCGAAAAGTACATATCAAAAGTATTATTTTTACTACTTTGACCCAACACAATAAAGGAATAACAAATTGTAATCAAAATTTGATTAATTAATTAATATTGAACTCAATACGGTACATCTATTTATACAGAAATAGTTACGATATAATAGTTGGTTGATTTTCTATTCATCATAAAGGAGCAAATTTTACTGTCCCGCCTTGGTGGTGCCGACTTGCTACAGCAAGTCAGTCAAATTCTTTCGAATTAAATTTAAGGAAACCGACGATTAGATTAATGCGATAATACAATATAAATCCGATGGAAATAAAAAACAGATTATTCTAATATTTTCTGACTTTCTCATCAGCCTCGATTACAGCCCGACAACGGTCTGGTATACTCTTAGCAAGCGCTTGAAATTCTAATTCGCCAACCTTTTCCTAGCGATATGGGTCAAAACAGGGGGAATTACTCAAGGGCTGTACGGAGGTACAGTGTATACTGGTAGCGATGGTAATCCGCGGAAGCAGCATCCGGGCAGCGTGGAGAAGAACACAATAAACAAATACTAAATCGTTGGCTCGCCTCAACGCCAATGCCAACACCACCCCCGTCCCCCCCGCTCACTGTAGAAGTATTGCTCGATAAGCTAGTTTCCGTAGTGGATCAGAACAAGTGGGGAGTCATAGACGGACGCTGGGGGGGGGGGGTAATCTGGTTTATTGGCCGATTATTTGCCTCGAACAAAGTGGATTTGTTCTTCGCATGCCTAACCCGACCCAAAAGGTGGGCCACCTACCCAAATTTACCCGCCGCTTTATATCGCCGATATTGGGAATCCAAACAAATCAATATAAGTATTCGATCTTGACGTAGATATAAATCTATCTCTCAAAGCCTTCTAAAAGAGATTCATGTCGATTAAGCAAGGCGGCAGATTTTACAGTTAAAAGCCCTTTAAAGACGAGGTGCTTGATTACTCTGCCTATTCACGAGCGATGAAAGCCTGTGTCTTGATAACGAAAAGACTCGTCTAAGATACGTATATGCTGGTTCAACGTGCAAGTGGCGCGCTCGTTGCAACTACGATTTTAGAACCGAAATAGCTACGGTGTCGATATATTAAAAGAAAGCATGTGTGCTTCGACGATAGGCCGCTCGCGCAATTAACGTATTACATTTACTTATTCCTACCTCTTTCATTTGAATTGCTACTGTGAATAGCTTCACTGCTACAGGTTTTTCACAATGTACGCGGCATCATTGGGAATCTAATTACATATAGCGGCGAGTGAGTTTAGTAGGGTATGGGGGGGGAGGGGTGAGGCATACGAAAACAAATACCACTTTGTTCGAAGCATGGGAAATAATCGGCCTTGGTCCTTATATGCTTAAACGTTAATATTTTTAGGGAGATTGCAATACTACTAGGAATAGATAGCTAAGCGTAGATCCGAATTTATATTTGGGATGATCTGCGATGTAAGAACCAAACCTTTCCGTATAGCCGACGGCGAGATTTCACCACATACGGTGAAAGAAAGAGATATACTGCAAAAAAAGAGATATATATCACTTCCTGCACCCACGTCAGACTCAATCCATCTTCCTCCTCCTTTGCAAGCTTGTTCCCCTTCGTCAGCTCGCATCATCAAATGACTCATAAACCTTCAAACGATGCCGTTATCGAAATCTATCTACGCAGTGTTACTGTCCTTGAGCTTTCTTTTTAGTAGATCTCAAGGATTTTTTGCAGGAAGAGAAATCATCGGCTATCGAACAGTTACCGCAGTAAGTTTCGCTTGATTTGTTTACAAATTATAAGCTTATACTAATTACGCGAATTGTAGGAGGAAGCCGCGTATCTTAATGAGCATAGAAAGCCACGCAGAGATAAAGAAGACGATGAAGCCGAAGGAAGCTGGAATCAAATAGGAAATGGCTATTATATAAGTGAGTTGATTCGTGTTTACTACCACCCCCCTCCCCTCCCCCCCACCCCCTTCCCCCCCCCCCCCTCCTCTTGAAATAAGGGCAGGATTTCAAGGGGGGTGGCATGAGCCAAAACACAGCAAAAGTCTACCCGTGCCATCCTTAGGGTCCTGCCTTTATCTATAGGCGGGGGGGGGGTGGGTTAGTATAGATTGTCAATTTTTACGCGGAGCTAATAATCTAATTAGCACAAAGTGCCGAAAGCTGGGAAGATAATCCAGAGGAAAATCACTGGCATTGTATTATCGAAGCAGATAGCGACAAGATGAATGATGCGTCTAAAATATATATCCCGGAATATGAAACGTTTATAGGCTGGGATGATGTGTATAGGGAAAAGCAATTATGGAACTCCGGAGACGAAGCAAACGTCCTGGAATACGTCGAGTCATATTTCCTAAATCCCGACAAGACGCTGCGCTTTTCCTGGATGTCAGATTACGGGTGGAATTTGATAATGGTTATTCCCACTGAAATGTTGAATAACGATGATTTGGATTTATGGTCTATATGCTATGAAAAACGGGAGGATCAGTTGGAATATTCGAGAGAAACTATTGACTGGGAGAAATGGGAAATCGATGGACAGCTTGGGTTACCGAGCGCTAGTAGTTTCTCTCCACCAGATATTTAGTGCTCGAAACATACTTTTGTTTTTTAATGTAATAGGAAGGGAGTGGCTCGTCAATGGAACCCATCTACTACTATCTGCTGCGATTCTATTCTGCCTATTTCGCCGACTCATAGGTCACCGGGGTGGAAATGGCAAGCGATAGGGGTGTTCGTCGACTCCATCACTCACTCGATGGACGAGAGATCGGCAGACAGAACGATGGCCTTGCGATCAGGCTTGGGGTCGCTCTTGGTGCCATTGTCTCTTGATGTGTGCGGTAACTGCTTTCTGAATGTTCCGTACAAACCGAAAGCACAAGGAGACGATAGCAATGCTCGCTAGGAAAGCTTACGCTGAGTTTGGAGCTCACAACACTGAGATTGCCCCCTCTGACGTTGGCATTGGCGCTAGTTCAGTTGCGAGAACGGTCTATGTTCAGCCTAAAGACCATTCGGATGGTCGCGGAGTCTATCAAAAGTTCGGCTCTGCGATTCAGAGAGTTGGGCTGAGGGTATGACGTCCACTGGACCGCAAATATTCCTGGAACTCTTCTGACAGACGAAATGTACTGCTGTCGTACAGCCGCTCTGAGCAGATTTGCATTCAATAGGGACCATCGTTTCCCGCTACCCACTTTTCATTCTGACTCGTTGAAAATTATTACTCTGTGCCTGCTGACGAAAATGTCAGATCTTTGGAAGGAGCCAATTAAGCACTAGGGATTCCACGTCCGATCTCCAAGTAGCTCTTTCGTGTGCGGGAGCGCTCGCATACCGGCATCAAAAGACTGCTGCTGTTATCAAAAAGAATTGTAGATTTGGGATTGAATCGAGGACCGTAGGCGTCCGCTACGGAGCTCATCCAAAAGTTATGGCTTTCCAAGCTTCGGTTGCCTAATTCTTCGATTCACTCCAAACTTCTGTTGCAAAAACAATCTCACCTTACCACACTGCCCTTCCAAGGTCTTTCACAACAACTCCGGGTAAAAAACCACAGACCAAAATACGGACAACTTCAGGTCATACCATGGGGTCAAATCTCTCTGACTCGACTCCAACCATGGAACCTGGAGCCTCTCAACTCCACGAGTCTCCCGTTCAACAATTTCGCGACTCACCTTTATCTTCTCCCCCCGAGCATACGGTCATTGGTGTGCCTACTACCTCTTCAACCCCTTCTTATACAGATCTTGTGGCCAATCTGGAGCCAAATATTAATCAGATTACAGCTATGCCACTGGCAGTTTCTTCCGAGAGCGCTACAGCAGAGCTCTATCCAGATATCGACATCACTTCAGAGATCGATATCACTTTAGAGATTGATATCACTCCAGAGATCGCCGCGCCAACCTTCACCTTATTCGAAAAGCTGCCATCAGAACTCCACCTCAAAATTGTAAGTGATGACCGGTGTTCAGTACAGATATTGGAGATACGAAAAAAAAAAAAAAAAAAAAAAAAAAAAACGAAACTAAACAATACT